TTAAATTATATTCTATAAGGTTAATAACCAATTAATAACTTTTTACTAATTACTACTCTTATTTTTACAAAATTATTTAAGTATTTTTTGATATTATTCAAATTCGATCTTTAGAGTTAATATTATAAATCAATCAATTTAAAAGATAATTTAATTTAATTTTCAAATAAATATAATTCAATTAAATCCCTATCTATTCCTTTTTTCAGATTTTCAAAAAGATTTAAATTGAATTCTATAAAATTAATAATCAATTAGGGACTTTTTGATTAATTATTAGTTCTCTATCAAAATTGATTATCAGGGTTAATAATCACCAAAAAATTCCTTAGAATAATAGTTAGTATTCATTATTATATTTATTACAATTCGGAAATTAGATCAATTCATACACTTCAGCAAGTTAATTATTAACAAATATGAAAACAAGCATGTTGGTATTTACTATAACCCATAAACTTTAAAGTAGACGAGACAGTCAATTATTTGCAAAAAGCTTAGTGAGATTGCAGGCCTTCCTTTAGCAAAGATCACAGAGATACACTAATACATCTTCAACAATCAGCCGCATCTCTTACACCCATTGCACCATTTTCTGCACGGACATGTGCTCGCAAATCAAAACCTGAAAGGATAGTAGCAATCGATATCGGCGCGGTCGTCGTACACCAGACAGCGTACTGTGTAAGAAGCCATTCCCTTGGGTTTTGGTTGGCTTCCTCCTCCATAAGTTTGACCATGACATTGTAAGAAATCTCATCAGCCCAAATTCCAACACAAATAGCGCATGAATGGCACAGGGTCTCTATTGCAACTTGTGCTAAGCGTGAGATACCGACAGCCCACTTGACAGATGGGCTCTCCAGATTGATCTGCTGAAGAGGGACGGCTGCCAAAAGGGGATATTGACCGTCTGTCATGTGGGACACCAGCTCTGACTGGCATGTCACACAGATCTGGGACCAGTGTTTTTCCGTCGAGGTAAGAATTTTATCAAACTCAACATAAACATCATACTGGAATAAATCCCGAGGAACGAGTCTATTGATGGCACTCAAATCGACTGTTGCTTGCCAAAGTGACACCACACTTTCCTTCTCGAGATCAAAGCCTCCAAATATAAGTTGTTGTTTGGACATCTCCAAAACATGTGAATTCTCCTGCATTTGTAGCCTGTACTTGACCAGTCTTTCCCACACTCTGTAACGACCATTAAATGGAGCCCATGCAGCGGTACAGAGAGCAGCTGAATCTCCATACAACGGAGATTCGTCGTCTGCAAGGTGGAAAGCTCTTTCTGCCACTGCGTCAATTCCTGTGCGTACAAATACGGTATGTAAATCTTGTTCGGTACAGCCAGATGCTGCCGCATATGCCAGCGACGACATTCTGTTGTGCGAACATCGATCATAAAGAAAATCGTAGGAATTAGCCAGCACCATACAGATAAACATCGAAGCTTTTCCACGATCATAAGCCTCGGCATCTTGGTATCCGTATGGGCCAAGACCTGCACAATCACCAACTGTGGCATCAATCCAGCTTTTTGGTGTTAGCATCTTATCTCCGAAATTGAATGCACCATTTCGCTCAGCTATCCAACTTTCATGGCATTCTCGAACAACTTTCTGGATGTCATAGCTGAGTAAAGCAGCACATGCTACACTCTTCAGGCGAATTTCGGAGCTGAGAACGCACTTCCTCGCAATCTCAATGGCTTGGTAAAATCCTTCCAGAAGTTTAGGATTGCGATCAAAGTCGTAGTCGACACTACTGAGCATTTGGAGAGCAGTAACATCAGCGAGGTGCTCGGCGGAAACGACCTTTCGTACCATTCCTGCCCAGATGAAGACCGGGCACGGCGGAATCTGTGACAATCCTAAGCCGTTCCAACTCCGAAGAAGTTTCGCGTAAGACTTGTCGGTTCTCCATGCTAGGCCTCCAATACCCTTAGGGCCAACTTCATGGATGTTGCCGGATGATGTATTGTCCACCACAGTCATATTCCACGGTAACAACGCAGATGATGGATTTGACGTGGCTTTGACTGATTTATAAGATCTGACAACCTCCAAAACATCTTGAATCATCTGAGAATGCATGCCAAATTGTGGGATCTTCGTGAACATGAGTTCCCATGCGCTGATGATGCACCCTCCTTCGGCGAGATATTTTCGAATCGCAGACGTAGCTCCGGCGGTGTCCATACTTTCAATCACATTGATGAGAATCTCTAGACCCCAAGCGTTGAGCAACGGCGCCTTCGCGGAGGTGTTGCGATGATTACCCGACGCCGACATAGTTTCTGTAATATCAATAGACAGCAGATAATAAATCAGAAATCTGAATATTCTCGGATTCAATCAACAGTGATGTTTCGCTTTGCAGACTGACTTGGTCTTGCAGAGGGAATTTATACACCACCCCTCAGTCAAGCTGGTATACTGAATAACAGACTGAATATATCAGAGGTGCGTCCATGAAATACGTCATCCGTGTGTAAAGAAAATGTTAAACTAAAGAGCTTGGATACGAAGATCTGCTTTGCATTAGTCGTATCTGCTGTTGTACAACCCCAAATTTGTTATCCTCTGAATGTCACATCAGGAGGCATGAATCAGTTTACTATAATCTAGAGGAGTACAAGAAAATTAACATTAGCTTGATACTAATAATCCGAAAGAATCCTTAGATAATAGAGTAAATACCTATTATAACACCAACTTCTGTTCTTGGGTCTCGAATACCAGAAAAGGTGTTGCTTTTTGTCTATTTTACTATTTTGCTAGGGTTAGATCTAGTTTTGATCATTCTGGTCTTAAAAAATTACTAATTGTGACGGCAACTGGTTCACGGTATAGTAGTAAAATGGATTAATTATCGATACTAGAGAATAACAAACTACTATACAAAGAGTAAACCTATAAGAGGCTTTTATAATCAATATTATAGCATTACAATAATTATATGAGTATAGAGAAATAGTAAAAATAATATGAATTTATGAATTTATTAATCCTGCTAATACAACAATTAAAGGTAAGTTATACTAGGTGTTGAAAAATTTGATTAATTTTAATAAAATTAAAATCAAGGTAATGAAATGAATGGAGATAAAGTATGAAAAAGTAGGAAGTAATTTTTTATACTTTTTATTTTATTTTATATTTTGGGGAATACCTAAATCATTTGACTTGAAAATTATAACAGAAAGTTCCAAGTATATGAATATAGTTCAAGTCAAAGGTCATTATAATCTCATTCAAGTGAAAGCAAAAGTCAGTTCTTTTAATAGCTATTATATAAGGGCTATTCCATTTATAGTTGACTAACTTATTAGATTAAATATACATCGACAATTAGACCCCACAATTAGGTCCAACGTCTTCTGTTTTCTACTACAACTAAATCCTCTCATATTCATATAAATTATATATTAAATAATAATCTTTTCTTCTGACTTCAAAAAACTACTATTATTTAATGAAATTTAACATAAAAAATAAATCTATTTATACTATAATACAATATTATATAATTTGACAAATTATCGAATACTAAATTTCTTGTCTTTTTGAATAACCTTAATAATATAACCTATCTTATTTTATATACAAAATTCGTTTATATATAATCGTGTACTTTATTTATTTATTAATTAAATCATTTAAAAATTGAATATATAGAATTTAATTATAAAAATCTAATCTTTTTTGAAAAATTCGAATTAATATAAGAGTTATTATAGAAATAGTTTTTTTGTAACGAAAATTATAACAATTTTTACTTTTTCTAGAATATAATAAGAAAATTTATATAAAAACTATATATTCAAAAAATCAGACTTTTATTACTATTTAATATTCTTTTTCATTAAGAAAATAATAATTAGTTATTAAAATATAATTGCTAAAAAAGGCTCAATTTTGATGCATTTTTGAAGTGGGCCATATACTGATATGATCTATGTACTGTTAAACCACATTATTGAAATAAGATATAAATATTTTACATGAAAGTGATTCACTTAGTGATATAATCCATTCGGTGATAAATCACGGTGTATAAACATCCCCGTCATTTTTGTTTGTGAGCAAGTTTTGCCAATAATTCTCCGATCAAGATTGTCAGCCTCTCCCTAGTGTGGAGTGAATTGTACTCTTCTCAACGACGTAACGTGAAATATGATCTGGGTTCCTTCGCAGGTGACAAGACCGTCTCGACAACTCAAAATGTGCAACTGTTAACCCTGGTATGATACCAAGTTGGTACAAGCTTTTGATATTTCTGCTTGTAAAAGCCAAACAATGCCTACCGACTTTCAACAGCAAACAAACTAGTCTACGTTATTAATATCAGATTTTCCTTTCAGGGAAGCTGTGCTATTGGATATCACCCCTTTTACTTACTGAAAAACTTTCATACAGGACCTTGTGACTTTCTCTGTCGTAGAATGTCTAACTACTTGTCGCCGGACGCATAAAGTTAAGCTGAAGGAAAGCGAGAAGTTTGAATCAAGCACTAGAACTGGTCTTAGGAATGATTAAGTTACAAGAACGGATCTATTTCTTTTTTTTAGGGTGGCAATATTTCCATGAAGCGCTCCTAACGTCATCGTATTTTAATACGATCTGAGTAGTCAATGCACTAATAGTGGTGATGTCACGCGCACGCTACTCTGGCCATGAGCAACGAGCTATGCATAGGAGGAGGTGAAGAGTATCACAACAATCTATCATTACCAGAGCGCCATGATTCAAGACCTGACGCGCAGTGATATGTTTGGGCATTTAAATCGTGATACTTACTCTTCTATGATCGAGACGTTCCATGAGCAATACTTTTGATCAATGGGAATAATTCTATAAGAAGAGTGATATCCGTGAACATTCTTTTCTTATATGTCTTTATGCAAATTTCTAGTTTTAATTCTTGTAGTTACCCCCTATTACTATCTTACTATGTCTACTGAGATTGCCGTTATTAGACTTCGGTCAGCAATGGAATTAGATGATCCATTCTTCGATGGCGATGGAGAATTCAAGTCTATTTTGCGCGATATCAGCTCCGCAGCTGATTTTACTCGGGGGTTTTGGGGTATCGAAGATGAAGACAAAACGCTGTTAAGAGTGTTCTTGAATTGGGGACCAGCTCGCGAAGAGAAAGATAAGTATGTGTCTCTCAAGTTCCTCTCCCCACACTCGCTTATTGCATGCAGTGATTCAATTAGCAAGAGCTTCAACAATTTAAAAGATGTCGAGTCTGTTGACATTTATCATGTCAATTTCCTGCCGTCTCACCCTACAAAGCCTCTCGATCCAGAAATCTCTGGAAATACGATGGTTGAAACCATCTACTTCGACAAAGAATTCCCGCATGCGGATGGCTGGGTTAGCAACTTCAACCAAAAAGTCCATAACATTCTCAGTCTTAGGGGTAATCAATTCAAAGCAGCGAGTGGTGGATGGGCACGCCAAAAGGCTGTAGCTCCCGGCACTATGGACGAATGTTCAGTTTGGTTCGCGATTGTCGGATGGCCTTCAATGCAAGCTCATATAGAGTGGAGAGACTCACCTGAGCACCGCGAAAATACCAAGCTGTTGGAGCAGTATAAAGATTGGTGGAAAGGCCTTGTCAGAGTTCATTCGAGTATGCATGAGATCCACAGATGCATCAGCAAGGAAACACTATAGCAATATTGCATCCTGCAGTGGCATCTTCTTACATTACTATGTATCAACCTCTTAGATGAATTCTAAAACACAATTGAACAAGAATTCAATTAAACTTTACACTTTATCAATCAAATCAAACTAATCTTCGTTTTTACCAGACTCCATAAACTCTTGAGCAATAATTAATTCCTGAAACATTTTCTTGATTTTAGGTAACTTGATTTTGAAATCAAAGCTTGTAAGGGAAAAGACAAAATTATTAGTAATTATACTTCTTTTGAAAGTATAGATCCTGGAGGACTTGAATATTCTTATTCAAGTGGAATACTACGTAATTTAATAGTAAACGCGTTCTTTTTACTACGTAGTTGGCTTCCTTCATCTTTTATCTCATATCTTGCAACCATCCGCTCAATCCCTAAGCTTTCGTTCAAAGATTTTAAAAGCTCTGATCACCCTTGGGGCTTTAACTTCCAATTCACTATGGCCCATTCTAGTCATTACTGATAAAAATAGAATTTTGTTACTGGTAAAGTCTTATCTGATATAGCATGCTTGCTTCTCCTAATCATATGAGGTCTAGACTTAGAATACATGATAGCCAGTTCACAATGAGTAAGTTCCTAAGATTCAGTAAATTGTTGGTGATATTTAATATGATCAAGATATAAATTTCCCTTGGTGATGTATGATTCGATAACAATTGTCGGAATATCTTCACAAACTTAACACTTAACACTGGATTAGGATGCATCTAAAATACGGAAAATACCCACTGTAATATTATTAGACATCGTGAATCCAAAAGCTACTTCAACGTTATTAGCTGCATGTTATGTGTCGATCTTGCTCCTTCCCCACATCGAGAGTTCTTTTTGGCGTGAATGGCGGTCAAGTCATGCGCTTTACACTCCCGTTAAATGTTCACCGATGATCAGCGATAATGCTTATCAAGTCTCGTACTTTGCATTAGCGCCGGATACTCACTGATGACCAGTGCTAATGTTTGCTTTTGGAATCTGCAGCATACGCTAAGTGGTAGGTGTGTGTGGCTTGGGAAAGTGTTGCCACTTGCTGCCGCATCATTATATTTACTTTATGTAACCCTAAATTATTTACCACGGTGATGTTAATCTAAGAGCTTGGCGTTGATGTCAGTGGCGTGGTATCGAGTGGAATTTTTCGATTGGGAATCTGTAGGGCTTTCTCAATCATGGGAAAACAGACAGCGTACTGATTGGGAGAAGCAGAACGAACTCGTCGTCGATGGTATGATTGCAAACACTGGGATTTCTGTATATATTCTAAACGAAGTGAAGTAGTGCTTAAGGCTTGACATGACATACGCTATACGATTGCATCGACAGTATTAACCCTACCGATGTTCTGGAACCTCGGCAGATTCATGTGCTTACTTTGCAAAAAGCTTTGGGTGAGCACGAGCCATGTCGCACAGCATTTCCGGGCGCGATGAGAACGTCAACATGCCAAGTTTACGATTGAGCCTATTAAATTCTAGGTCCACGAAACCGTCGAGGTCTGAATTCTTCGGCTGTAGAATTATCGTTGCCGGTGGTTTCCATGTAAACCGTACGAACGACTTTAATTTCAAGCTTCATGGCTATTCACTATACACTATACAAGCTTTAGCTAAGCGGTGAGCTAGGTCTATCTTAGGTAGATTTTGCAGTCATGTGGTCTTTCAGGAGCTACTTCCATCGATCGGCTCGAGGAGAACTTATTTATGGTTCATACGAAAACATGTACATATCCTTGATAGCTACTTAAAAAAGTCGTTAGATCGAATCTATGATGTCACAGTCAGTCTTACTTTCTCCGACGCTCAGAGACCTTGGTTTTACAATTGAATCCCTCTTAACATGCTTGCTGCAGTGTACGTTTTCAATGTCTTAGGAGAAATCAACGTATGTAGATAGGTATTTGTGAGACAAAGCTACTAGATCAAGACCTTGAAAGAAAGCTGTTTTTGTCTCGTATCAAAGAGTTCACTTCTCCGGGGAGAGAAGCTTCGAATCGTATCAACGCATTGCTCGAGAAGTCGTATTGCTACCAAGAATTGCGTTGACATAGCGACCTGGCCGGCTCTAGTTTTGTCCACCTACCGACGATTATACCAGGCCAAAGCTTTATATGTGGAGAGGCTAATTCCCGAGGTTTGGGGTGATCTCGAATAGAGTTCAGCTTTACAGCGTGTGCTTCATCATACTATATGGAAGTAGCTATTTCAACTCGGATTGGGTACAACAGCTCTTGCTAGCGCCTCATATACGAGATTTTTACCTGATATTACAGCAAAACAGTTCTGCCTAGCAATCTTGGTGCTGCTCGTAAGACCAGAATGCACTTTCAATATTAGGTTAACAAGCTTTTAGTTTTCTAGCATAAAGTCCTTTGCCACCATATACAGTAGAGTTTTATGTGTGTTCAGATTCGCAGCAACGATACATTAAAGCAGAGATAATCATTCAACGCTTCCAGCAAGGTCTGGGAAATCAACCATGATCAAACTTTAAAAGGGGATGAGTTGAAGAAAGATCGGTGCTCGATTCGAGTGTTCCATCTACAATCATCTCCATACAATTCATATAAGTATGTGTGCTGTCTACTCTACTTTTTGAAGCATCGTAGCAAATTTTCTGCAGCCTACTGTAATCATGCAACCTTTTACTTATCTAGTACCTGCGCTATTCTTCAATGTAAGGTCGTAACAAATATTCCCCAAGAGTAATTTGCTAACAATGCGTATCAAAAGGCTACTGTCAATACAGTTGTACGTAGGCTTAATGATGCAGATGTACAAATCTAATTGATTACTACATAGAAACCTTTAGGTCACGATACTTTCGGTGCTGCTCTGGGCTTATTCGAATTCGAGAGCGCTACACTATACTCTGAGCCAGAGGTAAGGCTATTCAATCTATACAAGTCAGGAAGTTACTTCGGCTAATTTACTGCGAAGTTCGACTTTCAGTTCATCGCTTCAGTGACATCCGGAGTCAATTTCGCAACAACTAACGAGAATGCTGGTGTCAGTAATCCAGACTTTCGCGGAACCGTTGTACCAAACGATGGTGCTGCCCCTTTCCAAATGAAGATGAGCGGAGTCCAACTAGGCAATGACGTAGTATTGCCCATTATTTCTGGGAATACACCAACCGGAATTGAGGTCCCTTACGGAACTGTTTACAGAGGTTCGAACCAACGCCGGTGTCAATACTTCATACTGACGGGTCTCATAGTCCTCACCCCAACGTTTAGAGGAGGTGAATCAAAGTACAAGTCTTTGGAAAACACAGTCTTCGTAGCATCGGAGACAGTGTCCGACTCAGGAATCCCTGGAAAGTTTCTTTTAGGGGTCAAAATCTCAAAAGTATTTGCCAGTAAAACAAACATCACTATTGGTGAGGAATTCAGTGGGTGATTCAATGCGTTATCATCCAAAGGATTGATGTGTGGCAAGGCAATATAAATGATTTATGTTGATTGGTCGCATAATGGATAGTTAAGGAAATATTGGAGGAAGGCCAACAATGAAAAAGACATGAATAAAAACCTGAGTTTTATGGCATTCAACATGTCACTATCTCTGTAACTACCAAACTCATTTTCTTCACATGTGCTTATGTTTAGAACGTGCTTCATAGACAGTCTAGTCAGTCTACCAAGACACTCTAAGATTTATAATGACACAGTACTATGAAAAATTGTAAAGTTTGAAACTCTTTACTCTCATTTATTTCAGGTCTAACATTGAAGGGTTCTCCCTCATGATTCTTCAAGATACGTTCGTGCTTCTCCATTTTCCTGAATGCTTCTGTAACTAACAGATGAATTTACCAGGCTGCTTTAAGTTTCCGATGCTTAATTTTAGAATCAAGAAGAGCTTTGTGATATTCACAATACACAAAGTCATTACTTTTTGAAGTGACTGACAACTCCTAGATTTGGCTGTTCGTGAGCAATCATATAATTTTTGCTATTTGTACTGATAAAGATAGACAGCCAGGTATGTTTAAATTATCGCTATTAATGTCCGGTAACAATGACTTAGGCAGTTGCTCGTTGTCAACAATTCATCGTCCAAGGATTCAAGAAATCCAATTGTGCGGGGGGTGAGGCCATATCTGATGATTCTCCGATCAATTTGATAATCCGACTGTGCTGCCGTTAGGAAGAATCCTGTCCTACTCAATTCATCATGGAGCATGGAGGTTGTACCGATGTATTACCTTCATTCACCAACTTCGATTCAGGCTCATATACCGGTATATCCCAGCAATCTTATTATATCAAGTAGCTTCGGAGACAAAACAATCCCTGGCGTTACGTATCAGCTATCCAAGTACCAATTGATCTCTTTCCGCGACGGTGCCCGGTAGAGCGGTATGGATGCGTTAGGGATGGAAACTTGATGTGACAGTCAGTTCAAAACACATGGAAGAACCCACATCACCGACACGCTGAAAATGCTGTACAATTAATGCATATTTGTTATTAGAAAATCAACTTTATTAATTTTAAGTACCTCTACGAAAGTAATAGACTAAACAAGTTAATAAATCACCTTCCTAAGGATGTTATTATATATATTATTATGATTATTAACTCTTTAAATAATATTATAATCGACTATTGTACTTATTCAGATCTATACTTAAATGATCAATCATAAAGAATTTATTCAATTATATAAGCAATTAAAATAATTAGAAAATAATAGTATGTCAACATAGGTTCAAGTCAAAGGCCTTGCTAGTTCCACTTAAGTACAAGCGAAGGCTAGCCCTTTCAATAGCCCTTATATAAGGGCTATCCCATTCGCAGTTAGCTAGCTCATGAGGCAGCATAGACATTGACAGCCAGAGCCTACCCAGGTACATTTTGGGTTCTACGTCATCCATATCCTTCTCAAAGCAACATATAGAGATCATGTAATGTTCTATATAATAAATTAAAGAATCAATGAACGATAATTCCAGAGGATATTTGTATTATTCAGCAGTTCTAAATCCGGTCTACTTTGAATATAACAGGGGGAAATCGATTAACATTGATATTCACATCATCTTAAAGAATCGATGACTATATGTGCATATTCTCTCTATCATTGGATTGCTTAAGACGTAATGATTATTTCAATATGCTAACTTATACCTCTGGATTTTTTTCAAGCAGTCAGCTAATTTCATTTCTTTAGTCCTTATATTACGAAACTACACATTCTCCAAATAACCCACCCTCCCAACCTTCCACATCACTCTCTTTGATATCATCCTTCCGTAAAGCTCCCACCCCTACTCCATTGATGATACAGCCACTCAACCACTCTCCCCCACGACAAAGATCATCACAGTTTAATACCTCAACTCCACTCTCAACCAATATTCTCCACCATTCCTCGTTATCCGGAGTTCCCCAATATCTAGGTATTAACCCTCTTTCTCTCACTTCTCTACATTCATTCCTTATGATTTTCACTTGCTCCTTTGTAGGCCCTTTGGATTTTGAAAATCGACCAATTGATTTAGAAATATGACCAGACACATATAGTGAATTAGATGGATTTTGAGAAGACAGGAAATCGAAAAATCGAGCATCTTTAAAGATATATATGCTTTCATAATCGCATATTAATTCAAAGTCGGCATCGCCAGTTCCGACGATGGTTATGGGGCCAGGAATCAGCTTCTCGGTGGTCGAGTTATAATAGGTAAGGAAACCTGCAGTTCGAAGAGGTTCGAGAAGGGAATAGAGGATGGAGATTCCATCGCGCCCGGAGGAGACACTTTTATAATCAATTGTTAAATGTAACGATAGGTGTGGATTTTCATTCCAAACTCCCACTTTCTTTTCTGGATTTCCTGCAGCTTTGTTCTGTTGTATCAAGATGTCTAAGAGTGGATCTAAATAAAGATTTGAGAGTGTTTTTGCAGGATTAAGCTCTGAAGTGGCATGACCTACGAGGAGATCATTTTCAGAGATTGCAATTTTTGGCGAAGATGTGAAATACGAGAATAATGAGCCGAGAAAGCGAGAGGAACTGTAGTAGGAAGGAATGAAGCAATCCGCTTCGATTGCTATACAGCCAGCGGCAAGAGCGGTATATAGAGGGATTTGTTGATGTTCGTCATTATGAGACCAACAATTAATTGGGGTTATTGATGTGGTGAAATTTGGTTGCCAATAAGCATTTGGGGCGGGAATGGCTCCAGTGGCGACGATTTTTCGAATACCACAATCAGAATTTGGATGATTGTGTGGAAGAGGAGTCATATTTGATGCTTGATTTGATTGAATAGGAAACTATCGAATTACATTAGCATTAGAACGAAGATGTCTAGGACGAAATATGGAAATGGGTATTTAACCTTTGATAATTAAAGATTAAACCGGTCGAAACGAATTCCAAAATTACACAGTTGTTTTTCTCAAAGTGAAATATATTGGGTATTCTAAACGGAATGAGAAATCGAAATCAAGAACGCAATCTTCATCCACCAAAGTTGTTGAATGGAGAATGAATCGCGAGAACCTTCGATTGAGAAATCTTCTCAAAGTCGTAACTCGTACAAAGATTGCCTATCTTGATATTCAATGTCTTGGGACATGTGAGTAGAACCTAGAAATGATTTCAGATGTATGAAATGAGAGACTTCTCATCTAAACAAATCATTAACTCTTATAACGAATCAACCAGTTGGTTTATAAAGTCGGTCAGTATATGCATTGAAAATTACCTCAACCTAAGTTATTTATAAATGCAATTTCATTCCCTGTAGAAGAGAACACGAAATGAAAAGTCCAAACATAATAAGAATCTTACACTAGAAATATAGCGCAAAGCACACAATACTTATGGGTACCATGTGGCTTTAGTTACACTAGAAAATAATAATTCCATTAGTTAATTGGCTTCCGGGAATTCCGTTAGTGCTTCATGTCCATGGAAATCAGGGTCGCATACGTTAGAAAGAAATAGCGTTCTGGAAAATTTCTAGGTCAGGGGGAAATGTGATTTCAGTAATTCCATTACCGCGGTCATGGATTTGGATCCGAGACCAAATGGCAGCCGCCTTATACGCAGTCGATAGCGGCAAGAGAAGTAATAACTATCATGCAAGGTACGAAAAATTGTGTATGAAGGAATAGCTGAGCTCTCCAAGCGGACGACCATTGGTCTTTTTTCATCCTCTTTGGTTTCTTCGTTGGGTCCCACTATGTATAGCAGCGATCGACTTCACCGTCTTTTTGTGACCGAAGTTCCGTGCGAATAAAATTTCGTGAATATTAGAAAAAGTGGAGAATCAAAGTTGTCCAAGAAGGGTGTGTCGGTGGTGTCTTAGTTAGAATGGGAGGGGCAAACCTTAAAAGGAAATATGGGGTATGGGGAATAAGAGGCTCGGGAGGATATTTTGAGAAACTTGCGGTATGATAACCACACATCTCTTGCTGGAAAACTGTATTCTTGAGAATAAACACAAAGGAAAATCATCACAAAAAAAATCATCAGCTAGAAGCAGGAGAGACGTTTCTTGCGTGAAAAGAGTGACCTTTGTTTGAACATAATTGGATGCACAGAAGATCGTCACGGATATATATTATGCTATACCCAAACAAAAAAGGAAAACTCTAGTCTGAACGGCAACAACCACTTCGTTCAACATACCAAATTGTTTCAATGAATCCCATATATTCGAATGTAAATCGTAATCTCAAAATCATCAGTCCCAGAAAATCGTTATGAATAGTATGGCTCCATTGTCATCAAACCTCGGATATTCTTAATGCAATAGCCGCATTCAGCGTCTCCAATTTCACAGTACTCCCATCCTCGTCCCTCTCAACTCCCTTCCTAGCTTTGATATTCTTGTAGCCCCATCCATCATGCCTCTCGACAACGTCTATCCCCTTCCCTTCTAATTCTATTCTTCCGGAGACAGTTTTCGCTTCAATGTTGCCGATCCAAGCTAAGGGGTAGTATGCTTCGATACTTCCAGAGGAGGTTTTATGTGTCGAGTGAACAGTGCGAAGTTTACTCTTGTATGCCAGAAAATAGGAAGAGCTCGACGAGTCAATGAGGGTGGGAGTATATGGAGAGTCGTGGCTATTCGGTGTGGATCCAATCGCACTACTGCGAACGTTGCCGTTGGTGGAGGGTAAAGTAAATAAAGGATCAAGTAATGTGACATGCGTATTGCCACTCACTGAATGAGTAGAGAATTCATTTCGACTTTTATCATCGTCATCAGAAGTTGTTGATAAAACTGGTCTCACCATGAGTTGAATCCTACTAGAAGCGGTGTCGAAAGTCCCCGTAGATCCAACAAAAAATTCGCCTTGAATGGCCCCAGAAAGAGATTTTACACGTGTGATGTATTCTCGGGGATAAGTGGCTTTTGGGTATTGAACAGGTGACGATACTTCGATTTTACCCGAAGATGTATGAATATCCAAAGTAGCGGGAGCGGGTGCTGACTCAAGAGCCGGCTTAGGTTTCACCTCGATTCCTATGGCTCCAGATTGGGAAGATACTTTGAGAAGATCATAAAGGGGATATACACCTTCAATTCTGCCCGACACGGTTTCGACGACAATATGACGAGAATCGAAATCGAAGTTTGTTTTTGGTTCATCGTTAGTTGCGAGGGAAGCATGACTGATTGACGAAATTAAGTCGTTTGGAAACCTAACATGGCCTGATATTGTTTTTAACGTGGCGTCTTTGACAATTTTGACATTGACATCGTCAAAGATTCGAATTGATAGAGTTACCAGGTCAAAAAAAACTTTAAAGATCTCCGCATTTTCTGGTATCCAAGCCGTAATCTCAAGTGAGATGCAAGGGTTTTCATGTATATCTAGATTGGCAAATCTCGGCGTGCTGATTTTCAAGGACCCATCAAGCTCGTTCAAGGTCTTTAGCACAGACATTTCCGGATGGCTAAATTTAACTTCAACTGTAAAATGTGCTTTTCCTTCGTTTGAATTGCGTGGTAGATTTCGAATACGAACTTCTCCAGCTGTTTTGACCTCCGGCCCATAATGAGGAGAATCTTGTTGGTAGAACTCTTGTATCACCACAAGTCCAGCGGCATCCATGATTTCGAATGTGGTTTGCTCCGATTTGGAAACACGCTGACAGTATGAGCCACCATCGTGGATGGGGTTGGAAAATTTAGGCCCCCCTCCCATGTTTGAATCTGGATTCTTGTATACTTATTAGCTTTAGAACTAGTATTTAATCTAGATGAAATAGAACTACAATTATGAAGCTATAAATAATTGTACGTGGCGTGTAAGATAGTCTCGGTTTGCTGGAAGGGTAAACTTACTGATTTTCCTGTGAGGGTAGCACTTAATATAACGGCAGCAATGGTTAGAGCCAGTCCCAATCCAAGGGCTTTTGTTATAATCTCTCGACGAAAGGAAACCTTTTTGGGTGTTCGGGCAAGCCAAAGAGGTGTTCTTTCACCGATCTCCGGATTACCTGCTGGTCCTCCCATACTCTGAGATTCTCTTGATAGACCGTCTTCGAGGCGATGTTGTGAGAAAGTATTGTAGTGTATGGGAATATTCTGTCCTTGTGCCGAGACAGGAGAAGACGTTGCGGAAGCTATATAAGCTGGGGGCGGTTGTTCAAATAAGATTTGATGTTCAGGGAAAGTATTCTCTCCTCTGCGATATGACGAATCATGAAGTGAACCAGACAGAGGGTGAGAATGTCGGTGGTATTGAGTTGCATGAGATGACGCATTGGTGTACGACGACATCTGCAAAGTTGAAGGGACATCAGCGTCTCTCAGAAAATCTCCCATGGCGTATTGAGCATTAGATTTATCCTCTTCTTGTGAGAGTGTCGGATCCGGTATCATAGTTGAAGGAATTTGATTCGAATTGAAATATCCGTCGGTTGGACTGAGCTCATTACTATCATCTTCGTTCCAATTGTTTCTCGGATCATTTTCCGAATTGAATAGATCATCGGAGTAAGGCATGGCTGCCGCTAATGATCAACGCCAATATTGAAGTTGAGAACCAAAATTCGTAAGAGAAGACTCGACTGAACAGATCAATTCAATTGGATGTATGTGATGGCTGGCGTAAGCGCAAATAATAAGAGATGGAAAATCAGACAGATGCAATGTGCATCGTCGTTGTCAAGTGCGTAAGCAAGATAGAAAACATGACTCTCAATACCATCCCAAATGCATTTGATTGTAGAATGAGCCTTGACGCGTAAGAACCATAGGCAACAGTTGAAGGTCGACGAATATGTGCATGATCCCAAGCAAATATATACCCAATGATGGATGTAAATTTTCTGGTGATACGCGTCAAATTGAACAAATAATGTATTCTAAAGAGGATAGGAGATCAATTGGACAGCCATGAGTTGGATGATGCAACTTTGCAGAGTATTTCCGGATGGGTACATACGGTAGATGATGAAATATTGATATCAAGTTGATCTGATATGATAGACAAAAAACATGTCTCGAAAAGGAAGGTAGCCATCAAGTGGGGACATGACTCGGCAATCATTGTTGGCGTACAATTATCTACTTTATCCCACGAGAAATGCCAATGCCAAATTCACGACAAATCTTCTGACAGATCACAAAGATATTCCCTCCAAAGTTTAAGTAAGAGTTTGATATGTAATGTCTATCACGAAGTCGTGTCGGCGCATTTTCTTCGAGCCATGCAAAGTCTAAGAACATGTTCGAGGTTACTAGCTAAGGTACTGCACATTTCTCAGGCTTCTTCATATCAATTATGCCATCACGACCTACGCTAGGAACAGTAGGAAGATGAAATAGATCGAGTAGCGACCTGTCTATTCTTACAAATGTTCGATGGAGGTGTTATGGTTAGGAATAATTTCGTTCAAAGGATGTTGTTGGGTTGATGGCGATTATTTTAGGCTGTGATAGTGTCCACCTTTTACTTTGTGGGGGATTTCACACACCAGTAGCCAATTTGTGCAAGGCCACATTTGCTCTAGACTATGGCGCTTGGTGAAATGACAGCCGCTTCTGAGGCTAAATGGCTTAATGGCTTTGTACTCATTTCACTTCCGCTGTTCGCTTTCGCTATCATCAAACGGTCGCATGGATTCAGCAAGCGTTCTCCGGTCACTTGATTCTGAAGAGGTATGGAAAAATTTCACAAATTTCCTCAACATCCCTGTCGAACAACATCTAAGTTTTATATCACTCGGCTTCTTTTACGTCAGATTCGTACATCTTCCTATCACATACGTCCGTTCTGACAAACGAATAAAATGCAAGGTTCTCAAATTCCTTCTGCTACGCTTACATTAGTGCTGACAAGGCTGCTGTGTTCAATTAACTCATCGTAGCAATACCCGAGACCGGGTGTAACGATGGGTTATTGCTCTACACATATCAATTGTATCAGTTCTACCCCATCCTTTGGTATCGCACGCCGATATTGTACTTCACACAGGTCTTAGGCTGACATGAAAATTCCAAAATAGATTGCCACGACATCTACAGAGCCTTCAAGTGTGGATAAGCTCAATCATTGTATTCAAAGTGGGATACTTGCCCCCTTGTCGCTGGCCAACAACGGGGGAGCATAGACCATAGTGCCAATCACATAAAAGATTTTGTTCCTCACGCCGCACAGAATTAATTACGCTTAATTAAGCTATATGCAAGATTAATCCTCCTCAAAACACAGCCCTGCATTGTCAGCCGCAGAATATATCTCCACTCTTATTTTGTAACAATGAACTTTATATATCAATTCTACATACCAATTGACAAAGGTCGTGAGGTAGCGACTGTCTTTTCTCTTTGTTTTTTAGTTACCTTCGCTAAAGCATCATGCGGGCTTTTCAGTGTGTTAAAGTGTCACTTTTTCTTTATTTCAGTTTGGATGTGATTGCTAGTCCTACACTTGGAACGACACAGACCCTAAGCGCCAGAAACTCGGCTTCAACTGCGTGCGGCGATATCGTCAATAACGAAGGTGTGAATGAAAATTGCAAGATCCTTGATTTATGTACTGATGAAATAATAGATACCGTATTATTCAATGCAACTTTGGCGTTTGAATGCCTCACCAGTGTGCCATTCAATCCTGCTGTCGCTTCTCGTTTTATCACATACTATAATGATACCCTTCAGTTTCAGAGCACATTGAAATATCTCAAAAATCCACCTCCCAGCTATCAACAACCAGCTGTGGATCTCATAGCAGGCCTGAATCGAATTCAAAGCGCGATCGATGAAGGAATATTTTCAAATCAATACGAATTTGAGGCTGCTTTACAGACTCTTGTATACGCCGCACACGATGGGCATGTCGACATACTAGCGGGAGCTTTGTCTGCGTTTAGTTTTGCAAGTCCAAGGGATTTAGTATCACTGTCATTAGATGGCCAACAAATTCCAAAGGTCTATCTAGCCGACGATCTTTTTGACAGCGACTATTTTACAACTTTCCAGCCCTCAGCTATCAAATCAATCAATGGCAGAGATGCAACTACGTATCTTTTGGATTTTGCATCCGTAAATTCAGTTGGTACTCTTGAAGATCATTCAGATTGGAATCAATTGATGCTTAGTGCAGCTCAAGATATCCAAGGGTATTTCAATTCATTCAGTGGGGGGGCGACATTTTATCCCGGAGATAATATTACTTTCCTTTTGGAGAATGGGACGTCTTGGACTGAGAATTATCTTGCTATCTACGATACGCCTGGTCCCACCGGTCCTCTTCAAACTGGAGGAGACTTTTATAATTTTTTTGTTTTGGGGTTCTATCCTGCCTCATATGATCCCAATACCGATGATTCGGATGACGATTCAGAAGATAGTTCTAGTGATGATTCATATACTGCAGTCACTTCGACGACATCCGCTACTCCAACTCCAACTCCAACCGGGTGGGATAGTCCAGCTTACCCAGAGATTCCTGATGTTGCCCAAGAAGACCTTGGAACCTACGGGGATGGAGTTGTTTCCGGTATGTCATTTGAGAATTTTTTAACACATTATTTCTTTAAAAGACTTGACTATTCGGTTTCTAATAAAAAGCAGGATATTTTCTCAATAATACTTCTGTTTCTGTTTTAAGTATTCCAAGCTTTGATGTCGATGGGGATGCTGTCTTTAGTTTCCAGCAAACGATTTCTCAGTTCATCAATCAAACACAGGCAGCCGGCTTAGAGAAGGTTGTTATTGATCTGCAACAAAATTATGGTGGACAATCTTTACTTGCAATCGATACATTCAAACAATTCTTCCCGAATATCGATCCTTTTGCTGGTTCCCGTATGCGAGCCCATGCTTCTGCCGATGTACTTGGCAAGACTTTGACTCCATACTGGGATGATCTGGCCGAGAACGATGAGACAAAGTATGTCTTAGCGGCTGACGAATGGGTCATCACTAATCGGATCAATGCGGATACGAATCGGAATTTCACAAACTGGCAGGAGTTTTTTGGGCCTAATCAATACAACGATGATAATTTCACCAACATTGTAGGTTTTCTTCATTCTCGATTACTTTCACCTGACATCTTGGGTTCACATTTAATTAATATCAATAGGCACGATACAATCTGTCTAATCCTATTTTTGATGCATCTGGTGCTGGTCTAGATGTCAGCGACGACGCTTTTGCAGTGTACGGTTATAATGCAAATCCGGCACCATCAGGAGCTAAGCCACCATTTGCAGCAGAGGATATAATCATTGTAAGTCATCTTCCTGTATCATTTGGTTTTCATATTCTAACAGTTGTAGCTATCTGACGGTATATGTCACTCTTCTTGTGCTCTTTTGATCGAGATGTTTCGCCACGAAGCTGGAGTTCGCGTTGTTGTCGTAGGAGGTACACCAACAACAGGACCAATGCAGGCTCCTGCTGGATCTCGTGGCGCACGTGACTACGATACTTTTACTCTTGACGCCAATATCGATTTCACTCAAAAACTTTTGCAAAACCAAAGCTCAATCGATGCAACATTTCTTCCGAATAGAACTGAACAACTTAGCGTGTTTGTCTACTTTGCGGATATAAACCTCCGTGATCAAGTACGTAAAGATGAAGAGATTCCATTGCAATTCGCCTACGAAGCCGCAGATTGTCGGATTTACTATACACCACAAACCGTGTATAATTACACAAATCTCTGGCAATATGCAGCCGACGCCATTTGGAAGAACTCTAGCCTATGCGTTCAGGATTCAACTGGATATTCATCAATTTCACGAAATTCAACGAATTTTGTCGGCCCAGCAGGTGGTACTGAAAAGATCTCTACCAATATTACCGATTATCTTGCTTCATTAACGACCTCTCCCATTGCAAATCTTATTCTCCAGGGTCTCAACGACGGTCTACCAGCCGTCAACGAAGGTGCCTCTCGCAATGCTCCCGCATCTGCCAAAGTCATCAAATGTACCACAGATGACGACTGCTTGAATGGTAAGCTCTGCGTGAATATTCCATCTTGTTCTGGGGGTAAAGCTGTATCTCAGTGCCTGAGAAAATGTCCGGCAGCCGGTCGACTATGCCCAAGTACCAAGACCAAATGCACACCGCATAGCACAGATGGAAAACTGGGAAATCAAGATGTTCACAAGAACATTTGTCCTCCAGCAGGAAGTGCAGCAAAGTGTGAGAGTCAAAGCCAGCTGAAAACGGTCAATCTTAATCAATGTCCTGACTGTAGCAAATAATTAGACCAATGATGGATATAATGATGGCGCGGGATCGGTATTGGGGAGTTTATGGTGGAATAATTCAGGCTCTTTGGCCTCTGAACTTGGGTTTTGCATTTATTGTATCTCTATTGCTTATTTCACGCAACGTTGTTCAAAATTTCTTCTGAGTGGAGTATTACGGGAGATATTGATTGTATTTAACTAGAATAATTTCTAGATTTTTATGCTCCACCGTAATCTCAAAGGCAAGCAGATTTTGTCAGACATCATTAGTATGAAGTCAGTCATTTTTCGACCCAAAGGTTAATTATAGAATTTCATTTCTTGGCTGTGAGGCACAGGGCTGACAATATCCCATTTTTCTGCATGTCAGCAACCGCCCCCATTTTGGATGCATCCTTCAGCTTTTAGACCGCTTAGCGCATCATATCCTATATATCTTATGTCACCAATCTTTCTTAATATAAAGGATGTCCCAATTTATCCCTCTGACTACATCCTCTGTCCATTCCACATACCAACCTCTTTTTCTCACAATCACCTCAATAAGCAATGGCATCTACTGACGGCAAAATCTACCCTTCTGTTCTCCCTTCCCCTTTCATCCGTCTTTTAAGTCTGGATTCTGGTTCTGATGAACCAGTTAGAGTAACACTACATGAAGTAAATCTCGAGAACGCACCCGCATACGATTGTCTCTCATATACTTGGTCCGACCCACTATACCATGCTCTCAGTCTGGAAGAGGAAATTCATCGTAGCAATGATAAACGCGAACATTCTATCCTCTGCAATGGTCAGAACTTGTTAATTACGGAAAGCTTGTTATTAGCATTGAAGGAATTCAGTAAAGACAATAATGAAGATAGCAGCAGGAGTGGGAAAGTTGGAAATTTTAAGAGAGAGAGATTCATGTGGATAGATGGCATATGTATTAATCAAGACAGCATCGAGGAGCGAAATATACAAGTTGGAATGATGGGAGAAATCTACACAAAATGTTCGCAAGTAATCATCTGGCTTGGAGTTTCAGATTTTCATTCCCCGTATGCTATTGAAGTCATAAATCTTCTCTCGAAAATACCTCCGGAAAATTATATTGGCTTACGTATTAATGATCTTGAGGATTGGGACATATATCCAAAATTGGGTATCGAAGAAGTTGAAACTTGGAAATGGTTAGAATATGCAGCATTTTTACAACGTACTTGGTTTAGTCGCATATGGGTTGTTCAAGAAGCATTTCTGCCAAGAAGTGTTGTTGTGGTTTGTGGGAGTGATGTTATTGGATGGGAAAATATAACAGCTTGTGCGAAAGTATTAAGAGAAACAGGATTGGGAACATTACTGATGGAGCTATTGGTTGAAACTGTGGACAATATTGAAGGGACTGTTTACGTGAACAATACTTTGAACAACCAGTCAATCTTCCAAAGTATGAGGGATATGGCTACACTTGGATCGGAAGAAATGGGGAAAGTCTTGAATTTGGAAAAGTTGTTGTATTATTCAAGATTTTTTGATGCGACAAATCCAAAAGATAAGATCTATGCAATCAGAGGCATTTGGGAAAAAGGAGGGAAAACGATCCCACTGGACATGACGCCCGATTATCAACGAGATCCAACGGTAGCAAGTGTGTATACGAGAGCAGCACTTGAAGTGATTTTTGAAACCAAAGATTTGAATATTCTTTCTTTAGTGGAAGATTACAGCTTGGCGACTCAAAATCCCAACTCGGTGCGGGCGGTTGGAAATCTCCCTTCTTGGGTACCCGATTTTAACTCGTCATCTAATCCTCAACCTTTGGCTGGAAATCCTAGACCACAACCGGGAAGTGAGAGATGGAATGCAGCTCGAGGTATCCCATTTGAAGTGCCAATTCTATCACCGTTAGAATCACGACATCTTCTCCCGATTACAGGTTATAGAATTGATATCATCTCAGAGTCCGCAGCCAATCAAGCAGAAATCATGGGCAACAATTTCGGATTTGACACGGTGCTGGAACTCTTGGCAAATTATCCAAGTCAAAAATATCCTCATATTGACGATGACACGGAGACATATTTCGAAGGATTCTGGCGAACCCTCATCAAAGACACATTCCAAAAGTTACCGGCAAAAGAGAACGCACGAAACGCTTTCCGATATTTTATCACAGTGCGTGTCTCTGAGTTGAGCATTGCATACAACTACGCACTTTCAAAGCAGACCCCCGATCTACCCAAATTACAAAAAGCATACGAAAAAAACAGACAACTGATCAACGACTTGTCTAAACATAGACTAAACGGATCTCTGATTCCTACCTGGGAGGATCTTGAAGAACTCATTGAGATAGCAGCCAATGAAGATTTAACTGATCCAGAAAAGGCGAAGCTTGACAAAGATTATGGGGATTTTTACGAGTCTTTTAGGATTGCGTATGCGGGAAGAAGAATGTTTAGGACTGAAAAGGGATATTGGGGTATTGCTGCACAAACACTGAATATTGACAATGAAGACGAAATTTGGGTTATAGCTGGGTCAAAGGTACCGATGGCTTTAAGACCAGTGAAAGGAAGTAATGGTGAAAATCGAGAATTGATTGGAGAGGCTTACGTGCATGGTCTTATGAATGGTGAGGCTTTGAAATTTTCGGGAGAGAGATTGAAGAGTTTCTTTTTGGAATAAGGGAGAATCAAATGCGTTGAGTGCAGAGGGACAGCTCAAGGCAATACAGTTCCGTGCATAATCTCGTTAGATCAATGTCCAAGATTTCTGACTAGGATCATATGGAGATGAAACAGTCAGATATTTGTTAGGAGGGATTGATAAAGTCATTACATTCTACCCACATAAATTTTAATCGTTTCGTGCCTCTGATCAGCAATAACTTGGAACCGGTTTTGTCAGGTAGATATCTCAAAACCACTGTGGAGTGTGCGGATGAGCGGAAGCACATTCTGATTTACTAAACCTCAGTCGATGAAAGGAAATGAATCAACTTAAAAAGAATGCTCACTTTGCTCAAAACATCATGAACGATACTCGGTGAAATTGAATAAAATTGCAAGTGCCACTCCTCAGACTTCTAGTGCATTCAGCTATCGATCAAATACCACAATCGCAACCTGAGGTTCAAAACCATCCTCAATCTAACTTCACTTGATCTTACATGCTACTACATAAAACACATCATCAAACACCAATTGCATTGTATATAGCGCCCACATATGCTTTCGTACGATGCGACCCCAAGCCAACATCAGCTAATTTGTTCATAGTGTATGATATTGTCAAGCGTCGATCAAGATCCATGATAGCAATTGAGCCACCATATCCCCCCACGTACACACACGCCCTTCCGGTAACCACTTCAGGTCCGTGTCGTTCCCAGAGAGCCCAAATCCGATACCGAAGCGAATGTTTTGCCCAGTGACCAAGTCAATTCCTTTCGACTGTTCTTGGAATATGAGATTAATTGTCTCATTTGATAGAAGACTTACTCCGTTTGCTTTACCCCCAAGTGAGATACAACTCAGCATAGTGGCAATGGAGAGTGCATTGCCATAGCCATTAGACGAGCCAATTTCAGCTTCTCTCCACTCGGGACTGTCGACAACAGATGGATCCAAAGGTGGGTTACCGAATGACTTTGCTGATATTGAGGTTGTATCGGTCTTTTGAAAGATTGCCTTTGAAGCCGGAAATACTAGGGAAGATATCCGGTGCCAGTTTTTGTCCGACGCTCCAATCTCAAAATCTACACCTAATGGATCGGCTATTTCCTGAGCAACGAAGTCTTTCAAGGTTTTACCTGTAATTTTGCGAACCAATTGGCCGATGAGAAAGCCGTAGGTCCACGAATGATAGCCAGATGCTGATCCTGGTGTCCACCATGGTTCTTGTTCTGCGAGCTTTGTAGCACTCAGATCAAAATCGAACAGGTCACTCATATTCATCTGCGAGTCCCAGCCTGACAGTCCAGACGTATGTGACAAGATGTGTCTAATCTCGATGCATGACTTTCCATCGCTAGCAAATTCAGCCCAGTATTTCTGCACTTTATCGTTTATGTTGAGAAGTCCACGATCAACTAGGATGAGTAAAGCAAGGGCACAAATAGTCTTTGTTGTGGAGAAGACGTTAACAACGGTATCGTGCTCCCAATTCTCGGTCTTGTCCTGCGTTCGGAAGCCTCCCCAAACATCGACCACGTTTTTTCCGTCAATGTTGACAACAATAGAAGCCCCCAACTCTTCTCCTGTATTAAGATGGTTCTGAAATACTTCCAACAGCTCCGTGAACCTTGGGTCGGCATATCCGTGTATTCCCTTGTCCATGATCGATAAATAAATTACTAGTATGGTGAAAATTATGCTCAACTCAAATATTTTCCTGGCTCACACTCGACGGAATATAAGATCCGATTAAATTATTCGAGTATATCTAGACATTGGAATGAATTGAAACTGAATGAATAAATTTATAATGATACGCAGAATCCTTGCGCTCTTGGTACCAGTCTCATCCCACCGTTAAATGTAACGGATGCCGAGCGATCATTTCGATTATTTGAACGTGAGATGGTAATGGATGGATGCTCGGGGAGTTAAATTCTTGGCGCTTGGGCTTCGGAACGGGATTGCTTGGAAATCAGAAGTGAGTTATCAACTCCTCTACACTTCATTTTAAAATCTTGATTTCTAATAGACCTAGTCGTATCGGCTCCCTCGTTTTTCCATATATTAATCATAAGCTAGTTTTGGGGATCCACCTCATTGGTGTTCTTTCATATGTTTTATTGAATCTGGAAAAGTACTGTTTGATACCATAACATATTCTTGACCTAAGCCAGCGTTTCAGACTCCCATCCTCCTCTCCCATTCTATTTTAGACCTAGAATAGAGGCCCTATATCCTAACAATTTCTTAGAACCCCTCTCCCTTGCTATTCTTTCAAAAAATTCTGTCTAAGTTAATCCTGACAAAAGAATTTGAAATGATGTTATTTGAGATATAAATAATATTACTATATGTAAATATCAATCAATATTTTGAAAGAAAAGAACTTTTACTTCTTCATCCACATTATAAATAAAAACAACTATAACTTTATATTTCAATTAAACATTGTAGCTATCTTTCAATCATCGTTATCCATCCCATTCTATCCTAAGCTTCAAAACTCCTACTCTCTCAGTAAAAATATTATATCCTCATCCTACCTATCCTTCAAATCGAAACCATCCTAACTATTCTTAGTTCAAGGATAGAATAGGATGGAAGATTTGAAACGCTGTTGACCTTCACTTCCTTTTGAGGTCTGAAGTGCTTGAGGTACAGAAAAATACCTTTAAAAACTTATTTTATAGGACACCTACCAGTGTACGCATGATGAACTGCTACTCTGCTGTTCAGTTTCACTGCGCTCTGTTTAATCGCAAATAAGTATCATTCAGTCAATCCCGATGAGTATATATTTAAGATCAAATCATTAAGATACATCCAAGTTCATAATTTGCTACAAGACTTTAGTGCTTCAAGTAAACGCGAAGCATTATTCAAATTCTAAAGATCTTATATCGTTTGCTTTCCGAGCACGTTTCCCCCAGACAAACCATGCATTCATGATTAAATCATCAATCTCATATTTCGGAATCCTTATACTGTGAAGATCATCACAACCCTCATAATCCTTTTCGTCCATTAACCTTCGAGTTTGTTTGGTTGGAAGGAAGATTGTGGGTTCCTCGTATTGGAAAACCGCCAGGAATTGGCCATCTGACACGATTTGCTCGTCGGGCGATAAACCAAGTTTTTGCAGATCCAAGCCAGGCGGGCAGGCGGTCCAAGTGTGTGGCACGCCACTCCCAATACTAACTAGAGTCTTTGGCGGTATAACATAAATCTCGCCACCAAGCTCAACGATTGCGACTCCATTCAGCACGAGGATGTTCTCGACAACGTATCGTCGACTTTTTGCGTCTGTAGCCATCGTCATATGAACGTGTCTCGGCATCCGAGTGTTTATATCGAAAGGTAGACACCCAAAAGTTCCGTTCATTGTAGGCATATTGATATCTTTACTGTGGCCGAGATTGAAAATTTGAAGCTGTCCAGGAATATTCGTCTCGGCTGGAAAGGCAGTCTTGGTTATCGAACCTTCCCCATGGACGATTCGAGTGCCATTAGAAAGTTGAAAACCAAGGTTATGTTCTGCGGACATTTTTAATGCTTGATGCTTGAAATTTGCTTGAATGTTGGCTTTGCTAAGTTTTGTAATACAAATTTACGAGGTAGTTGGAACTTCGCAATATATAAAAGAGCAAAGAGTAAGTGAGATCCTGTTGGTTCGCCAAGAAGATAGCGGGGGGGGGCACACCTATCACAAGCAAAATCTGACTAAGAATATTCACATTACAGTCCCTCAAATTTATTGGGACTTGCCAAATCTTGATTAGAATCAGCGAAAGATATCATGCTACTCGAAAGTCGAAATACGACATCGGATTTAATGTGGAGCGCACCATCTAACTCCAACGTCCCTTTGTGTTGAAGATTACAGTGATGTTTGACGCCAAAACTTAGGAGATAGGTTGAAACCCACTTGATAACTGCAGCTTTTCACTAGACTCAGAGTTATCCCAGGAGCGTAAGGGTATACTAGAAAAGGAGCGCGCATCTCCTGGTGTTCCTAGGTCTCTTGCTGCAACAAATTACCGAATGGGATCTTTCGCTTATTCCGAGCACGGATGGAAGTACTGTGCGTAGTAATTTATTTTGCAGATTGACAAATAGCACAAATTCTACAGGTCGCATGACGATCAGTCCAGTACTCATTGTTTTGTGATTTCTAGAAGTGCATGGCTTGCGTGCTTCTTGTTATTCTATTCCTATACTTGAAAACAAATCTTTGAGCCCACGGGGCTCATCAATCTCGATTTGATCCAGAAGCTACAGGTGCAGAGTATCCCGAAAAAGGTTCTTCTTCCTGCAATATCATCATCAGCTCATCACGCAAAGATACGAGAGTTTTTTGCTCTCTTGGCTCCCATCCAAGCTTCCTCAATCGATTAGCTCGATTTAAGGAATTAGAGCCAACCACTACAGATGAATAGGGCCCAAATAGGTCGTTGTACGATTCCAAAGGTATAGTTTTGGTCTCAGGACTATTGATTCTCCCCTCTTCGTACAAGATCTTGCCAATCTCAGAAGCACATTCCCCCATGATAGGTCTTCTCCATTATTGCAAAAATAGTAAGGGTTCTTAGTACCCAAATCACTGGTCTCGAGCGAGTGTAATAGTGTAACATAACCTCTTGCTAAATCGCGAACATGTATTTGTGACCACTTTGATAAGCCTTTTCCAATATGTCCGGCATAGCCATGCTTTATCGCAAATCGAGCCAGAGTAGGTAACTGAATCGATAATCGCTTTTCCCGAGAGTTAATTCCGTAAATGAGGGGAGGGATCATGATTGCTAGTTTCGCTTTTGAGCCGAGACTCTTATTGGCGTTTACAATGGCCAGATCAATCTTTCGATGTGGTGCCTCGTCAGATATTGCATCAATATGTTCCGGTTTATCATCCTCGTAAAAAACTTCGGTTGGAAACGAGCCTTTCGAATCATCCCCAAGCAAACTCGCTCCGCTTGTGTGGATATAAATCGCGGCTTGGCCACTTTGCACACGTTGAGTAATGCCTTCGATGACGGCTCCTACTGAGACAATATCGTCCGCAGTCGCAGTATGAATAGTGATATCACTTAAGCAAGCTTGCCTTGCAATTATCTCCGAGTCGCTGAGAGACCCTCTGACCGTCTTGACGCCAAGTTTTTCGAGTTCCTCGGCAGCAGCTTGTCTGCGAACGAGTACCGTAATCTCATAACAGCTTTCCCCGAGTAAAAGATCCAGTATCTCGCCGCCAATATATCCAGGACCAATGAGGAAGACTTGCTTTTGGAGGGACATGATGATGTGTTAAAATGTAGGATGCAGCTGCCGTGTTATGTTGAGGATGGAACAATAAGTTATGGTGTATGGCGATGGATGAGACTGTCTTTAAACTTATAAAGTTGTTGGGAACGATTGTTACTCCGACATGCTACAATATTAGTAACATGACAAATCAAAGTTTGCATGAAAATTAGTTCTACACCATCGTTCTTGTACGATTGGATAAGAACCTTCGTTCGGTACGGAACAACAGATTTTTTCGGAGTTTCAATGGTGAAGGAACTTCGGGGAGGTAATTATCAATGTCGCACTTGCTTAGCGATCTAAAAGATGCTTTAACCGAAATCAAACTCGCGGCGTCGTAAGCTAGACATAGGAAAATCAAATAAGCAAATAATCCCCACGCCCATTTTTTCACTATTTCTGAGTATAGCAAAATCTCTCCATAGGCATTCTGTTCTAAATTACCTTTCAACGATAACGGGAGGTATCCTTGCATAGAGGTATCCGACTAATCCAGCCGCAAAATAATTTAGTTCCGATTAACGCCGATCGGATCACATTTCCGCAATCTTCTCCACTTCGCACTGAAATCCGATCATATTTTAAGTACGTACAAATGGCCCAAATGTTGATTATTCAATTGTTCTATCAGGATACATCTGGAGAGACTTTCCGATGTAAACTTGAAAGAAATTGAAAGATATTTATTTTTTGCAAAGCCACTGCCTCCAACTTTTTGGTCTCGGAGATTTTGAGAGCTCACAAAACTCCAGTCTGGAAAAAACATCCCCTATTTAGATTTACGTTCCTGATCTCTATTCCAACAACACATTCCTGATTTTAAGTCCCCATTCCAAAGCTTCTCCATGCATAACTCCATGTAGATATGCCTCTCCAACCAGTTCATAGAATCCATCTTCACCTCGTCGAACAATTAAAGGAACTGAAGCACCCGCTAAAACCCAAACTTCGTCAGACGGACATAAAGATTGTGCTCCGATGCCAAGATAACCTTTGAGAGTTCGAAATAAAGTCCGGGCATCATTTGCAGCTTCTATTTCTTCCTCGAGACATGAGATTTCCTCTTTGCCGTAATTGCGTGGTTGCTTCTCGGTAATACTGAGTCATTGCATGGAATATGTTGCCTGAGATTTGTTGCGTACACCGTTGCGGACCCATTCCTGATAGTTTGCTACGAGTTCCTCGCATTGTTGTGGTGCTGGATGTTCATTTTGATATGTATCTGCTAGAATAGTGCGCCATACGACTTCATGTGGAGATTGAAATCTGCTGATTCGGAAGTTAGAAGTCTCGTTGAAAAATTCAGAAAAATTCGAGAAACTTACTTGCCACCCATCGCAAGTGGGTATATAGGGTCGAGATGAGCTGTGACCTCATATATTCCATTTAAGAATTCCATCGAATGTAAAGACTTATTTTGTTCTTTGACCTTTTCACAGATTGTGTCAAGCAGCATACCTTGCAATATCAAGGAGTTAGGCTCAGTTTCCAAGAATTTTTGTTTCCACTTCAAATCACCACAGGCGCTCCAATTACAGTCGCCGCGCATTGATAAAGATAAGGGCCCTCGCGGGACACTATAATCTGGAACCCAAGTCGGTAGATTGGGAACAGATGCTATCGAATCCTGAGCATCAGACGATATTCCTAAGCCATGGCATTGGAGCAAGACTCTGGCCACATTTGTGTAAACATCTCGTGCCGCCATCTGGTAATTAATTGAAAGGGCATCTGGGAACTTTGTGAATGGTAGACTGTCCTCTCTCGATAAACCAAGTAGCGCATAAATAATGTCTCGTTTATCGGGAGCCTCACAATATTGATGCGCGCGAAAAAGATATCGAAATAAAGGGAGAAGCTGGGTAGATTCACTCCCTGCTCGAGTGGATTCAAGTTGTATGACTGCCATCTTGAAGCCTGTCTCTGAATTAAATAGCATTTGATGCTTTTTGTGTCGTCTACCCTTCAGAGAATTTCCGGGAAACTTGATCAAACGATTGGTGTGAAGTTCCTTATACCATTCAGTATGGGTTAAGAACGACAATGCCTTCGAAATTGTTTCCCAAGGAATGATTTCTTTGCCGCAAGCAACAACCACATCATTTCCTGTTGTAACTTCTTGTACAGCCCAGATACCCGAGAACCAAGGTCTATTAAAGAAAGCTATGAGACTGAGCCATGATTGTAATTGCAAAGGTACAATGTTGAGACTTTGAAAATATTGTTCTTGACAATCCCAATCTAAACTCACTAGATTTGACCACTCATCATGAGGCACCAAAGATAGTGTTTTTAGGGCTTTAAATGCATCAGAAGTAAAATGGATCTTCTTCCCAAGTCCAATAATGACGTTCCGAGCCTCTTTGAGGGTTTTCGGCACCATTAAAATTTGGGCAGTTCGGTCCATGGCATCCTCTGAGTTAATGCACACCGAATCGATCCAAATATATCGTGTCTTCATCTTCCCGGAAGATTTCGAAGCAACTTTCCTTCCGGTTTTGATGGAATTCTCTGCATCCCCACAGATTCTCAATATTTTGTTATCACATAGTACAATATGATTTCGTGGAACCAGATCTCGCCGCGAATGAGATACAACATCAAATGTTGGAGCTTCGATAAGTTCCACTACATGCAAAGAGTATTGAGTACGACACCATAGCTTTGATTTTATCTCAAGAAGTCGAATGGACGTGGGTGACGGGAGGACCGTGTAGATAAATGGTCTGTCAGTTACATAATTGCGTTTTGGAAATCCTATGAAGTCCATGTTTTTCAAGACCTCTCGGGGGGCTTGAGGCAAGGTCGATTTCTTTCTTTGGCGGATTGATGCACAAGCCGAAAAATCTTTGGAGTAACTTTTATGACACTGGGTTTATTCCGAGAGGAAAAGAAACCAAAAGCATCGAACATATCTGCAAAAAACTAGTCATTTAAAATCAGGCAATTGAGACTCATCATGATCTTTTGATCTGGACCATCTGTAAGTAGGTAAAAATACGCTTGCGAGGAGTCTTGACTTTCGATGAAAATTGCAATGCCAAACTAGATTTGCTCTTCAACGACTTGCATAATTTTCGACTCTGTTGTCTTGACGTGGCTTGATTAAATTAACCTTCTGTGACACTGATATGATCTATAACCTACGATTATAGCCCATTCATCAACAAAAATTGACTCTTCGATGAACTAGAAACGTGATCGTTGAGTTTGAACTGTCACTCTGTTAACCTGTCTTTCTCACAAGACTTGCCACCATGCACCTCTTGTAAAAGTGCAGAAGCCTGACAGAATGGTCATCGAGATGCAAGAAGCCGTTCATCATTCTCAGGCAATGATTTCAGTTCACTTCACTACTAGTATAATGTGTCTGTACTTTCTCATGGAAATTGAGATCGTCTGTTCTTCACCCTGCCACAGATATGTCCAATTCTTTGAGTATCATTCCTCCGAACACTAACCATTGTATTCAACCCCCCCCCCCCCCCCCCCCCCCCCCAATAATCTTCAGTACATCCATCTGAACCCACAGATACCATGCCATACCCCCCTCTTCCCTCTTCCTCTAGGTACTTGCTCAACATAAATATTCAAAAATACCATCAGATATTCCGAAAGATCATTAGAAAAAATGCACAACAATGTCACCTCAATGTGAACTTTCACTGGAAAAGAGCTATTCATATCCAATTCTGAGTCTCAGCGGCAGAATATGTACAGATGGAGCACTAGCCTTAGCGTTTCATCTCAGGTCCTGATCTTCTCATCCTCTCATCCCACATTCAAACGGCAAACCGCACAAAGTAAAATCTCTATCAAGATATTCTTGCCACACTCGTACAAGCAAGATCTGGAACTTCACCCAGACATACCTGATTATCAAGATGTAGATAACCTTTACAAACGCAAGTAGTAATGCATGTGTGGAAGAACCTCCTTCCATCTCAACTTTTCAAATTCCTGCAGCAAATTGAAATTACGTATTTATATCCTGTTTCAGGTGCTGTTGGCAGTATCAGATGAAAACCCTGAATATTGATGGATAGCAAAATATGAAGAAAACTGAAGAGAGAAGAGAGAGAATAAAATTGATTTTTGGGGGAGTTCTGTGCCACCAATGACACACCCATCGTCCCCAACTCTGAATTCTAAATTTGCCGATATCGCCGAGTCCTCAATCAACTTTTCACTTAGTCCCAACACCATAAATCTTGTTTCTCCAAAGATCTTTTCAATAATACCAAAAGAAAGAGTGCTCACCAAATGCCATTTGCTCTATATGTTATACTTCATACATTATCAGCTAACTACTACCTACTAAACTACCTACTAAACTACATAACTCAAGCTCTTCACAAACCCCATTTCCCCTCCATCATCTCTTCAGGTTCCTCAAATTCTATGCTCTCTGGACAAATCGCACTCGCTGGAAGTCAGACAACTTTCCATTACTTCAATAAATATACACCAATGCAAAAAAATTATACAGCTTCAACATTTTCTCAACCCACCACGACACATGGTATCAATATCTTTCGCTTGTCTGAAAGTGCGCCTCTGAAAATCAAAATCAACCTCGAATACATATAACGACAAAATTACCCTCTTACTCCTCATTTTTCATACACCGGTACATCCTAAAATATCCTCTTCCAGCCCCTAGCTCATCAGCTCCGCCTATGTCCATAGATCTTTTTCAAATTTTTGACATTCCTCAGCGATATCATGTGCAAAACCGCTGAAACGTTGCCAGATCTATCAACTCATATAATGCACATCCTCAACATACCGACTCATTATCCCACCACACGAGAATAAGGATTAAAACAACCCAAGAAAAGACAAAGGAAACTACTCAGGACTCCAAACAATCTTATGGCCCAATCTGCACTAGATGAACCTCACACAATAATATAGCAAAAATACGAACCAAGAATCACAAACGCCAATGACTATGCTTCGCCATACGTCATATAACCACAACTTTTCTCTTTGCGAGTGCCAAAGTTAGGAGGCAATAGTTGTCTTCCACTCATCTCGAAACTTTCGAATGTGGGACTTTAGATCGAACGTTCACGAGTCAGGTCGGCTTTTATCTCGGTCTTTCAATCTCCGCCAACAATCTCACAAATCTACTATGCAACTCGATGAAAAAATCAGGCAATCCCACCAACTCAGCCAAGCCTCTTCCTTTCAAACTCGCACCAGCCATTCTACTATCTGGTCCTCTATTACCACCTCTTAAGAAAGATGAAGTAGGTGTGGTTATCGTACCGCCACCTCCAAACGGACCACTGCCATTCCCATTGCCATTTTTCTCATCGCCAGGTCTAGGGGATTGGAGTGCTGATTCAGAACGTGCCAGTTCTTCATCAGCGAGGCGTGCAATCCAATCTGCGAGATCACGGAAGGCAGCGTCGAGGAAGGAAAAAGTGCGCATGGCCATGCGTTCTTTTTGAGTGGAGAGGGCGATTAAAGCATAGACTCGACGTCGGCCACGAGCAGAGGGATCAGGAATGCGAAATATATATGCGGTGGTGTAACCAGCCATTGGATCGCCAAAGAAGATTGGGCCGCCAGATGAGGTAGTTGTGGAAGATGTGAGGTGAGAGGAGAAACTGGAGATAAAGGGGGACGAGGTTGTGGAATTGGGTGTGGGATTTGAGGTTGGTGGAAGGGTTTCACATGAGAGAGTACGAAGACAAGATTGCCGGATAATGGAGAAAGAAGTGGGCTGTAGAGGTTCATGCGTTGATGTATAGTCAACGAAGTGGTTATGCGAAAGGAATTCTCTGGTGGTATAGGTAGGAGGAGATGTGTCGGATCTTTTGATCGAGAGTCTCCGCGCCTGGTGCTGCTCTTCCCGTTCTTCTTTTTGGATTGCGCATTCCGAATCGTCTGAATCTGAGGATGCAGACTTGGGAGGGGTGCTCTGACCTGCAATTCGCTCATAAGGCTTCCTTGTTCGCAGTATTGGACCATTATCGAGTTTGCCAGTCCCTGAAGGTTTAGGGCTTGCGGGCATATCATCCTTGGTCTTCTTAGGTAAAGTAAGAGCGCAATTCTCGCATGGACCTGGCTTTTCACTTGGATATGTTTTGCGAAAGCTCGAATCGCGTCGCAATTGGTTTGTCGTGTTTTGTGTATTTTGCAAAGTAGGTACTCTGGGACTTTGAGGAGGTGTTTCACCCGCGGAACCCGCTGTATTTGGCGCATTCGAAGGACTTGAGTTTACATGAAGAGCTGGCCGACTTGCCGTAACGTCTGGCTCGGAAACAATGGAATTCGTTCCATGTGAAGTATGCGCATTTGTATTTAGAGAAGGTTCCGAGGATCTGAACGATTTACTTGTACTAGGCCTCCGAGGGGTGGGTTCTTTTTTTTCTGGACAGGAAGTACAACCTACTGGAAGTGCTTCTGTTACCATAACCGGGGTTGGACCATGAGTGTCGCAATAATGCGCGAGACATAACTATGGTAGAGAACACAAGGTCAGTACAAGGTCCCATGATTGCCGTATCGAAATCCCCCAAACATCCTAATTATCATTGTGAACCAGTCGCATATCGTTCACGGAAACAATTGTATTGTGCGCCCATCCATCCACAAGGCAAACACGGGCGCAGCATTGGGAAAGAATAGAGGCGCAAAGGTGTGTGAACATGATGCGGATGCGACTGCGACTGCGACTGCGACCATAAAACAATTGTAGAAATTGAAAATGCGAGGGTGTGAGAGTATGAGGGTGTGAATGAATAATTTATCTTACAATTAAAGCCATAGTATTAGAAGAAAATCAATGGATTTGTGAATCAATAGGTCCTTGTCGATTCTGTATTTTTTTTGCCTCTCACACGTTTTCTCTCTCTTCCTGTTTGTTGCCAAATTCTCGGTATTTTGAAATGTCTTAAACTTTTTTCTGCTTTTAATCCTCTTAATCCCAGTGTTGCCGTCTCTTTCTGTGGGACCTTGGTGACAAAGTGGATTTCGATTTCTTTTTTAGGATCGTCTCACACTCTCACACTCTTTATTCTTCTGCGATTTGTCGATATGTGATATTTGATATGTACTCCTCCCAGTACTCGGATGCTTTGGTTCACACAAAACAGAAGGGTGGAAGGTGTACAATTGGAACCGAAATCGAAGGAGCAAACGCGAGAAAGCGAGGTTATTCGTAGTAGATTTTTGGTATGGGGTATTGGTATTGATTGATTGACGATTGGTAATTGATTTTCCAGTGATTGGTCATTAAGTGATTCTTGATTCTCGATCCTTTATTCTTCACTCTTGATGGTTGTATAATAAGAATCGGCGGAGTGAAAAGAATTCTGTGGTATTTCCTCTTTTATAAGAAAAAAATGGAACAGAATAGAATTGAGATTGAAATTGAAATTGAAATTGAATTAAATTTAGATTCTGGAACGAACAAACCCACAGATGCCCAAATGAACTTTGTTAGATCGAACGACAAGTTTTGGTGGGGGTTGGAGGGCGCTAAAAGTGTCAAGGCAATTCAAAGAAAGGTTAATTATGAGTTCACCAGATGGAACTTCATCATATAATCATCCCTAATAATAAAGTTTGAACTAGAATCAACTAAAGTAAGTGAAGTATGAAGTACGAAGTATAAAGTGTGTTCATATATCTGTATATTTCTATAAAACAATGGGTGATGAATGTTTCGAGTGATGAGGTGGCTGAGTGAGGGAGTGATCACTTAACAATATAGACAGCAAACTTCTCGAGAAATGCTTCGATGGATTTATATATATACACTTCTAATTCATCAGAAAGAAGGCATTCATATCAAAAAATGAAGGTTGGTCAGGAATCTCTCTTGTCTAGGTGTTTACTTGCTTGCTCACTTGCTTGATCATCATGTCACAAAAGAAAATACAAAATAAGCAATAGAATAACTTAATAGAAATAAAAGGAGGGGTAAAATAAATCATCATCGTCGACTGATTACCATTACCATTCCCTACCTATCAAGCCTACCAACTACTCATCAGTAGTCACGTCCATCATTTTTGGTAACTTCTCACCGCTTCGGAAACCCGAGTATCACATATAGTCCCTTCACATTCCCCAACCAATCCCTCGTCACGATCTCATATAGAATATAACATCGTTTAAAGCCACAATATCATTTCTCGGTCGTTATGTCGGAACGGTCCGGCTGACATATGAAGTTCTCTTTTCCTACTGGCTATTGTCCGCTCGGATGACTTTTGGCTCAAAATATCTAAGAAGAGTAGTTGTTCTGCGTGCATATAAGATTACGATGTCACGAAGTCTATTTATCATAAGCATGCGGGGATCTACAATCCAATCAAGTGGAAGGCGGAATGGAGAAAGTGTTCCATGTTGCCGTTTTGGGCATCCTTGGCCGCTCAAATCATGTTCAATATGCGAAGGTGCAACATTGAGGGGGAAACTCTTAAACCCCTATAGCTCGCTACGCTCAAAAATTGAAGATATAAATTGTATTTCGCATCTCGCGCAGTCAGTCTCTCCACGGCAGTGGCCGCTGGAAGACCAGCGGCACGTCATTTATTTAGTTATTATTCGTACAGAAGCATCCTCTTAATCTACATCCCATCAATAAACGAGTACACCAAGTACTTTTATACAAGAATAGACACATCCAAGACCACAAATTGATATCGATCATTCCCTGACTTCCTCGATAGATGGATTTGCATTTAGCTAACCACGTACGTTGTACCATCGAAAACAAGAATACACATCAGTATTAAGTATTGAAAAGGAAAAGAACATCAAGAAGAACTTTCTCGAAAAGTGAGACATCAGACGAAAAACAAATTCTCCTTATTCCCTTCTAGCCCTTCCATTCATTTTTTTCCCTTATCGCCATGCGTACTTCATGCCTGTAGTTTTTCTCAGTGCCTCGTGGTACCTTTTCGTTCTATTTATTCCCATGCGCTCATCCGTTCTATCAAATCCAAGGGAGTCATTTCGCACCACCTAACAGCTCAGCCACGAGTATTCGGCTAGAACCCCAAGGCAACATTATGCGACCCTCTGTCATGATGGCCCTCCAAAATTCCCGATCCATGGAGTGGGAAGGTCATGTATTGTAACATCGCTCAATCTGCGAATTGACCGACACGGAAGGTTAAGTACATGTACGTGTGCTCATTGCCTCACTGACGTGCTAGCTATGGTTACCTCAGCTCGGATCCACTTTGTACATCAGAGGTTGCAGCTTCCGTTGAACCCTGAGTACATCAGGTACTGAAACTAGATCTTGGAATTTCATACTCTCTGCCATTGTCCATGTACATAACCAACCGACCGACCGGCATGCGTATGTACATAACATCATGTAAGGGGCTCTGCTGCACATAGACTTTGATGTTTCAAACCTTCATATATGTTCAAGTTCAATGCGGTACTACAGTATCACATGTAAATCAATATCATCATTATCCTCATCGAGATGGAAGTAGAGAGAAAGAATAGTATTGCCTGAGAATGATGAAAGCTATCAAGTCCATGCTCGATCCAAACTCACATCAAAATCGTAGGTTCCTCCCTAAAGTTTTTTTATGTTATTTTTCTGTGAACACCCCTCACGCCAAGATGTCGTGCTCCTCACTTCAAGAGTGTGAGAAGTGACCATCATTGCCATTGTAAAACACTCTCAGCAGCGCAATCTCCTGCTCCCCTCTTCTCATCGATGCTAGCCATGAGTCATTGTTGATTGAATCATCTTTACTAACATTAACCCAACAAACAAATCATCCACCCGTTGGCCCACCCGTCACCACCTATTCATCAAATGCTCATTAACATGAGCCCAAAAGATGAAGAAACCAGATTTACCCGTCGCCCATTCCAGAAATGCCTTTACAGCAGAACCAGTGTAGACTAGAAAAGTTTCTCCTGCGAGTACCTTCATTGAACGCCCTCCCATTACGCCATGCCGTCATACCAGAGCGAATTCGCTGAAACTTTTGCTATCCGCTACTACTCATGCGACCCAAAGTATTTATCTGTCGAGAAAATAAAAGAGAGAAAATTGAAAAACGAGAGTCGTATGATGCAAACACGAAAATTCAGCGACAGCTGAAGAGATTCATGAGCCGAATCAAACGTCAAGTCGAGTAGCGGGATGCATCCAGAAACAGCTCAACGTCGAGAGCAAAAGAATCCCGCAGCCATGTCCGTCGTAAAATCGAGTCTATCGCAAAGGGAATAGAAGGTTATATGTACAAAACTCCAAACATCATCATCACGTGCAACAAGGTTGGTACACAAGCCTATTAAGCTGGTGGAGGACCCTGGCCTCGACCTCCTCTTGAGTTGTCGTAACCGTTCTGTCGTGGTCCTTGACCGCTTCCTCTACCACCAAATCCGCCTCGGCCTCTGGAATAGTTTTGACGCTGACCTTGGTTTTGTCTCGGTCCTTGTCCTTGTACCTGCCCTTGTCCTTGCCCTTGACTCTGATTTTGGCCTGGGCCACTCTGGCGTCCATTATTATAATTATTATATTGACCACCAGTTCTCTGGTTTCCAGAGTGCTGCGTGGGTTGTTGCTGATCACGTCCTGGTCCTGATGCCTGACGGGTGTTGGTTTGGAAATTGGATACGGGACGGGGGATGTTTTCGGGAGTCTCGTAGACATAAAGGTTCTTCGGGATAATTTGTGGAATTGGAGCAATCTCTGTCCCAAGTTCACGCTCGATATTATACAAGTTGAAGCGATCCTCCCAACTGATGAGGTTGATTGCGAGACCGAGATGTCCAAATCGGCCAGACCTACCAATACGATGAAGATAAGTTTCAGCGTTCTTAGGGAAATCGAAGTTGATAACAACATTCACAGCTTGAATGTCAATACCACGAGTAAGTAAATCGGAGCAAACAAGATTGCGGCAAACACCATTTCGAAAGTCATGGAAAACGCGGTTTCTGTTGGCTTGAATCATACGAGCGTGACTGTAGAAACATGAATAGCCTAATTCGGTAATCTTCTTGGCAAGAAGTTCGACTCGATTTGTAGAGTTGCAAAAGATGATCGACTGGTTGATTTGTAATTTTGAGAATAAAGTATTGAGACAATGTACTTTCTCTTTCTCTTCGACAAATGCATAAAACTGAGTGATACCGCGCAGAGTGAGCTCGTCCATAAGATTGATTTCGTAGGGGTCGACCATGTTCTTATCCGAAAAGTCTTTGACTGTCATTGGGAAGGTTGCGCTGAAGAGCATGATCTGTCGGTCTTTTGGATGGAATTGAAGTAATTGTTCGATGACGATAGTAAATTCAGGTGAGAGTAGTTTATCAGCTTCATCCATGACAAACATATTGCATTCACTGAGGTCGGCCACATTCTTTCCAGCTAAATCGAGAATTCTACCAGGTGTACCGACGATAATGTGAACGGGCTCCTGGAGACGCAGAATGTCATCTCGTAAGGTAGTACCACCAGTAGTAACCATAACGTTGATGCCGAGATGTTGACCAAGAGTTTTGCAGACTTGTGAAGTTTGAAGAGCTAGTTCTCGAGTAGGTACCAGGATGAGACATTGTACTTTGGTGTTTTTGGGGTTGATACGTTCGAGTGCAGGGATGACGAAGGCGGCAGTTTTACCAGTACCGTTCTTCGCTCTAGCCAGTATGTCTCGACCTGTGAGGGCTACGGGGATTGCCTCTTCTTGAATTGGGGATGGCTTCTCGTAACCCATCTCGAAAATGCCCATTAACAGCTCTCGCTTGATGGAGAAATCTTCGAATTCGAGACCTTTGGTAGCGGTAACATCCTACATAAATATGTTAGCGACTCTGACGAAACATCGAGTAGACAACGATATGTTTGAGTACCTCTGTCTGTTGCCTCGTATCTTTCACTGGGATGTTAAGACCAGCTTTCCAGTTGTCTGAGGAAGCATTATCACTATTCTCATATCAGTGATAATTAAAGATATCCAAGGAGTGACGATCATACTTGATGTTAGTAGCCGCTAGCTTGTTTGCCAGCTCATCAGCCATTGTATATGTAGTTTTTGTTGGAAGAGGGTATCTTTAGAATAAATGTATGAGATGTGGTGTTGGGGCGCGAAAATAAGGTCGCGTTCTATTGGAATTCGTCTTAGATCGTATGCAATTAATTCAGCATAAAATAGTATAACACTAGAGAAGGCCGGTAGAAAAGAAGGCCGCAATGATGTTGATCTTGAAGGGTGGGAATATACGAGTTATTATCGAGTTGAGGGGTGGTTGTTGATGTCGAGGAAATTGTTGATTGTTTGTGATGTATTTGTAGTGGGGTTATTGAGCGTAGGTATTTATGCTTTTTCTTGTCTGCCGGATTGTGCGCATGAATTGAATTGAGTATTGTAATCGAAGATCCGATTTATGTAGAGATCTGAAGTCCTGTGACGGTAGTTGTTATGGTATGGTAGTTGGTGGGTTGTGGGTTGTGGGTTGTGGGTGGTTGTGTGTTTATTTCGAATTCTTCAAGGGTTGATTTGGGTTGAGGTGAGGTGAGGTGAGGTGAGGTGAGGTGAGGTGGTTTGGATTGAAAGGAAGATCAGAGAAACTTTTAAGGTTTAGTGTGGCTCCTAAAAGCTTTCGGCAGGCGGGCAGGCGGGAGGGCTAGAATGGAAAGGCTACCAAGTAATTTTGGTACGGCCCACGTGATGTAATGTTTTTAAGATTAGGACTGATGAAGGGAGGAGGGCTCGAGGAGGGGATAATAATTAAGAAGTACGGTACACAGGCGTGTGTTATACATTCACCTTGTAATAATAACATCTAACATCTAGGTAGTATCTAGTAATGATCAAAGGTTGAGAACAGTCGAATTCGATACATTCATATAGAGCACTGAATTCACCCATCAAGAAGCACTCGTCAAGAGATGTATCATTTGACCCTCTTTCATACTTGATGTATATAGGTACCTACCTGGGTACGGATTTACTCAATACACGTACAGATCAAACACGAGTAGGTTTGTTTTATGAAGCAATCAATGACAAAGAAGTACCAAGTATGCTCCCGATCATCGAAGGGCAATTGATTTTCTGAAATGCTCAGACCAAGGCAAACGTTGCTCCTGACGCAGCAAACACATAAGCAGTCTGAGAATAATCTCATAGCTAATAAGTTTATCACAAGTAATATAAGGGCAAATCGCAATGTAACAGAGATCTTTCTACTTTAGCATCATAATTATTGGGATTAATATTCATATCTCATTTATTATCCATATACCAAGTACTTCCATGCCAAAAGCACCACCTACCTATGACGCCAAAGACTAGGATGACATTCCACCAAATTAGAATGCCATCGCATCTGTATCTCGCTCCCTTTTAATTTTGACATCGCTTTCGTCTTTCATCAGAGCAGCGACAAATGATCTGAAGTAGTCTACGTATGGCTTCAAACTTGTTTTCTCCCAATCTTGTATGCTTTTTCCATCCATATCTCCGTCTTCAGGTGGAGTCCACTGATCGATCTCGCCTAGAAGTTCGGTTACAGTTGGTACCGCGAGAGGATCAAAGTCCCCTACACGTCTAGTGTCTATAGGAACACACACTCTTCCTGTGCCTGGGTGTACAACGAAAGGACTCTTGAGTAAATGGTTGAGATGCTTACTGACTTCAATATCGAGTCGAGGGTACGTATATTCGAGAACTATATCTTGCTTCGCTTCCAGTAATGCTCTTGGATCCAAACCCTTGGTGGATTTTGCCAATGCATCAATATCAGCCCATTTCGACGTTGATGACCGTCCAGGAGCAGAGCTCCACTTTTTCCGTAAACTTTCATTCAGTATTCTGTCAGGTAGAAGCTGCAATAACTTGTCGATTTTGTCGTCTTCCTCCCACGGATCTTGATCATGAAGGATGTCGTTTTGGAAGTGGCCTTTGAGTATATCAAGACTTCGTCTGCTTCATATTAGTAAAAGGAAGAATTAAAGTGCAAATGTACATACAATACATGCGGATGCAATGGTCTTTTCACATTAACCTTTTTCGCAGTTTGCGATCCACCTCGAATGACCTCTAGATATCCCGCAATAGCCCTTCTCTTCTGGTCGTCCATTTGCCTAGCTTTCTTGTCGCATACCCAAGCGTGAGCTCCTCTCCTTCCAGAGTATACCCACATGATATGTTTGAAACCAAAATCATCTCGCAGCGCAATATCAACCACTTTGATAGCCATCGTAATGAATTGCCAGCACTTGTTGCAGATATTTGCTTTGTCACAGCACGTTCTGATCTCGTCGTAATCTGTCAAATCGATATCAAAGCATAACTCCTTGGCTATTGGTCGAAAGGCGGAAGACTTGCGAAGTGTTTTGCGATCCCTAGGATTTGTACTATACACTGGGCCAATTTCGAATCTGGACGGCATAAGACGAAGGACATCCTTACGTAGACTGAAGTTTGTTAGCGTGAGTGGGCCTGAATGATACACCATCACTTACAGATCGGAGGTCGGGAATGCTTGATATCGCAAGTATGCATCGTTTTGAAGGGTGAATGCAAATTCACGATGTCCAAAGTCGGTTGAGGGCGTCGGAGAATGATTGAGCCATTGAAATAAGTGGCGCCAAGGGAAAAGTCTCTGGTAAAAGGATCGCATAACTTCTGGATCTGATGCTCGCGATGTAGGACCTATATTTCTTAATATCTACTTAGCTTCTGAGCCTAGAACACGGCTTTCAATACTTACACTGGGGAAGCTGGCGCTTCAGGTGAGCTCGACAGCTTTTCCTCTTTCGCATTTGTACTTGGGAATTCATCGTCAGACTCTACATCTGCAAACAGTTCTGATAAATTGTTCTCGGTTTTCGCAGCCGCCTGAGGTATCGCCTCGCCTTGAACTCCAGCATCTGCCATTGTAATATCTTCGTCATCATTCAACTCAACAACCTGCGTGTTGGCAGACGCATCCTCTGCCTCTTGACTCATTTGTGCGTCATCCTGCTTCTCTTCGTTATCAGACATATTCTCTTGTGATTTTATCGAGGGTTCTTCGGGGGAAATAGAATGTGGCATAATGAGGTTCGTGTATGTATTCGTGTTTCCCAATATTTTAGTGGAAGTAACTTAAGCCTCGAACCGAAAATCAATTTAAACATCCTACGCGTTCGACGCGATCAGTCAGTCCCCTTTTCGCGATTATGCGCTAAGATAAGCTGATAAGGATTGACGAATTCATGAATTAATCCACCTCCCGAATTCATACCACAAAAAGATGTAATGATTGGGAAACATTGTCGAAATCTCGGAATTCTTCTTAATTATACTGGAAGATTTGAATTCATCTTACTTGTGTACTCAACGTGAGAATAACAACGAAATGTTATGCCGGCCTCCTTTCTCACTCGAATTCCGTAGCATCACTCAACTTACCTATGGAATTCGAAGGCAGTAACCACCTTGATATTGATTGCCCTATTCGAAGGTCCTTTCCTTTCAACAATATAATGAAAATAATCAAAAGAGGGTACCACGAGAGAATTGCAGTGCTTGTGTTTTCTGCTTTTCAAATACTTTCAGCATCTCTGCTAAGAATCCGTACTCGCATCAAATCACTTTTTGAACCCAAGAGATTATAAAATTCAAAAACATAGATATCTCCTTCACATTGCAGGATTCTGCAAGGCACGATGGAACCAAATAATGATTTCAATGATTCACCAACGTATATGAGATTTCTACCGCCCTGTCGCATTCATGCTTACACAATCTCATCTGCAGTTCCCCCTTCGCCAGGAATTGGTCTCCATTCTATGTCAAGTTTCGAAGCGAGCAATATCCAATGAAATATGAAGTCGAGAACAAACGTGTGAGTATTAAAAACACGTTTTTCAATGACTTGGGCTTGCACAGTACCCCTGGTGAAGCGTATATACTTGATGATTGTTTCCGACTCCCTTTACAGTTGTTCCTTCGATGGTTGCAAGAAGACCATATGGATGCAATATTGTGCAAGGTTATGACAGAGCACATACCCTTGTTCAACGATACTTGGGCAATTGCCGTCGTACACTTGTGTCTACTTTGCGAGAATTGGGGCTTTCCCCTTGCTTTCAATGCAGCAATGGATCATTTAATACATCTACGAGACTTTTCATTTATGGTCCCGAAGCAAATCGAGGCCATCTACAAGACTACCTACGCTGGATCGGGTTTGCGACGATTGATCGCGGATGTTCTCTCGATTGGACAGTATCAAGATCAAATGAAGCATTTAGGGTTACTCGAAGATTCGATTGCAGGGGAAGTGTTTGAGGAGCTTTTGGATGATATGAGGACACGTGAACTTCCCGAACCATCGTTGTTTGATTCTGATGGCACTGTTAGAAATGGTCAGTTGGCGGAATATCACATGAATTTATAGGAGAGGGCAAAGCGTTCATCATGGTTTCCAGTCCTTTTACTGTCTGTTTTGCGGATGCAGCGCGAGTTCTGAAATTGAAGAACGGTCTATGGTTCCAAGAGGTTTTGAAGCTTTGAACATGGTAAATAGTTATAGCTGGTACGCATAGCATTCCTGTAGCTAAACCAGCGTTTAAAAGCCGTGTGTCTCAACATCGAACCCGACTTTCAACATTTGTAATACGTTTGTACAACTCAATAAGCGGGGTAGCTTATGCATGTTCATTGTGATATGCTCCATAGCTGGATAGTTCATTCATGCACCCTTTAATCTACAGAAAGCCAAGTCACGTAGGTCATTTTTATATCTTACTGGATAAACCAACTCGCGAAGCAGAAAGCACCCCGAAAATCTGCTTTGGCAAGTGAACATGCCAGAGCTATGATGCCGCTTATCACTAGTTCCACAAAGTTTATAAAGAAGATAACTTTGTAATTCGGGCCTTTATCAATATGGATTCCCCATCCCAAAGCAATTGGTGCATCTCCATTATGAACTATACTTGTTTTGCATTTTTGTGGGATTCTTCTCATCCAGAAAATAATTCTTGTAGGACTGGTGTATTGCAGATAGTGCATGATAAAAAAAATTGAAACGGGAAGCTCTCCTTAGCCAATTATAAATGGATCGTATCTCCAGCGGTCGTTATCTACCTCTTTTCGAGTGGCAGAGGAAGTTAATTTTGCAAAATTCTGACGTCGTGACGTTTCTCCAGAGACTAGTCTTGGTAGTCAGCGCTACGATGAAGATGATCTCTGAATTCCCATACGAAAGACGCTGATGCTGGTTTGATGAGCCAAAATTTGGAGTGCATGCCACGCAGTTCAGAGTATTTTTTCGGACACATTTGAATATGAGTTCGTCAAGTTTTGCTCCAACAAGATCAATCTCGCCATATATAGAAAAGAAAACGCATGTAATATGTAGTTCCGTTGTCAATTTCAAAGAAATTTGGGCACACCTAGGTGCCCGCATGAACCTCAGACATGAGTTTCCATCATTTTATACATATGTGTACGCTACCTGAACATGGTAGCTCATCTAACGGAAAGCTATACAGCAGTTATATTACCGAAGTCACGTCAAAATACTGAGACATCATCTCGTAATTGTTTCAAAATAGCTCCAGTCATGAATTCATTCAAATTTTAATCAAGGGTCAAATCTTGAGGAATTCTAAACGATAGAAAGCAAATCAGATCAGCCAATCTTACAATCTCTAAAGTTGATAGAATTTGTATACCGTTTTGTATAGGACATACGAGATCATACATTATCCGATCTGAAATAGGAAATTGAGAGACATCTAGATCTATCTGGGCCTGGTGAACTAGCTCTACATTTTCAATCACTCAATTATCTGGTTCAATCAAAACCTATGGAGCTTATCGTCCAATATGATAAAACAGCTCTGTTACGTTGAATGAAGTCAAAACCTCGTATCTACTTTCAGCCTACCATATTTCAAATAGGATTCTGTGATGGTAAACCAACAGCATGGATGATAGAAGCGACTACAAAATATCTAAAAGATGATATTACCAATTTGCTCAAGTTAAGTACTGTGATTAACCACTACGCTGCGGAATCAGCCGAAGACATGTATTTGATGTCAAGGTTGCATGCATGTATATATTGAAGTGTCAGAAGATTCTATGTGTAAGATGACATTGAGATAAGTTTATAGTCAAACCCCAGTATCTTTATATGCTATATATCAAATGAGATCTCTAGGCGTATTGGTCAGATATATTGGTGGATGCATAATATTACAAATAGATATATTCTACCTACATACTCTATAAGCTATCCAACACTGGACCTTGTCATTTCACGCAAGACATATCGTAGATTTTCATTTTTTTATCGTTTGAGTCTATAATATAAAATTCGCTTGGGTATTCCTGACTACGCAGATGCAAAAACTCCTAGAACTATCAAAAGAAAATTTGAATTTCGCCAAGATTCACCAGAATTCCTCGAAAGATCCAGAATCCGAACTTCCAGGAGCAATCTTACGCCAAGTACCACTATAACTTTCGATAATAACTCCAGAATTCATATAACTCCCATTACTCCCGCTAAGAGATCACCTATTTGTTGTCTCTTATCTCCTCTAACCTTCCTACGCTTGCTTGGTCGAGATCCTGAGCCACTAGCATCGTTATCTATTGTCTCATTGGCCTGCTGTCGGGATCTGGTTCTAGCGGTAGGTATCGTGATACGGGTATAGACGTAACCCTTTGCGCCAACTCCGAGGTTTTTGCTAGTATATTTGAGCGATCTATCACTCGTTCCGCCATCGTAAAATGGCTGATGCAAATCTGCCCGCGATGGTGTATAAAATAGTTCAGGGCCAAGACGAAGAGAAGCAACTGGTATAGAAGATATAAATTCGCCGGAGACCATAGGAACAAATTCGCCGACCTTTAGGCCAGCGGCACGCAAGTCCTCATCGTTGCGAAGCTCGCTAATTCGATTGAGAGAGGTAAGGGTACGGAATTCCCAAGTTTCAAGCTCACGATATTCTTTGCGACTGATAAAATCTACAGCTTCAAAGTGGGAGAGGCCAGTTCTCTTGAGTTTGGCGCGGCCAGCAGGGGTTCTTTCCATCGCTCTTACTTGCTCCTCGGCGTGAAGATACGCGCTATTTCTTGCTGCGGACGAAGATTCTCCTGTAAGTAGGGTTGATATATCTGCTCGAGGTATCATTGTGATCTTGGCTTTATCCCACAGAGGTTTAGCAGTGGATCTACGGATTGGTCTGGCCTGTGATAATTATTGTTAGCAATTGTTTTGTTGAAACGGCATATGCAAAGCACGTGCTCGAGCAAGTTTAGAGGAATTCAGAACACAAAGATCCGTGCTCAGACTATTACCGAGATTCCTTCAAGAGAAAAAGGGGATCAAGGGTTGAAAGAAACGACTTACAGGAAGTCCAAGACTTGCGCGCATAGCCATAATATGCTTTACACAGTCTGACTGCAAGATTTCAAGTAACGCTCCATCAGGGTGTACTTCCCAGCCAAGTTTCTCAGCGCTGAGTTGAGCCAATCCATTGAAATCACAGTCCATAACGTCGAAAACAGCTAAAGCAGGAAAATCGTTTAGGTATTGCAAGCAGTTTTTGGTAATCTCCGGGAAATTTCGAAGCTTTAAGATTCTCAGGACTTTGAATCCCTTTCCCTTCGCTGCGACCTCGCTCCAGGTTTTGATTACTCTATCTCCGAAGCACGAATCAAACTGCTTACCGGCAGTTCTTACACGATTATCATGCTTTGGATTAGAAATCTCGAGAGCTACTAAATTAACAAGTGTAGACAGTTCGACCATATTCGAAGTGCTGAAAGCAGTGGTAATAGATAAGTGTACAAGAAAGTCGAAAGTGACTGATTTGAGTGGCTTCGTGTAGACAGATAAGGACGGAACTGGCTCTGTGACAGAACCACTGTATCGAAATTGGTTTAAAATGGCACATTCATCTCGATCGAGAGCTTTTGAAAAAGCCTTCCAAGTATTAAAACTGTTGACACATCTACACCCAAGAGATCAGCTAAACTCAGTGCTTGTATGCAAGGTAGTTGTCATGTCTCTGGAATTCTGTGCCCCACAATAAAAACTGCACAGGGTCCTTGCAGCACTCCTCGATTTAAGAGTAAAGTAAGGGGAAAGAATACTAAAACTAACCTCTTTGACAGTTCCCGCCAAAGAAACTCAAGCTGCGTTGAAGGCATGTTCTTGATGCTTTCATAGGTAATACTGCTAACGTTCTTTACAATTGAATCGACCGAAAGTTGCATTAAACGTGGTACACGAGGTTTTCTACGTTTAAATTGTGCAGTGATCGCTTCTCCAGCAGTGAACTCTTGATCGTCATCAGATTCTTCCCAATTTGCTTCTAGAAGTTCCCTAAAGGTCTGTCAGATCCCATTTTATGAGAAAGAATTGTGAGAAAGAGGGGGCCAGCTTACTCAAATTGAGAATCCCAATGATAATCCGAAACTTGGAGTTCCCGTGAAGTTGTTTCCTGGGATACTAGACCGGAATCTGGGTCAATTATCCGTCTGGGCCCATCTAAGACGCCACGCGGAAGAGTAACAGAGGGCTTAAGGAGATGAAGTCCCGAGCGCGCTGGCTCTGTTCACGGAAGTAGCCATTCATTCTCGTGGTTAGTGACATATTTGTGATGGTTCTTCTTATTATGAGGAGCCTAGGTATATGAAAGACTGATGACTGTAGTTATTGAAGGAGGCTTTTGAAAGATATAATTCCTCGTTCGCAGGACACATAGATCAAGGTCTTCTGCAATTTGCTAAATTAAGTTTGGCGCTTGTAGCTGCGGAAGAAGACTTTGGGCCCTTGAGTGGGTCGTCTAGTATGATGACTCTGGTTGTGAAGGATATTCGAATAGATCTGGATATAGTTTGCGACTGTGGCATAATAAGGTAAGTGATTAGTTGGTAAATAAGGTGATCAAACTATTTCTCGAGCCGATTAGATTGACGGGTGTGATACTGAGAGGATGATTTGGCCGATAAAAGTCTTCCTTTAAATAGAATGGCGACTGGGATCCTTATGGCAGGAGGAAACCTCCAGAAGATCGAGCTCGATCAATGATTCTGTAGTGCAGTGGAAAAGAAATTTAGTGAACTCAGACCGCCAATACAAAAAGTGGAAAGTAGACAAATCAGAATTCCAGAATTTTTGACTTCCGGGGGGTATACACTGCAAATGTTTGGAGTTCAAAAGTCTAGCGTGCAATATTTGAAAAGTGTCGAAACAGAAGAAAACGGGACGGGTTGAATTTTGATATTGAGAAAACGGAAGAGGCGGCAATGAGGTGTCGATTGTTGTGGCAATTCAATTGAAATTGATGCTTTATGAAATCAGACTTGCCTTGCCTCACCTTGCCTCGCCTCCAGCCGTATTCTGAAGGTTAGGATAATTCGTATCATCCCATCAAGGTTCTCTATCATTTCATTTCCCAACTCACTCGAAAAGACACTTTGAACACACGCGTGTTGAACGTGAAGTTTATGATGACTAACCATCGCGGCTACCTTTTTCCGTCCCCGCCCCACCAAACACCGACCAGCCAGCTCTGAACTACATTCGATAGATTCGAGCACCAGTGGGTGCATGGATTGACGGGACACTTCCCAACTTTCTAAGTTCTTGACAAAGTCATTCTTTATTTGTTTGATATGAAAACTAAAATTTTAATTGTTTTATATCTAATGAATAATTGTAACAATTTTCGAGATATATTATTCAATACATCGAGAGATATTCACAAGTCTATTTTTGTAGTGTCCCGTCAGTCCGTACACCCACTGGTGGAGCTTCCGAAGAGGCAAAATGACAGCGTGGAGGAGCTTCAGGTGTGGTAGGTAACTTTCTCTTTTGAGTCTAACCAAGTGGTTCATTGTGTCGTAAAAAATTTGGTCGTTGTTTGCCCAGCCGTGATCTACGAGTAAACGACAAGAGCGGACCATGCATGGATGAGAAAGGCGTGTGGAAAACAGTATTCCACTTTCTCTAAGCTATTTATCGATGATTTCAGAACCTTTCAAATCGAATGCATGTGTGTAGTAATATGCTGAGTACATATCTTGACTCTCTATGGAACAGCTAGAGAGTATTCTATCTCGCCTGGCAAGATCCTTCAAGCATGATTGTAGTGCAGATTCTGTCATCTGCAAGGAAAAGGTTGAGATGTGAAGGCAGGATATGAGGTCTATATAGAACCGGTTCTATTCCTGTATTTGATCATAGGTGAATGATATGGGCGAAGAGGTTGACAAGAGAGTAAGCGGTCCACCCCGGTTCCATATGGCCATCGGACCGTCGGATCATGGCGTCCAGATCGGTAATCATTCTCGACAATGAATTGCAAGATTGAACCGACGACAACAACGAGCATTGAAGAGGTGTATCTGAATGACGTGATCATTTTGACGAATTGCTTGAGCCGACATTCAGTTGAAGTCGATCCTTGGAGTTTGAAAGGGTGTTGTTGAATTCTGTAGTGTCGAGGACGAAATACTGTGAGTGAGAAAGGGATGACCGCTGGTTTATGTAACCTTACTTTTAACACTGAGACCAAGAGTGATACTGATACTAGTAGTGTACTTGCAGGCGGCCTAGGTGGAGACCCATCTATGTGGAGGTAGTATGTTGTCAGACGAAGAACCCCTTAAGGATCTTGTATCCTCTGAGTTCACATGTTGAGAAAGAATCATATGTACTGAACGAACGCATTACTCCTCATTTACTATAATTTTCTTTGGTGCCATAAAGGTTCAATGTTCAAACATGATTTCTATAGTAAACCAATGTTCTAAAAACAACCCATTTCCAACGTCCGATCTTTTGTTATTCACATCTCCATTTGATCATAATTCTTGAACTATTCCAGGCTATCCATGCTAAAACCCGTTCCTCAAATTCTCATACTTACTCCCCGGATACTGAATACAATTTTCGCTTTGCTCCAAAATACCCAAAACGTTGACCACGTTGTGAATTAGAGACTTTTCTGGCTCGGGATGATCGGCCGAAGATTCCCACCACTGTTTCATTTGGGTTAGTGACATGATGCAAGCGGATTTGGGAGAAAACATACCATAGCACCACCAAGACCTCTTTGCTTGATGTAGTGAGCCTTTCTGCGGGCGACATCGACTGTGTCGTACGATATGAGGGTTTTTGTATTCTCATTGTATGCTTTATAGTCCATTAGCGTCTCCTTCCTATCTCGTCGCATCGAAACATCCACCCGTACTGCTATCTTACATCCATTTTCTTCCAAATATCAAGAAATGGCATCAAACATTGAAAGACGCAGGGAAAAGAAAATGGCCAACTCACAATAACTAGCACAGGTTTCCTCATCCACGATTTCCCTCGCACCTTCCTGTGGTAACTTTTTGAAATCATGCACGCCATTTTCCCAAGTACCCTCTCCTACCCCGTTAAACGGTTGTCCCAATCCTTCAGTCCCCTGAAAGGCCCTCCCATAAATCGGCATCCCAAGTACAATTTTATGGCCATGTACTCCTCTTGCCTCATACGCCCTGACTGCATTTTCTGTATTATACGGCGTGGAGTTTGGGTTATATTGGCTAGCATGCACATTTGCTTGGTGTCCTGCAACACCATCCCACGATCCCGCGTAATCGTATGCCATTAGGTTCCAGAAGTCGAGGTATTCGTTCATGCCATAAATGTCCATGTTATTGTAATTTTGAGGACCGGCTGGACATGCCACCGTAAGTTCGAAATGATGGGGTGTAGGGAGAGTGTTAGAATAACGGTCCATGGCTTCCCTACATTCTCTCAACAAAAGAACGTAATCTCGTGCTTCTTCAGCGTTTTTGGGATATTCCCAATCGATATCAATTCCGTCAAATCCCAAATTCCTTATCAAATCCACTGCAGTCTCTGCAAACTTTCTCCTTCCACTCTCCGTTGACGCTGGTTGGGCGAAATTGGAGGAATAGGTCCAGCCCCCAATACTAAGCAATATCTTCAAAGATCGATTTCGTGATTTGAGGATATTGAGTTGCTTCAAGCAACCATATAAATTAGTACCAACGTCATTCCAGGAATCGCCCTCGAAATGAATATCAGTGTCGGCCCAGCCATCAGTCATATATACCTCGCCAGAATCTGGACGGACATTGGCGAAGGCATAGAGAATATGGGTTAACTTCTCGGCAGGGAGATCTTGGGGAAAATGTTTGCGGCCGTAGATTGCCCACTGGGTGATGTTAGTGTATGTATTGCAATATCATCGTTATAATATTGCCATCTCTCTTTCTCCGTCAAAAATCACGAGATCGTTGTGTACACTTGTACAGCATCGCATCGTCGTCTCACCACTTTTTAAGATGATAGAGAGAAACTGAAACGACATTCCCTTTTCCATTTTCATCCTCCGGATTGGCTCTCGGAGAGGACCTCCAACCTTCATTCCATGTCTTTAAACCGTTGATTCTCTCACCCACTCAGAGCCTCACTACAGTCCGCCCAAAACCTCATAAGAAAAAGAATGAAGCAAGCCACATACATTTACAAAATACGCCACGGCGCGATATCCATTACCACCACCCATATTGTCTCCCAACCCTAGTTCTATTTCCTCTTCGCCGATAATTTCTAGGTCTCCTTTACTCTCCTCGCCCGATCCTAGATCAAGTCCAGCGATTTCCCACGTTCCAGGTCCGTTTTGCAGCGTGATTAGTAGAGCGACAAAGAATGCAAATAAAGGGAGTGAGAATAGTATTATCTTTTTAACGTGCGCCACTTTGAATGTCTTTTTCTATTTCTTTTTAATGAGATGATAGATGCTTTATATATATATATATTTTTGGATGTGGAGTACGTTAAATGGTCTTGGAATCAGCAGCTGATAGAAAGTGGCTGTGATTTTGTCGAATGTATTTGGTTGGTGACAGATGTCCAGTACCGTGAGTGTCCATATCCAATCCCCGCAGGGCTGAGTGAAGCTATGACGAAAAGAATACAAGGGTTGTGAGGGGCAACTTTGTACACGTTGATGCGCATGTTTAGGATTTCTGGGCAATGATACTGTGTTTTACTTTATTCCAATGGTTCAGAGCAATTGTGAATGTGATGCGCTTGTGAGTGCATGGGCTCTCTTGGAATAATTTGTTTCGTTTCAGTCATTGATTGATGCTATGTATTTGTAGTTTCTGGCCCAACCATTTTAGTCTTGCTGCGAGTGATAATTAGGTCTACAAAGCTATATTCGTCCGGCATACCCGTAAGTAAATACCACCCCCCAATGCTCCTACTCCGCTCACATAAGAACTCAAAAGCTTAGCATGTATAGAAACATATGTCTCGCAGCCTCGTATAAGTCCACATTTCCTCCCCACTGTATCTTGGCCTTCGTGGCGCCACAGATGAGCATCGTGGCTGAAGCTGCTGTATCCATTTCTCCTTTCCTGTCGTGATCATAAATATTTATCTCATCGCTCCTTTGGTATATTCTTAGGCGGCTGATAAACCACCATCGATCTCCCTTTGATATCCTCGCTTGAGCAAACCTCTGGATTCGGCAACAATTTCCTATAAGTTTCTTCCTTCGGATCTTGTCTCTGTCTCAAGAAACTATGTATTCGTTCCTCTCTACTCCCAAAAGTATATCTCGTCTCTTTCCTTCTCTGCCTCAAATCCTTACTCATCTTATCATGTAAAGTATCTCTCTGTTCCAAGAATTTTGCCGAATAATTATCCAGCCTCGTCAATTGTCCTAATCCACCTACCGCCACAAAAATTGCAATTAACAAGACAAATGCACCATTTGATACGAATTGAGGTTTCTGTTCTCCTTTGACATCACGGCTGTACCATTTCTCCCAATCTTCCCATGTCGCGTTCTGACTTGGCCCACCGGGACCTGCCCATCCATGATTTTCTCCATGTTTATCGCGAGGATCGAGGGCTTCCGGCCGTCCATTCCAACCTGCTCCATATGTATCGTATGCACTTCGTTTTATGGGATCTGAAAGTATATCGTTGGCTGCAATAATTAATCTGTATCGCGATAGTTTCGTGTCGTAATCCAATCCATCATTCGTATCGATGCCATGTTTATCTGGATGATAAAGTTTAACCAATTCGTAAAAGCGTCGTTTAGAATATGGAGATCCTTTCTTTTGGTTGAAGATTTGGTAGGGTGTTGGAACCGCATATGCGGATGTCAATTCAGGCCATTGTAATCCTCCATGTTGATTTGCACTTCGTCCGTCGGAGACGATGGCATATTTTCGTCGTTGTGAGCGATATTGTGGTTGATGGTTTTGGGATGCGAAGAGGGAATGAGATAGTGACGTCGTTGATGTGCGGGGAAATGCATAATAGCATTGCAAATTACTGCATGATGAAATCAAAATTCCCGACTTCTTGAGCATACTGTAATTGATGCAAAGAGCCAGTATGAGTACTGGCACAATTTGACCATTTCGATTGGGAAGATGAAGGGACGTTGTTAATGTATGAGGTTTTGTTCGATTCTAGTATCGATATCGACGCTTTCTCGGAAGCTTGTCTAGATCATTAATCTAAAGTATGGTGACCCTTTCAGACATTTTGCGACGACTCTACAAACCACAATATTTGATATATTTCTCACATTGCAAATGTAGACTTGACATAAAAATTTAATACTAATATTGAGTATCATGTTTCTTTCATTTTCCAAACAGGAGAAATAAACATAGTCGAATTTTACGCCTATAGCAGAACATTAGAAGCTGTTTTCTTACTCGTTGCTGCTGTTGCTATGACTTAGTCTCATATATTCCACACGACGAAATCCATATGCCTTGTGAAGAAGGAGCATTGTGTATTCATATCACATCAGTGGGATTTCCGGAAGTCGGCGGTTTTTTTTATACATAAATTACAACTGTCAACTGAAGTGTATATCAAATTGCCCTCAAGAAGAGTGTTCTCTCTGATGCAATATACCAATATTATGTGACATATATAACTGTAGACCCCTTTAGATTTGTCGTAAGAGGCATAATTCCATCTCGCCATATCTTGTAGATTGACGGTCACTTCAAGTTTTTATCTCTATGTTGGCGTAACTCGATAATGATGGGCTCTGTGGGCATCTTCTACTTACTTTATATTTATCATTAGCCAGAATTTTGCAAGCGAGGGGGGAGAGATAGAAACTTGATGCGTAAGTTTCATATGGTAGACGATACAAGATACACATCATGTGTGGGGAAGAGGGCGAACATATGCATGCCTCTAGCTCTCAGACTATGAAGTAAAGCTGGTGGGTGAAAACGAAGCGAGGGGCTCTACGTAGGAAAGGAAGTAAGTAAGAAAGAGCATTATTGGAGTAGTGACGAAATCTAGATTGTGTATCTATATTCAATTGAGCGTTATGAGGAAATGTTTTGTGCTTGTCTTTCGTCAATCTTTTACCTGTTACTTTCGAAACTTTTGATTCTATGGTGCCTTGACCGAACGATTCAGAGTTCTTGGGAGAGGTTTGATTGAAGATTCTTGGCTGGAAGGTCTCAAGACTCAAACTATCTAACCCTTTCAAACATTCTGAACCTTTCGACTACTTATCTTTCGGCTTCAGCTTTCTAGCTTTTAGGCTACCCCATGTCATACCGGTGTTCTAACTCTTTTTGTTACTCACTATAAATTCCCTTTCCTGCCTTCTCTGTCTTCAGTGTATTCCCTCAGTCCGATCCAGTTCAACTGCTCAAGATCCATCCCGTTCCGTTTCAACTTATTGATACGCCACAAACCCTATCTCACCACCAAAGCAGTTGTACAAACCGCCAAACCCCCGCCAAGAGGTTGTACAATGACAATCCGGGGTACAGTGACCTTCCAGCCGGTATATATATGAAACACCATAGGGGCGCTGCATGACTTGTAGCACGGAAGGAGGATACAAAGACAAACTCAAGATGACAATCGGAACTTCCCAAAATGTTGTATACATAGGATTTGATATTACTTACTAGTCCTACATGTGTTGTGCAAATTTTCGGATCGGGAGAAAGGGGTGAGATGTTCTGGAAGTGGGGTCGGTATGTACAAGCGGACGGGCAGGTTGTGTGATGGAGGAAACTGTTGGAATTTGTGGGATGTTTATAGCTTGGCTTTGTTGGGAAGAGAAGAGCCACGATATATGCTGTGGATTCATCGTGAGACAGGCCGTAGTCCGAGTACTTATGGGGTGAATAAAACACCAGCAAAGTCCCATTATGTCAGAGCCGGTCAATTCATTTCAGCTTGACCTGAGATTTGGTAATCGTAGAGTCTAGATACTTCGATGGAGATCTTTGAGCACAACATTACTGTAACCCCTATGACTGAAGCCTAGAAGTGAGAACTAGCCGCCTTCGTGTTTCTGGCTATGATGACGCGACATATGGAAGATCGAAATTTTGATTGCAGAAATCTTAAATATCAGTGTGTCATCGCTTGCCTATCTGCCAGACACATACATTCTAGTTATATGCTGGAAGCTTGAATAGGAGAAGCTTTAACATTCAAATTTTGTATCGGTGATCCCCGTGTCTCGCAGTTAATGTGGACTATGTTCAACGGAAGTGGTCCGCGCCTTAAGGTTACACATATGCTGATAACTTGATATAAAAGGAGGAGATGTGAATGTAGATGCAGATGCAGATGCGGATGTAGATGTAAATGCAGATGCAAGTAAAAATGGAATCGACAAAACAGGGATTTATGAGAAGTGGACTCAGTGGAGGCACAACGATAACCACCATACGAACACCGAATCTCCCATAATGCCATTTTTCACTTTATCGCGCGTCTTGCGAGATTAGAAGCGGCTATTAGAAATTGTGGATATATGGAATCATACTGCCGTGAACATGCGAGATATATACTTCATATATGCCCTTGCCTGCCCACAGAGTGGTAATCACAATGTTGAACCGAACCTCGAGGGTTGAACCTCGGAACGAGATAGAAGTGGCCTGTCAATATCGAAAACGTTACCCTTTAAGCTTGTCGTCTTGTCAATGAAAAGTCAAACAACACCAAAACGTTCAATCGTCCGAGACATTTTAGACAAATCGTATATTAGTTGGCTCGCTGGTCAGTGACATCCATGATTTGATTAGAGATGATCTACAAAAGAGAAGTCAACGAAGGCTTTTCGAGGAAGGGAAGACGATGATATCATGAGTGCTGATCTATAGTCGTAATACTGGCAAGATTCGGTTATTCAGGATGAAGGGGAAGATAAGGAAATGTGTAAGACTACATACCTGCTGTTTGAAGTGGACTCATGAGGCAGGCAACTTACTGATTGATGCGAGTACCGAAGCACAGCAAAAGAATTATCTAAGATCGGAGATAGTGTACTTACATAGACCGGTGATAATCCTTTTGAGAGTCAAGATAGCAAATGTCGTAGGGCAGAACGATAAAACATCCTCGATCATATAACTCATCTGTGATCACCAACGAGGTACTTCTTGAATCCTGGGTGGTTTTCTGAACACATGATCAACAAAATGATGCGCACGGCCTATCTTTAATCTCAGTCAAGCAAGTAAAACTACCCAAATACCCTGAAATGTCCACAAAGGGAATCGAATGGGGATGGCGTTGATATCTTTTCCTCCGTAAATGCTTTAGAATGGTTTGACATATCAAAAAGAGTTTAGGGTACGGATTTTGTGAACCATTTGAGGTCGAGTCGTTCGGCCGACTGATAAAAAAGGTGTTGTTGCTCCTTTGGAGCATGAACGCATTGGGGGAGTAATTCCTGATGCACAAATGCCAGGTACTCGAAAAGGTCCAGATAGTGGAGAGCAAGCTGGATCTGGAAGTAAGTGGAGTTGATGGCGTTCCAAAGAATGAGAACACATTGATGATGTTGCAGAAGTCTGCCACGCCCTTCCACGGGTGAGAACTCAAAGATTGGGAACCGAGGGAAACAGAACAATATCGGTTTTGCCCCCTTTGGTTAGAATTTGGAAGCGGGTACTGCGGAGAACAACTGCGGTGCCACATTGGAAGATCGCCATTTGATCGGTTCATACTAGAGTTCCTATCGCTTCGCGGCCAGGGATTTTTAGTCAGGTACAAAGATTCACGAAGAAGCACGAGTTCCACAAAATGCTTTTAGGGTTAGCACCGATGAGGATTCAGGAACAGAACTTACAGCTATAGTTAGATATTAATTGAAGAGAAACTTGATATTGAATATCATCATGGGATGGATCAGTTGTTGGAATCAGATTCGTATGCAGTAAGAAAGAAGTGAGGGAAGAAGTTTGGAATTCTCACCGCTTAATTGGTTTTCCTCTAATTGATTCGACTAATAAGTTTATAGTAAGAACCATAGAAATAAAGTAAATAAATTTCCGATTCCATCTACTTATCCTATCGAGGCCATTGATCCTTCCCCATGATTTATTGCGACAGAGCATCGATTCCAAATCTCATGCCATAAGGAGAACACCACTTAGGTAAAGACTTTGTGTAAACACAGTCAGTATCACTCATTACAACCCGGCACAACCAATTCCAACACCAACACAACCCAACATGCCTAGGTACCACATCCCCATCACCAAAGAGACCCGACATAACAGATATGCTACAACCAATTCTTCCCAAAGACTATTTTGAGGTATCTGAGTCTCAGGAAACGTGGGTTGGCGGTAGGGAATCAAAGCCAAACTGGGCCATTTTTAGCTCCTACAATTATGCTCCACTGCTGCGCCATCGAAGAATGACCTAAATGGGTGATAAGGCGACAAAATCCCACGTGCGTGTGTCGTATCGTCCTGGATGCTAATCTTGAAAGAATCCTCAGGTTGGACAGATGGATCAAGGTTGGATTCATTTCCTTGAGGTTATGGAGTAAGATGGTCGGAGAATACAAGACCGGTATTGAATGGATGTAGCCATTGTAATTCATGCGGGCGAGAGACACTGCATGGGGGGACGAGGTAAGAGGGTGGTGGTAAAGGGAAAAGGAGGATTGTGGGAGGAATGATGAAGCGTTGATACCACATTATTGATGGAGTTAGAGATGGAGGACTGATTGATGTGCTTTGAAGACAAGGTGATTGATGACTCGTGATTAAATTGGTAGATAGGATTGGTTGATATTATGTGGAGGATATATTACAAGATTGGGGTGAAGGTCGCGGTAGTTACAATCAATTAGGCTGATCGTTCCAAGTAACATATCGTAGATTTAGATGAAGCATGATGGTGATGATGATGGTGATGATGATGGTGATGATGTTGGTGATGATGATACTTTTACAGTCTCCTAGAGAGGTAGTTTTCGACATTCTCCTCTCCTCTTGATAGATGCTAAATCACGGAATCACGGAGTTTTCCAATTCACAGTTTATGATCCGAGTTAATCAATGGGTTTTCTAGTAGATACTCTATTACTCTATCTACCTACTACCTACTTAAGTGTTATTAGTTTCTGGATTAGTCGTCTTGGGTAAATTCAGCAGCGTACCTGAATTGATTGATGTGCCTCCACTGAAAATGGACCCCTGACAAGTTTTAGATGTTTCATCTCTACGAATCCCTCTTACTCTCATTACCTCCAACCTAGAGACTCGTAGGTCCAAGGTCTCTCATTCTTTCCCTCTTCTCTACCCGGTGAAGGTGACATTTTGATTCATCAATATCAATATCAATCTCGATATCAACATCAATCTCAACCAAAGAAAAGAAGTGTTTCCAAGAATTACTTTCGTATGCAGAGTACTCACGCACTCCCGCACTCATCCTCCCACACCGGTACGACGGTTCGTTTGCCCAGCATCATACATTACCTACCAACCTAGTACTTTCTATTTGCTCTGCAGAAAAACCCCCTCATCCCCTCCCTCGTCTGTTCTCTACTCTCTCCCATCCATCCATTCCCCATCCCGCCAAAGCAAACGAACGTCGGTCCCACTTCATCATCTCACCCACATCCATCTATACATTCATCCATCTATACATCCATACATCCATCCATACATAACATAACTTTAACTTTACATCTTAAAACATCCCAATTGATCAACCATTCATCATTCATCATTCATCATTCATTTTTTCATCCTTCATCAAAGTAACACATACGCACTCACTCACCCACCTCACCCACCCTCATCCACCTCATTCACCTCACTTACTTTATTCTTCTCCGACGACATTTGCGCACATTTTGCAACATCACCTCTCCTTCGTATAGACATCCAAATCTTGAATCAATTCCCCGATATTGTTTCAATCAATATACTATACCAAATATAAACCTCGCCCCTTCATTTATTTGTCTGTACGCGACGCAACGAAACGCAACGAAACGCAACGCACCACAACCCATCCATCGTATCGCAATCAATCACTACACACACATTGTTACCATACATCATTTCATCCTCTTGCATGCGGAACTTTTCTTTTTTTTTGCGACAACGCAACCCATCAACAGATTATTCAGTCATCGGCGCCGCATGCGAATATTTCAACAAGATATCTCCATTTGAATCATTCATGTTATATCTCAATTGAAGGATTGTTTTTTCTATTTTAAAGAAAAAAAAAGATTTTCATCAAGTAATTTGGGGTGAAGACCCGAGCGGCTCGCTGGTCGATCTACAAGCCCTCCTTCGCAATTCCAAAAATTCAACAAAGCCTGTGTGCTCCCTCCAAACCATACCATCGCATCCAATTCACTCTCATTTTCGATTTTCATTCAACCTTACGATAATATCTTTCTTTCTTTCCAACCGAACTTTGCTCAATTATTCCAACTATTGTCTGATCTTTTCGAATCTTTTCAAAAAGTACATACATACATACAGCATACAGCATACATACTTACATATCACCACCTGCTCCAGGCATCTTACAATAATTTCGAATCCTCCACCAATCTCTCTATCTATCTACCTCTCTCGACCAACCAAAGAAAAGAGATCGACAATTCTCTTTGTTCTTTTTTGCGCAACACACCACGGTGTATCAAAGACCCCATTGAAAGTGTTACAAAAGATATTGGCACTTCAATTTAATTTATAGAAAATCCGACTTGTTCGGTCAACAAACGATATGAGTGTAATGCTTCAAACCCCTTCTCGGGCATCAACAGCCTCATCTTCGTCCTTCCAACCAGTTTCTCGACAAAACACCATGTCTTCACACGATGGGGCTCGCTCTGCCCGTCAATCAAAGAGATATTCTATGACTACTCTATATCTCTCCATGTCTGCGAATGAGAAGGATTTGGAAATTGAGGATGATCTTGCTAAGGGTAAGAATTCTAATGCAATTGAGATTGGCTTGAATGTTGTACTAATGCATTGATGTAGCACAAAAGGTTCTACGAGAGCTCAAGTCGAAGATTTCATCACAATCGAAGAAGAATTTCGTGTTAGAGAAAGATGTTAGGTATTTGGACTCGAGAATTGCATTATTAATTCAGAATCGCATGGCTTTGGAAGAGGTAGGAACCTGAACTTTCCAGGACAAGTTTCACTACTAATATCTCTTTCAGCAAAATGAGGTAGCCAGTCACTTGGAAGATGCGACCGACTTGCAAGAAGGTTTCTTCCCCAATGACGAGAAGACACAAAAATATGGCAACCTTTTGTTTTTACTTCAATCAGAGCCCAGGCACATTGCACATTTGTGCCGCCTTGTCACTATGGCAGAGATCGATTCTTTACTGCAGACAGTCATGTTCACAATTTATGGAAATCAATATGAGAGCCGTGAAGAACATTTGCTCTTGACTATGTTTCAGGTAAGTCGCACCCTTAGTGAACTGAGCTGCTTCCCATACTGACACTTGCTTTGTAGTCTGTCTTAACATACCAATTTGATAACACGCCAGAATATTCCTCCCTGCTCCGTGCAAACACACCAGTATCTCGCATGATGACAACGTATACCAGAAGAGGTCCCGGGCAGAGTTATTTGAAGACTGTATTGGCAGACAGAATCAATGGGCTTATCGAACTGAAGGATCTCGACTTGGAGATCAATCCCCTTAAGGTCTATGAAACAATGATTGCACAGATTGAACTGGAGACGGGAGGACTTCCGGCTTCCCTACCCAGAGGAGTAACAGCAGAGCAAGCGGCAGATAATACACAGGTCCAGGCTATTATCGAACCAAGATTAACAATGCTTATGGAGATTGCAAACGGATTCCTTACAACAATTATCGATGGGCTAGAGGAAACACCATATGGTATTCGATGGATCTGCAAACAGATTCGAAGCCTCACAAAGAGAAAGTACCCTGATGCCAACGATCAAGTGATTTGTACACTTATTGGAGGGTTCTTTTTCTTGCGGTTTATCAACCCTGCTATCGTCACCCCTAAATCATATATGCTCATTGATGGAACTCCAGCCGATCGACCTAGACGAACTTTGACCTTGATTGCTAAGATGCTTCAAAACCTTGCCAACAAACCCTCATATGCAAAGGAACCATATATGGCCAAACTTCAACCATTCATTCAGCATAACAAAGAACGAGTCAACAAGTTTATGCTTGATCTTTGTGAAGTTCAGGATTTTTATGAAAGTTTGGAAATGGACAACTATGTAGCATTATCTAAGAAGGATTTGGAGCTATCAATTACCCTCAATGAAGTTTATGCTACGCATGCCTTACTCGATAAACACACGGCCGAACTCAACAAGGATGAAAACTCACATTTGGCAGTAATCTTAGCCGATTTAGGACCAGCCCCTGCACAACTACCCAGGAAAGACAACAGGGCTATCAACTTGCCACTCTTTAGCAAATGGGAGACCGCGATTGATGATTTGACGGCTGCACTCGACATTACCCAAGAGGAGGTATTTTTCATGGAAGCCAAGTCAACATTCGTTCAAATTATGAGATCAATTCCGAGCAACAGCGCTGTGGCGCGTAGACCACTTCGTCTTGAAAGAGTTGCTGATGCGGCAGGTCAATACCGAAATGATGCTGTGATGGTGCGAAAAGGTATTCGCGCAATGGAATTATTGAGCCAGTTGCAGGAATTGGGGGTCATTGATAAGTCAGATCAATTCAGCCTTTTGCGGGATGAAGTTGAACAAGAACTGCAACATCTTGGATCGCTCAAAGACGGAGTTATTCTCGAAACTCAAAAACTCGATCAAGTTTTCAAGACTATTCGAGATCACAACACTTATCTAGTCGGTCAACTTGAAACTTACAAAAGTTATCTGCACAATGTTCGAAGTCAAAGTGAAGGTACCAAGCGAAAGCAACAAAAGCATCAAGTCTTGGGTCCGTATAAGTTCACTCATGGGGAATTAGAGAAACAAGGCGTTATTCAGAAGAGCAACGTACCCGACAACAGAAGAGCCAATATCTACTTCAACTTTACCAGTCCTTTGCCCGGAACCTTCGTCATTTCGTTACATTACAAAGGTATGGAATTTCGGGTTATCCTTCTATCTCTATGAATACATGCTAACTTTACTAGGACGAAATCGTGGCCTATTGGAGCTTGATCTGAAACTCGATGACTTACTCGAGATGCAAAAGGACAATCAAGAAGATCTTGACCTGGAGTATGTTCAGTTCAACGTACCAAAGGTTCTTGCTCTCTTGAATAAACGTTTCGCTAGAAAGAAAGGATGGTAACGCGCCACCACCCCGCATCCTCATAATCCAGGATACATTTCCTTCGATGGAAATACCTGCTTTTGGCTGCTAGGTCGGTCGCAGGCTGTATGAATATTCTTAAGTCGTTCAAGTCACCGATAGTGTTGGATGGTGAATCATCGGAGTTGTGTTTTTTGATCTCGATATACCTGGTGGCATGGTTTTGATGGCGTATATGACAATTTTCCGATATTGTGCAGGCGGAAGCTTTATACCTTTTCTCTTTGTTTAATCTCTTCCGATATATCTTGTTTTAATGGGTGGTAGTGTGATATTTCTTGCGTTCTTCGTCTTTGTTTCTTTGGTTCATTTGCGGGTGCCTTCTTCGGTGCGACGAGCAAATCATTTGGAGCGAGACGCTGAAGATGTTTGGTCTGGCTGGTCCGGAGAAGTGACATGATAGGATTTTGCATTATCCAAGGGGGATATGATTCAAGGGGGATCCTCTATCTTGATATGATATTTATTGAAGACATGAGGTTGGGAATGGGAATGGAAAGGAAGATCGGGAATTTACTGGATGAATGTCTATTATGTCTCCCGTCTTTTCTCTTGCCTACTAGGAATTTGGGATGGACGGCTGCACGGATGGATGGGATCTTTTTTGGGAACGGCAATGCAAGCAAATGCGAATGCGAATGCGAATGCACACAATAAGATATGGATATATGATTGTGTAATAGGCGTGTCAGGTCTCGTATATGAGGATAGCGCATACTAGTAGGACGAGACAAATATCAAATGTAATATCATGAATGAATAATAATATTTCCCGAAGATTTATTATCAACAATGCTATGGTGAATAGGGTGTGCTAGCTATTGCTGTAAGTTGCAGCTAATGAAAATGAGAGTTTGCGTTTTGCTTGTCCCCAAATAGCCGAACCTTAAGCACTTTGATGTCCATGATCATTGAATTATATTTTACATGACTTCTCTCCTCTGTTGCCCCTCCTATACAGCCCATATAATCTTGACACAGATGTTACATTCTCCCCCATCATTCACAGAAAACTCCACTTCCTTTGAATCCGAATCTTTGCCGGCGAGCACGAGTTCGCCATCAAGTTCAGAACCTCTGACATCTATAAGTCGGAGTTCTTCATGGTTTCCTTTAGCTAATCCTTTACATTGCAATCGCTCTCTTCCTTTCAGTACATCAATTTGCTTTGTTGGTTTGATATTGAGATATACAAATTCCATATCGCAAATATCAAATATGTATTCAACTTTACCGATGGAGAGGACAATTGTGTCTAGGGAGTTATCGGGTGAGATAACGATTGTAATATGGAGGTCTTGTGGGTGGCACTCGTATAAGGGACTTGGGTGCGGTGAATTTGAGTAAATGGAAGGTGCCGAGTTGGAACCTGGGATAACCCCTGACTCGAGAGTGGTACTAAGTCCGTTCAAAACTCCTGCTACGACAGTCGAACTGGTAGTCGTCTTTGGTGGAAGATCATAAGCTTGGCATGTGGTCTTCATTGTGGCTTTTGGGGCTTCGGAAAGCTCAGACTGAGACTTATAAACAACGGCAATTTTTAACGAAGTTTCTGACCTCAAAGAAGCTCTCATTTCCGTTATACGGCTTGAAATCGGATTGAAGTTCCACAAGAGTATCAACAGATGTAATCTGCTCTCTGCACCATTTCCTTCATACCCGGGTCGTCTGACGAAAGTCCTTTTGATCTGCAGCATTTCCTGACTCATGTCTTTCAAAATCTCACTAAACCTCAGGTTCATCTCTTCATTTACGTAATCTCCTTCTGGTACCGTCCATTTTGGATACAGTCTGCCGTGCGAATGCGAAATACGGTATAATTTATGTTTTCTAATGAATAAGTCGCATAGAAAGCAAGCCGACTTACTAGATCCTATGCACCTTGGATGCAAACGCGCAGGATATTGCTCATAGAAAGAGATGAGTTGTATTTTACTATGAACATGCAGAATTTGATCATTGTGATAATGAGCTTTGGGTGCAGTGCACACTTCCAAGCGGATGTTGCGAAATGAACCATTATACCTGATTTTCCAAGAAAAGTCTACCAGGTCGTTACTAATGTCTAGGTATCTGCTTATCTTGTCGATTTGGAAGACAGTGCGGCGATGACTGAGATCAAAGTCAATGCCTTTCATTTGGAGCTGACTTTCAAGTGATGGATTATTGGCAGTCGTCGACACTTTGTGCGCAGCTAGGATTACTGCGGTTAATTGATCCGTTTGTCTGTCTTCAGAAGAGAAAGTAAAGCTTTCAATCTTCTGGCACAATTCTGAAAGATTGACACAAAGAGAACTTCGCAGAGAGGGTTTGTCAACATTGGTCTCTAATACCAAAAGTCTACATCGCAATGATTCAACCCTGTCGAAAAGCGAAGGTCTGACTTTGCCACCTCGATTCTTTTGTAGGTCGATGCGACGTCGCAGACGACTTTTGCTCAGCTTGATAATTTGCATGAGGAGATTTGATTTGTGAGTATCTTTGTGCTCATCCGTTTCTGAACCATATATATGAACTAGTCTTTCGACGTTTTTGTTCCTGTTCTGTAAGTATTGATCACGACGCACCTGCACGAGCAGCTTCCTCCACTATATCTAAACATCTGCACAATTCATCCACGGTTTTTGGTAAAGGCGTTTCGTTTGATGCAATTCGAATGGTTAGCGATGACGAATCTCGGCTATCGCACTCTTCGATCATAGCTGCCGACACACCAGTTGCGCCCTCCTTGGCTTGGGCGAGGACTGCTATGTGATCTGCTAGATGTTGTTCTTCCTCGTGGAGAAGTGTATAACTGTTCGACTGCCGAGAGGTACCGCTCCTATAATTTTGCGGCTCTATAGGCTCTTGGGTCTTTGGAAAAAGCTGCTGCACGATTTCATGAAAATCACGTTTTGTTGTGGCTAATAATTGGCTGTTAGATACGGTGGACATATTGTGAGCAAGATTTTAGTGATAAATGAGTAAAGGGGGAATCGGTGTTCAACAAACGGGAAGCGAAAAGGGAAGAAGAATACTTGAGGGCTCGAGATCCCTGGCGATGAATAATTCATGCGGATGGCTGCATTGCCGCTCGTCGGAAATCTGCATAATTTCCTTTTTCCTATTGGACGGGCATATGTTTCGCGAGGCAGAGGCTGGGATCACCCATCTACTCGACCTAATTGGCTCAGCTATTCGTGCACATATAAGTGCATGTGTAGGAGTCTATATGACAATCGCATGGAGAGCTTTCAAAATCTCATTTTCTTGACTCTTAGATTAAATCTTCTATTTTCTCGTTAACTGTACATCAGTTACTCTTGTGTACTTCTTCATTCAATTGTTTCAAAGTTACTTCCTTGCACATTATCAAAGTCACATTAGTGTTATCTTGGCACTGAATGTTTTTCGGGTTATAAATCCTTATTTAATTTTTTTATTTAGTTTTATATGTTTTCTCGATTAATGAACGTCAGGTCTTTTCAGTCTGTCCTACAAAAGAAAACGTGTTGTGGGGAACGCTATCTCCTGCCTCCTCTGCCGCAGAACCTTATCCACCCTCTTCCCCTCCTATCTTTATCCTAGTTATCTCTCTGGATTGACTGAATTAGGATTCGAATTTTTACCATCCGGCTGGTGTTAGAGGTGGTGGTATGGTTTGAGTGGGTGTGGGTTTGGGAGAAAAATAGTCGAAGAGGAGGAACAAAACCACGGCGATCAAAGCAATCAACTCGATGATCTGGATCAATGTGATAATGTTTGAGTATCGGAATGATTGTGGTTGCGGTTGTGGTCGGAGTTGAAGAAGGGGTAGTTCGACTGGCGGGTCGTCGATGATGGGTTCTTCGAGGGCTGTGTCTGCGATGGGTGGGTCGTCGAAATCTTGGTCTCCTTGGAGGGCGATATGCGAATGCTCTTCTTCGACGCGGGTGCTTAAAAGTTCTTCGATGTCGTGAAAGATGACTGCGGAGCCGTTCCCGTTGTTCATCTTTGTGGTTTTGGTGGTGACTTCTTGCACTTGTGATCTGGGGAGGTGGATCGGGGTTCAAATCTGGATTCGATGAGAGCTTTGTGTTTGTCTTATCTTGTCAAGACTCGAATGGACGAGGAGAAAAAGAATTGAGAATGTTGGGACGAAGTAGATGGTATTTATAGGGCAAGGCATGACTTAGAATGTTGTTTTTTGAGATTTGTTCCTTGGGTATCTTGACAGTGTTCTGAATTTGAGAAAATGGGGCAGCGTAGCTAAACTAACACTCAGGAAGTCATGTGGGATTTATTCGGGGCCATATTGTATCAGCAAACACATCAGAAGTAGGTATGGGAACCCTTCTCAGTTGCAATATGCTGTATAATTAGTTCCTACAGATTCATTACACATCAAACCATCAAAGCAAAAGCCTCTATGTCAATCTGTTCGCTCGACAAAAGGAGCAATTTCATGCTACTACTCCGCCAAGATTTCACCACTCACTCCGAAGAATAACTTGTTCAGGATATGTTCACTTCTATTCTACAATCTTTTGGTCCAATGGAGGGAGTGCGATATCCGGCAACATGGTAGCAAAGTTTGGAACATCCTATGCAGGAGTGGCGTTAGTGTATCCTTTGTTTGGACATAATCAGGTGCTGATTATGGTACTTCTTTTGCGCACACCTGCTAATCAGAAAAGAAGCGGACAAGCCAGGACTGAAGCCTACTTTATTAAAGTTATGGGTGATCAATGATTGGAAAACCAAGGCGGAGCCGAATTGGCAGATAATATAATACTATGGGTTTGATGATTGACACTGACAGTTTCCATTCGCTTCCCGGATCAAAAGAAACAATAGCAGGACATTCAATAAAAATATGTCGCTCCACGTCTTTCAAGATTTTTTTTGTTTCTAGGATCTGAAATCCAGAGCTCCAGTCTCCAATTAAATATCCAAAGGTCAAGTTTCCTGGTCACTTGCACCTGTTGAGGTTGATATTGCACATATGAAATGCTCATTTTGAGAGATTCTCAAGCAGAAAATAATTGGCAACATTGCATTCTTGATAATTCTGCAACCTCGCATATTTCAAGTGTACATTCTGAAAAAGAATCTTCAAAAATGCAGGAGATATTATTTTGGAGAAGGATCACAGAAAATTTGAGTTGGTAAGATTGATTGATGATAACGATCCAATGTGCACTAAGTTGAAAGAGATAGAACTGCCTAAGTCGGGGGAACAAAGGTACTGGATAAAGGTATTTCTAGTTTGCCTCTGGGTACGGATCAGAACAGATGCTTCTAACTCGATCAGATTGAACAATGCCTATTATCCTCGCCAACCATCGCGCTGGGATAATATGGCAGTGAACTACGAGCAGTTCTGCATTAAATCAGTCGATGGAGGAGATGCAGCGGACTCATCGTCAAAGGTCCCCATTAGCAAAATCCTAGAGCCATCGCAGCTCTGCGATTATAGCTCCAAGAAAATCGAGGAGCGCTGGAAGATTCCCGAAGTTGACGGCTGCAAGTGCAATCGTCGCCGCTGCAACATCTATCAGTTCCAGTTGTTTTGGAAAGAGCATCAAGCGTTGGTCAAGGAACATTCAAAGCTCATGGTTGATTGGTGCTTCACTCAAAAACTTTCACAGCAATTAGAGGATCTTCAAGATCTCAAAGAGCGACATAATCAGTTCCGCAAGAGACTCAGTGACGCGGGAATCCGTCGCAGATATCAAAAATGCGGAAACGTCGATTATTTATCACTCCTATCAAGCGAAGGACGCTGCTTCACACCATACGAATGCCGGATCAAGCGACTGGAGAAAGACGGAAGATTGTTGTGGGCGAAGAATTTCTGAGAATGGGGTAATTCAGTCAGTCACTCACGAATTCTCAACATAGAGTCAATCAAAACCCACACCTGCCCTCTCACGACATAGATAGATAGATTGTATTTTTTGGAATTCTTGATTTTTTTGATTCGATACAAAAAGCCCAGAAAGACAGAGAAAAAAATAGAAAACCCTTTCCTTTTGTAAAAATAAAATAAACGTGCCGAATCCTCAAATGTGCAAGCTTGTGAATAAAAATGTAATTAATGAAATGAATTATTCGAGCCCATTTGTAGGAAGGATCTGAGGAGCGCTCCCCGTTGTCCCTCAGATTATAGTCTTCCTCACCTCTCATATCAAAATGCTACACACGAGATTGGTTTGTTATGTTAACCTTCCCTAAAGTGCGATGGCAACCACCGTCGGCCCGTACATATACCACATTTCATGCGAATTGTGTTATGGACGGTTTGACATGGAACAACAAACCGATATACTAGTGCGAAACATTAGCAGAGGAGTATACCGATTTCATTCATGATACTCACCATTCTTTAAAGGATTGAGTATGGCAATGATATTGTGGAAAGAAAGGGAGGTGGGAATTCGGTGGCTTGGTTCGTTCGCACTGCACTGCGTTGATTGATGGATTACGTCATGATTGACCTTAACCCCTTGACCAACGCGAACTTTCTTCATCAAAGCAAAAGCACCATTTTCATATTACATTGCACACGGATTATATGTAAACGATTCTATATATAAAACACAGTAACCTCTCACATTTTGTATTCAACCTCTTTTGTGTACATTTTGAGCCTATCGATGCTTTTTGTTATCCGTAGCTTGGCTCGAAGAAGTCCTCCATATCATACCGCTTCTACTAGGCCTTGGATCAATAGTTTGCCTACGAAATTATCAATACGCCCCAGCCCTTCAAATCTAATTCTTCGAGTTCCTACAATGGATCGTGGAATTAAAAGGAAAGCCGAAATCACACCAGAGTCGCCAAAGAAGACCATCAAAATCGATGATTACTGCAGTACTCCCGTCCGTCGTACTTCCACCGGCGAAGAGATTTGGCCCGCACCACGTGACCAACTAGAATCTGCCCACAAATTCATCCGAGAATGCGCGACGGCTCAGAAACCCACACTTATAGTGCCGGATAAGGATGCAGATGGATTGAGTGCTGGGGTGATCATGTATCGCACTTTGATAAAGCTTGGGCTTGAAGAAAAGAATTTGAGTGTCCATTTAGTGCGGAAAGGTTCGAATATCCATGAAGAATACGAAAGAAAGGCAATGGCAGAAATGAAACCTAGCTATGTGATTGTTTTAGACCAAGGAAGTCGAGGTGGTTTACCTGTTATTGATGATGAGAGTGCGAAATGTATGATCATTGATCATCATTTAAGTGATGACTTTCCCAAAAATGCGACTGTAAGGTGGAAAACATTCTTTTTGTGGCAACGATACTAACATTCGAGGGAAGGTTGTTTCAGGCTGCCACTGCCCTCCAGTTCCAACGACAGCTCTCATGACTTACGAAATTTGTAAGGAACTTCATTCTGATATTGCTCAAGAGTGTGGCTATCTTTGCGCAATAGGAACACATGGTGATCTAGGAAATACCATAAAATGGATACCCCCATTTCCAGATATGAAAGATGTTTTCAAGAAACATACAAAAAAGCTCATTAATGATTGTGTTTCTTTGATTAACGCTCGTATGTTCAATGAATTCCTAAACCTCAATCGCTGAACTTCATATAGCACGAAGAACTGGTACTTATGATGTTATTACTGCTTGGAAAGCACTACTCGGAGCCAAAGATCCAAAAGAAATCATGACAGATAAGAGGCTCGCCGAAGCAAGGCGCGAGATCAATGAAGAAGTTGAGAAACAGACTCATACACCACCCAAATTCAGTAAAGATGGAAAAATTGCGGTATTGAAAATCGAAAGCGAAGCTCAAGTCCACCCGGTTATTGCTACGCGATGGGTATGTATTGAGTCATTGAAATCATTTTATCTCACTAATCATTCTACAAAGGCCGGCTTCTTGAAATCTAAAGCCCTAGAAATAGTCATGGTGGCCAATTATGGCTACTTGCCCGGCAAGGTAAACTTCTCATGTCGGATTGCTAGATGTGCTCGAGGTCGTGATCCACCAGTCAATATTATCGAGTCATTAAAAGCGGTAGCCAATTTGGATACTACAGATTTAGTTGAGAGACTAGGAGATAACTTTGCTCGTGGCCACAAGGAGGCATCGGGTGGGATTGTCAATTCCGCTGAATTCGAAGAATTATGTGAGTTGATGAAGGTTGGTGAAAAAGCCGAAAAGTCGGAGCAAGAGGCATCGACAAAGAAATTCGGCAAGTCACCACAGAAAAACACGTTGAACAATTATTTCATGAAGTCTTGAGATATTGATTTGTAGGTTCAATGAGAAGATATGAGCAATGTATTTATTCAAAAGCAATTAAATAAGAATCAGTAACATCTGGGAGTACAAATTCAAAAAGACTGCTTGAGAATAAGTCAATAAGTCTTGTTAGGCATCTTCGCCTTCGTCCCTCAATATTTTGTCTCGGAGAAAACGCGTCCATCAAGCTTGAGCACTTTCACCCATGGAGACAACTCTTCATGGGTTCTACCTGCCATTACATTCTCCATCCAGCGCTTGAACATATATAATGGCATTTCCTCCCACAATTCCCATCCCTCCATTCTATGGAATATGGCTGCCCTCTTGCACTCAAATTTATCATTATACATTGAATCCGAGAAGCGCGGCTTTGTGATCGGGTATACAATCCCACATTTCCCTGTTCTAGTAGGATCCATTTGAGCAGGCCAAAGAGTTCGTATTGGTAAATCGTCGCCTGTAGATCCTGGTCCTGCCGGATGTGGCTTTCCAGGATCCCAATCCAAAGCGGGTTGGCCATGCCATTTGACCTTTTTGTACCTAGTGGATTTCTTAACTTTTGTTCGAGCTTCTTCTTGGGGTGCTTTCTCTTCCTCCTCCTCTGTTTCTGGATCCACTCTATCCTCAGTGTCTTCATCATCCCATTCGTCCATGATATTTCCTACGCCGTCATTCCTTAGCGGCAAGGTCGGAGGGGGTCGAAGATTTTGCTTATAAGTTTCATCAATAATGATCTCTTGTAACTCTGTTGGAATTTTGAACAATGGATAGTTGAATGGATAGTTGAATCCCCCATTCAAAAATTCCGCTGCGACTCTTATTCTCTTTCCTGTTAATCCAGGAATGGGGGAGAGATCCATTCCAGACACATAACAAGCCATATCATATCCGAATATTAAATTCACGGCACTGGTCATGGTATTCAGAGCGCAGTTGTAAGTATCATTCTGTCGAGTTGCGTTAGGACTATTGTCTGTCGTTCTGTTGTCTGGATCTCTATGGTCCGTGCGGTAAGACCATTGCCCGTACAATGGCCACTCGGCGGTATCAATCTCTCCTTTATCGAATCTTGTATATATGATAGCTTCAAGTAAAGACATTTGAAAAAACGAATGATAGTAAGCTCCGTACTTATCATCTAATGAACTTTCAAATCTGGCTTGCGAGAGACCGGAGTTGTCGATATGGAAGACAAACCTCTGCTTTGGTGCTATTCCCAAGCATTGCGTATGGAACGCGTTATACTCGTGTGGAATCACAATGTAGTCAAGATTCGCAAAAGTTTCATCATCATATTGTGCCAATGCCTCCATGGTCTTTTCCCAAGCTTTGGGAAAGTCTTGCACTACTATGCGACGAATATCCTCCCCATTTTCATCTTCTCCTTCCTTCACGATGCCACCTTTATTTTTATCCCAATACAACTTGTTAGAATCAATGATTATCGAGCTGACTTTTTGTTTGGTTGGTGTATCACCAGCTAGGTCGCCACTCTTGAGTGTTCTTGCTATTGCTCTGTTTCTGTAATCGCAAGCCATGTAAATATACTAATAATTGTTTGCCACATCAGTAATAGTCTTCAAATATTCAAATTCAGCTCAAGTAAAGTATGTAAATATGACTAGCTGGGAAAAACTGTTAAAAGCCAACTTACCAAATCAGCAATAGTGTTTGTTACATGGCCAAGCTCGTACTCTTCCATTGCACCGTTCTCGGACCATGTACGATAGTGAACCTTCAATAAATACCTCCAATCACCTTTCGCCAGTTTCATACCATCCAAATCGACTGCCCATTTTCCCCATTTTTTCTCATCCACTTTGTACATTTCTGTCAAGACCCTCCAAACCCAATTAGGGGACATTGGTGCGAACTGTCTTCTTTCCATCTCACTTCTTATTTTGCTATTCAACTTATCAGATTCTGGGCGAGGGATAGGTGGTTGAGGAAGAGTGAACTGGGGAGGATAGCGAGGAGGGTGCTCGAGGTCGATTTCATATTTCTTTCGCAGCTCGTTGATGATGCTGGATTCTTTGCATCCATCGCTGGTTGATACGCGGGTAGCATGCTTACGCTTGCTGATGCGTCGGAGTGGACCGGGAGGGATTTGTATTTGAGCGATGGAGGTGGTGGGCATTCGAGAGCGGAATTTCCAATCATTTGCCATGGCGAGTTGATTTTGATGAGACAGTGATGAGTGATGTGATACTTTACTTCGAAATTATAGATAGGATCAAATTCATATTCTAAAAGATTTGAAAAAACTGATTTTCAATGTTTCACCATAAAGAAATACCGGCCTTTGATAATCACCTACGACAAAGGAACTTGATTCATTCACAAATCAGGCCGCATCTGGTTCCTCGCTAGATTCTTTATATATGATAGCCAGTCAAAGAGAACCCAAATGATTGACAAGGGTAAGCAAATGACATCGTGATCCTTTACCACTTCACTACCCTTGCACTTTCCATGAAAGCCTCGCTTACCAAAAGAGGGGGGCTACTGTCGAGTGAGATCCAAATTTCAGAAAAGGATCACCAATTTTGAGGAAATGTTCCATTGAGTATTTCGGAATTGTCTTATGATCGCGGACGACGCCGTCTACTGCTTTATTCAATGCGACTATATTAATAAGTGGAAGTCATGATGATCTCGATTTTGAAGATGTTGAGTTACAACGGTCAGTAGTTATGCTTGGCTAGGTGTACAATGCATAATTTCACAAGTCGAAGGGGGTTATGAATGATAGTGGGTTCATTTAGCTTTGAGGTAGGATGCGTGAGGGCACAATATACAGGTGAGATTGGATGTAATTGGTGAACTCTTCGAACTTGTGAGCTCAATCATATGTTCAAGTTATAAGATATCCGTCTGTAGGAAAGAAATTCAATAATTTCTACAAGGGCAAAGTCCGGCGCGCGGACAATTTGTTTCATGAGAAAGAGAGCGATGGAGCTGTTGATACACAACAGTAACTAAACGACGTAACTGTCATTGTTCGCAGCTCATCTCATATTGACCAAAAAATAATGCTTAACACGTTATCCCCGCAAGTGAAAGTAGAAGAGTGCAGAGGCATTGCATTCACACAACTGGATGTCAGAGGTTTAGTATGTGGTATATATTCTCCACCTAAATGCAATTACCAAAAAAAGGGGTCAAAGCGTCTCTCGGTATTTCAACAAAAGTTCAACACCAAGATTTTCGCTCATCAAATCAGCTCTAAACAAACACACAGCAAGCACAACTTCAAAAATCGACAACAAATCAACGAATCGAGAAGGTCAATCTATTCCAAAGACAAAAAGTAATGCGTTCGCCGGGAATCGAACCCGGGGCCCATCGAAGTTGTTCAAATCCAGAGATTTATGGCAACGATGGATTTTACCACTAAACCACAAACGCTTGTAGCTTATTGCTTATTGATACATGAGAAGCACTAGATGATGTACTTGAAACAAGAGATGATGGGGTCAATCAATGAGTTGCATCGATTTATTCGGTGGGGGTTGTGGATATAATATGGATGTATGCAAGGGGATAGTGGGGGCTCATCTCAAATTCGCATGTGGAGTAGCACTCAGGTTTTTGTCTCATCTAAAACAAGTCGATAAACAGGCTGTAGAAGTGGATAGTTAGACTCGATATACTCAGTATGTTTAAGTAGAATGAGTATCATTATAACGGATCTAGAGACAATTCGCCTAGATCCGTCACTGTAAATTCCAACCTCTAATTTCCCTCTTCTCCTTGAACCATTCTTGCACATACTCTAGTCCCGTATGTGGTCCGTATGGATCATTTTCCCATTGTGGAACAGGAGCTTTCAATCCTGTCTCCTCCTCGCATCGTTCTCTCAATTCCTCCAAAGTACCTCCTCTATTGTAAACTACCCCTTCTCCCACATTCGATTTCTTCATCTTTTTTCTCAGAATTTCTGTTTCCTCCTTATCGACCGAGAAATCATCCTCATTAACTACCACTCCATAATTCCTTTTAGCTCCATCAATTGTAACCAACTTCCTCTCAACCTCCAACGCAACTTTCTCAGCCGGTCTCGTGAATGGATCACCCAGCCCTCCACCTCCCCAGGTAACCCATTCTAATAGATCTCCGGGAACCACCTTGACATGATCACATTTACTTTGCAACATTTTTTCCTCTCCATTCGCCGAATACAATTTCTTCCAGGATCTCATGCCTGGCTTCCCACCGTTAATTCCCCATGGTTTTGTGAACCATCTATCATCATGAAGACTAAATTCTCCTTTCGCCAAAAATCGGTACAAGGTTCTTTGTGCATTACCACCGCGATGGAATCCTGCGCCTCCAGTATCGGCAAGTGATTCATTTGCTTCGATTCGCAATGGGAAGTTAAGCTCAATAGCCTCAGCGGGCACAGACTTGATAGCTGGAAACAAGCAATGACAATCTGGACCATCGCCAATGGGACGGGCTGGAACACCTCCAAAGCCAATTTGGTAGAGTTGATACCATTCACCATTAGGTTTGAACCCGGAGTAGAAGAAATGTGGAGAATCTGAAAATCCAGCGGCAGCACTATATTGAGGCGACCGCTGACCCATGAGAGCTTGGATAATATCCATGGTGCGGCCCATAAGATGAGTTCGACAGCTGACAGGGGCTGGGCGTACAGGACGAAGTATAGTTCCTTCGGGTATAATAACTTCAAGCATATCATGAAATCCATCATTGACGACACAATAGGGATCGAATACTGCTAGTAAGTAGTATCCGACAAACATCTTAAACATAGTAACCGAGAGATAGAAATTGATAGCTGTTTCGGCTTGCGGAGAAGTACCATTGAAGTCGAATACCAGTTTTCCATTCGTCTTTTTCATGGAACAGGTGATTGCATAAGGTCCAACACCTTGACCATCATCGTCGATGAAATCAGTGAATCTGCTTTCCTCGTCACTGATCTGAGTCTCGATGAGTTTCATAATACCTGAGCGATTTCGTGCGAGAAGTTCGTCGCAAGAGGCACTATATACACTAGATATAGAAATCAGTTATACTGCTGTAAATTTGTGATCCAAATGACCTACTTAGGACCGAATCGTTCGTTCAGTTCGCAGACTCTAGTAGCTGCCGTTCTACAAGCAGCTACAAGGGCTGTCAAATCACTACGAAACCAATCCGGTTGACGAGAATTTCGACAGAATACTTCGACCATCGCTGCATTGTATACACCTCGAGAGTAAAGTTTTACGGTGGGTATCTGAATCCCATCTTCGAAGACAGAAGTAGAGTTAATGGACATACTTCCTGGTACCGTTCCTCCAACATCACTATTAATCATCAGTCAGTTCATGGTACCTGGGAGAACGGGAAATAACATACGTCATATGTCCAAAGTTTGCCGCCCAGCCCACGAGATCCCCCTTGTAATGTATTGGAAGAAGTACAATCACATCATTGAGATGACTTATAGCACCACTGGTTTCATAAACATCATTTGTGACGAAAACATCACCCTCCTCAATGGTCCCTTCCCATGATTGCAGGAACTGAGTAATAAAGCTACCAAATTGGCCCACTAACATCTGTCCCTTTTTATTCGTGATGACATTAAATTCATCCTGTTGATCTCGAATGGCAGGTGACATACTACATCTTAGCATAAGGGTATCCATTTCATTCCTAATTGACTGCAATGAAGAGGAGATCAAAGTCGGAATCAGTGGTGACTTTTGAACGAGGTCTAGAGCGCTTTTCCAATCATGATGGGCGATATCAGACGTTAACTTTGTATCCTCGTCTGGAAAGATAAGGATATTTCCAAAAGAATCAATTTTGCCATAGAAGCCTGGAAGTACGAGAGTATTAGAATCCATTTCGGATACCACACAAGGTCCTTGAACCTTATATCCAGCTTTCGTGATCTTGGATCTTTCCCAAAATATCGCTTCCATTGTTTTTCCATCAGTACTAATCGTTTTCCGACTAATGATAGCATCATGTGGAGGTGTATGATTGCTATCAAGAAGAGAAGTTTCGATAGAATTAAGTTCCACGTCTGCAGAATCATCTGTAACAACTGTACCAAGTCGCATCATTTCCAATTCGAAATCGGGAAGACAGAAGCTATATTGCTGTTCGTGAGCTACGTGGAATCGTTCTTTGATCGCTTTGATGAAGTTCAATGAATCAAGTCCAAAATCTTCTACGAGAAGTGGGATAGACATTGTCAAAGCCTGGCCTTTGTATCTGAGATCTGCTTCGTACCCGACTTTAAGACGAGTCGACTGGCTTAATGCTTTAAGAACTACATCTTGGCACCTTGTCCTTAGTTCAGATAGAGCATCGAATATATCACTCTGCGTAGCATCCGTAAGAAGTTTGATGTAAGAAATAGACTGTTCATGGCTCAACTTTGTCGTAGCATCGCCCTGTGCACACAAAACACCTGGAGAGGGTGGAACAATAACTGGCCAAGCTCCGAGTAATTTTCCTACTGCATTCGCATGCAGAGGACCGGCTCCTCCGAACGCAACGAGTGAAAAGTCTTCGGGATTATAACCTTGTTCAACGGAAACATTGTGTAAAGCGTTGTACATCTTTTCGTTAACCAAGTTATAGATACCTTGAGCGGTTTCATCTATCGATAATCCCATCTGCTTGGAAACGTTTTCGACCGCAATCCTCGCGGCTGCAATGTCTAGTGGAAAATCACCACCGAGAAGTTTATCTGGAAGATAGCCAAGTACAACATTTGCGTCAGTTACAGTCGCGTTATTTCCGCCCTTCCCATAACAAGCGGGCCCAGGATCTGCTCCAGACGATTCTGGACCTACGCGCATTGTAGATGTCAATTCAACGTATTGTGCTATTGATCCACCACCTGCACCAACGGTTCTGGTAATCGTCAACTCAAAGGCATGATGGTAAGATGGGTGAGGTGAGACTTACTTGACATCCACTGACGGAGCTCTTACTGTCAGATTGTCAATAGCCGTTTCTCTTCGAATCGCAGGAGTTCCATCAGAAATGAGTGCACAGTCGGTTGAAGTGCCACCCATATCTAATGTTATCAGGTTTCGATATTTGGTTTTCTTAGCCACAATATCTGCGACGCCTCGGACCCCCCCTGCTGGTCCAGACATTAGGATGTTGACAGGTAGATCGCCAGCCAAGTCTAATGTGGTAAGACCGCCATCACTTTTCAAGATTCGAATAGTCTCGCTATCATCAACAAGAAGGGTTTGGAGGTTAGCTAGGTACTTCTTGACTACTGGCTTAACGATAGCGTTAGCACTTGCTGTCACAGTACGCTCGTATTCTCCCATCTCTGATAATACATCACTTGAACAAACTATCTCAACATCAGGACCGAAAATCTCCGTTGAAATCTTTGCCACCTGCTTCTCATGTGTGTTGTTCTGGTAAGAATTTAGCAGACTAATTGTGATAGCTTCAAGGTTTCGTTTCTTGAGGCGTTTAAGATCTTTGCGAAGTGAATCTTCGTCGATTGGTGTAACAATTTGACCATCATAGCCTATAGCTCCTTTGCATTGCACGGTACTTTCAAGAGGAACTATAGGATCAGGTGGCATAAAATTAATCCAAGCTCCCAGACCACCTGGTATCTGAGATCTCCGTACAGCCAAAATATCTTTATGGCCTGCTGTGACAATCAAACCAGCCTTTGCTCCTTTGCCTTCGAGAACTGCATTTGTTCCTGGGACGAGAATTAGACACTCTCATTAAAATGCCATAGAAAGGTGATGGGTCCATACCAACAGTAGTACCGTGATGAATGCCATCGAATCGACCATCCCAATTGTACAAAGCCTTCAATTTCTCTCGCACTTGCGTGATACCATTTTTGACACCGATACTTTGATCTTGACCAGTTGATGGTACCTTCGTCCGTATAGTATCACCCTCTGGTGTAAAAACGCATACGTCGGTGAATGTTCCCTAAAACCAATTGTCAGCTGCCACATATTCCTGGAGTTACTGAGTATCCATTCACATACTCCAACATCAACACCCAAGCGATAGCCTCTGGTTTGGTCTGGAATCATGCCTGAGTCTCCCATACTGAGGTTTTGCTCTTCTCTCTTGTGGTGGAACGCCTGAGATGTTTGCCTGGAGAGAAACTCGGTAAAGAACTTCCTTATATAATTTTTTGGTAGACAACCTCAACTTCTCATATTTGCTTGAGCGTCATCATCTCGATAGACCTTGTATTGTTCCACGCTGCACTCCCTTATCACGTTGATGTGCGGGGTAGATAGGCCTGTTAAGATATTGGAGATGCATATCGCCGATAAGGGAAGTGACACTGCCATAAAGCCGATTTAATCGTGCTTGGAAAAAAACCCTGCCATGACTTGACCAGCCACTTGCTAATCAGGAGCTCATCCAGCGTGGAGCAAGCCGTGGAATGTATACATGGGAATGGTCTTTAGCTGAAGCAATCATGCATATGGGCCACAAAACATTTGAAGATCGATTAATTTGCTGCCTTGAACCTCGGCAAACATCTGGGCAAGATAAACGATCGTGAGATTGCATTGTGAATTACTGATCGGGTATTTCAAAGTTCCTAAACTGGAAAGTGCTTTCTGCAACCCTCAAAAGATCGGAAGTGGAGAATCAAACCAATCTTGAACCAAACATTGGACCTTGATGATTGAAACACGTCAATTTGGCAGAGAAAGGAGCAGTTGGAAAGTCTGCTTCCCCAACATGAAGATTGCAAATCGAAAGAGGGACAAATCGGTGTCAAAGAACATTCAGATGGGGGATAGCTTCAATACTACTCCCTCCCGTGTCATAGACTACTGACTGTCTCTTGATCGGCAATCAAGAACTTTCAATTCTGCCGAGACCTACCCCTGGAAATGTCGATAAGCTCGATAAGCCTTATCCGCAAGCTTACCAATAGCACTGCTCCACCATTTCGTCACACCACATCACATTTCTCTCTTTAACTTTTCTCCATTTTAGTCTTCCTTCTCTTTCCTCCTCCCACTATACGCACCTCTAACGAAATGGGACTTATCCGCAGTACCTTCACCACCGCCCTTCTCGGAGCCGCAGGTGCCACATCCGGCTGGGCTTTCTGGACGCGCAATTCCAGATTCATCCCCGTCTCCCCCTCGGATCCGATATTTTCAAGCGCAGCCTACATGCGACAAAACCCCAATCGCAATCCTGCCACGCAAGATTTATGTCAAAGAAAGGTACCGCTGAGTAAGATAAGACCGCATTTATTGGAGAAGGAGGGAAAATTGGTTGAGGCTTTTTGTGCGGGAGTTTGGGGGGTTTGGGTATGTACTTTTCGTTGTATTATTGAAGAGCTTGCCGGCGTTGCTTGGTGGTTAAGGAAGAGAGGAGATACGGAAACAGGAATAGTGTATGATGAAAGTTAATCTAATTGGGAAACTTAGGCTATTTATACCAACGTTCCTACCTTTCTAAAAAATACCAAAACACCACAACCACCTCCCACCAGCTCTGGGAACCTTCGCAACTCCTCTCCTCCACTTATGAAGTCGGAACTCAAATTACCGACCATTTTGAAGTCGTCTCCAAAACGCCCACTTCAATTATCGTCCGCTGCGGAGATTCGCCTTTAGTGACCGGTGTAAGGGATAGCGATGGGCTTTTTGAGATGAAGGCTAGTGTTGATAAAAATGAGGGAGTGGCGGTCTTCGAGCTGAAGAGTGTGTTCTTTAAAGGAACCGGAAAAAGTACCGAGAAACCTATGCCGGCACATGTGGAGTTTGCGCATAGATTGTATACGAAGTTATGGATGGAAACAGCCGTAGAAAATTGTGTTATGTAAGAATGGATGGGATGAGGTCAAGTGCAATATCTTTATACACATTGATGGGATACTTGAGCTCACATGATCAGCTTTGAAGAAAAAAAAAAGGATGTTTGGTTGGAGAAAGCAGGACTAACTAAACTTCATTGCGGATTGTGGTGATATTTTCTATCTAAATGTGTGTGTCCGTCTGTTGCATGCTGTTCATAATTCCGATTGCTTAGCTATTCAATACCCATGTTATACTCGTTTCATCAAAATCTTCCCCTTGCCATAATATCGAGATCCAAAATCCATCTTGCTCTAAACGCCAATTTTTAATCCGAACTTTAACAAACTCCGTATTTCCTTTGGTATCCGTTTACCCATCCGTCCTGAGCTCAGCACTTGAGCATATGTGTATCATATCATCAAACATAATTTAACATATTTCAATCAATCGTCATCATTCAGCCAGAGCTCAAAATGTTGAGCTCCTTCTGACATCGCCTGGTTGTCCTGGTGTGTATAATGTTGTTCTGCTTTATGTTAGTAAATCCGTAATCTCTCAATGATTCCAATCAAAGGAAAGGTATAGTACTTACGCTCTACTAGCAAACTCCATATCCGAACATTCAGCCGACCTCATGGTCCTCACTTTACTCAAATCCTCTTCTCTTCTATCTCTGATTTCTCGATCCTCAGGTGCCCAAGTAATCCACCTCTCAGCCCAACTGCCCCTCTTCTCCACTTCCCCATTCTCAACATCCCCTCCTCTACCCGCCTCCATATCCGTATCGTCTTCCTGATTTCTCCCTTTTCCCCACCTCCAGCTTTTTCCAATATGTCTAAAAATATACCCCAGCGCGGCGAAAACCAACACTGGAGTTCCTAGAGCCACTGCCCAACTGGGTGTTTGGACATTCCCAAGAACGATCCAGAATTGCAGCATGACTCCTAGAATAGCGATGAGAGAACCGACTTGAAGAATTGACCAAAACCCCCAGTACAGTTGAATTAGATCTTCGCCATCGCAGTATTCGATATTGAAAGCGGCGAACACCTCAAGCACGATACAAATAAGAGCGATCAGGAAACAAAGGGAGACTATCGAGAGGTAGTGGATCCGGCGACGACGAATGCGACGGATTTGGCGAGAAGTGGAATTACTTTTCAGGAGTTCGGTCAGGCTGTTTGACCTAGGGTTTGTTAGACTGACAGATCCAGGAATTTGTGAGGAATATGGAGAAGAGTGTGAGCATATGGTGACAGCTACTTACTTGTGATGTTGGATGGATGATATACACATCAAGACAAGAACGAATACAAACAAAGACCAGTATATGATGTTAGCTTCGGTCAATGTTAAATGTTGGAAGAATCGAGCATAGTGAGCACAACGAGCCGGATCTTTGAGTGTGAATTTTCCGGTCATCGTGATGGCGAAAGGATAAGGAGATGAGATGTCGAATATCACTGGACACTACTCAGGAATCGATTGAGCACAAACAAATGGTAATAATCTAGCTTTGAGGAAAGAACTGGCCTCAAGTATTTATCTCAACAATGAAACAGTCACTTGTTGGTGTCTATTCACGGAGAAGGTACAAGTATATTGACGAGAATGAAACAGAAACGCCTCATCCGACTTGGAGGGACGCTTTAACTTATCTTGCAGAACGACTGGGACATCAAGCTGAATGTAGTGATACAAAATAACTATATCTTTCGCCCAGACTTAGATGGGGATAGAATGCTTGGTGGTTTCGGTACTCATAATTGCAATTAACCTTATGCTTAGAAATGGAGCCCAAAATTCATGAAAGAAATGGTAAAATAAGGGGGCAGTGACTAGGTTTCGACACCTTGGCCTTTGCTATCAAGGTGAGAATTATGTCGGGGAAACCATCATCTGGGGAGCCGCAGATATGGGGTCTTGGCGAAGATCTTTCTTAAATATTGTATGGCATCTGAGAAATGTTCGCCGGGTGGACGCTGCTGCATGTGTGTATCATGATGTTTTTTACTGGCCAAGAGAGGCGAAGTCAAATGCCAAGTGAAAATAAGGTTTGGTCGAAAAATGGAATTGCAGGTCTATTAGTTTCTATCTCCCTTCGTGGCATTGCTTTTCCAAACGTCATATATGAGACTTTAGTGCTCAATCGTTTGATCCTCGGACGTCTTGAGAGAGTTCTTTTGGTATTGATCGTCGTGACTGAGGAAAACTTTGATAAGGATTGATTGCAAAGTATAACAGAAAGGTTGAACGCTTTGAATCGACTACTTCTGACGCGTAATCCACTAGGATTTCTACAGCAAGTGCTGCTTTGCTTACTGCAATGTAAAGTAAGACAATATGGTGTTGCAGGTATCACAACAGTATCTAGTCAAAGTCTGGACTTTTTCAATTACACACGGTGACATGAATATGTACCATCAAGAGAAGGCAAACATGACAAGTATGTCAACACTCTTCATCAATCCATCTGACTGCTGCCCAAAGTGGGTATATTTTTGGGACATCAGCGCCGCAGAATTCCAAGACTCCAAGATGCCAAGTTGGGATAATATGATTTATCTGGGGACAAATTGATCTTATTAGTCTTGGAATTTTGGGATGATGTATCTCCAGATAAGCACTGATTTGCTCACATTCCGTACACTCCATTCCACCTTTGCGTGGTGATGATAAGGTACAACGTTGAGATCAGAAAAGACGGTGAGATCTCGGACAACGAGGTATAATTTCCATGAATCGTAGCCTTCTTGGCAGAAACGGGAGGCATCTGGGCTTTAGACAAGACGGATGATATGATCACTGGTAATTTTTGAATTTCTTGATTAGGAAGTCATGACCCTGAGTCAATATTACCAAGATATGGGACAGTCTTCAAGGTAGATATCCTATTTATGGCTAAGACAGCGTCCGGGATATCGCAGGTCCGAGGAGACGGGTGAAGTTATTCGCGCCGGTGAGGACAGTCAGTTAGAAACTAAAAGATTATTGAAATTCGGGTTATTGGATTGAAAGAAAGAAATTCTTTGAAGCGTGTGGTTTTTTTGGGTGGGAATTTTCCGATGCGTACCCTGAAGGTGAACAATAGACGCACTTTCCCCATGCTCCGCTTCTTTGATGTTGTACTCCGTACAACATCTTGGTAGCTCTATCAAGGCAACTGCCAAAAGAACAATAATATTCATGGATTCGGAGAATTAACTCAGATTCTTGGATACAATAAGAACTTTCTACTGCCTCCAGGCCCCCATGCCCCAGAACCCCTTACTGTTATACGTGGGGGCGTGCCAAGGTCGAGCTGAAAACAACACACAAGAAAGCCATTCCAAATTTGTGAGCTCCGAATTCACGCAAGTGTCGATCGCTAGAAAATACAATGTCTTTAGCCTCGAGCTTCATGTATCATGGAATTCATTTCCCTTGAAGTTGTTGAGAATACTGAATACAGAGATAGACTCCAACTCTCTTCCGCTCAAATTGAATCTCCCAAGAAAAGGAAATTCCATCCGTGTGACATCGATATAAACTTTTCAGTCTTGATGAAAATCTCTCTGCAAGTCTGACATGGAGGTGTTTCAAACTGTATATCAGTTTAGGCCTGCGTCTACGATTGGTTCATCAAATTCATCAAATTCTCCAGATCTCTCCGATGTCAAATTCCTTATCTCGGTACAGAATGCAGTTCCTCCCATTTCTTCAACATATGGGTCCAAATTTGAGTTTGAATACAAGTATTTCATTTGTTTAATAAAATCGATTCTTGGTACCTCTTCGAGTCTCACAGAAAATCTCATCCAATCTTTAGGCTTCGACACATCACATGAAGTCAATACGAGCCACTTTGAAATTTGTCGCTAATCCTCAATACATATTCCACTATTCAAAACATGCAGAATGTTTTTGTACTTCACCATGATACCATAGCTGTGGTTTGAATTTTTCCGAGTTCTAATTGCATAGTATTCACGATATTTGATTGGGCGATGGCTGCTAAATGCATGCAAACTCTAAGGAGTTCTGCTTGTCAATCTTGCTTCAAAAACCTGCAGTGTATGGAAGTTCTTGGCCTCTGCACATTTTTACCCCGTAAACAGTTGAGGTTGCTCAATATTTGTTGCAAATCCAAATGCAATTGGATGCTTCGGGGCTTTTTGTATGCTGCCAATGCCCCTCTTCTGTTCCTCATTGGGCAGTTGTGAGTATCTTCATAACACATTACATGGCATCATAAATTAATTTTAAACTACAATTCACAAGAAGATCCAGCGGGAAATATCGGAAGAACCATAAGCAGCTATGGAATTTTTTTACAGAGGATGACCCTACCAATATCTACGGGAGAGCAATACCACATATCTAAGATCTTCCATTCCGGTCTATCATTCTTAGGCGCTTTCAACTTGCATATGCTCGTGAGCCAAGGAGCTCTCAAGTTCTTGTATCCTAGTTTTGACCAGCCTCTGGGTTTAATTGTGCTCATTTTGACAGCTCTTGCTCCCGAGTTTCTGTCATTCTTTGAAAGTTCAAATCGTTAAACAAGGTATTGCGATACTGGCAACATTTACTCTCGAGTTTCTGAGTTGTGTCAGAAAGACTCGAGCATTCATTTTTGCAATCTAGCACCTGTCAGTGTAAGTTATGAGTTGGTTCTCATTCATATGGACGGTATTGTATTCAAATCTCGATATGTAACTCATGACTTTCATACCAAGAAATATTGGCAGCTCCAACCGTACTCAGGTTATCATAACGTCTCGATCTTTGGCAAAAATTTACAGTTACTAGACTCATCTGTTTGTCTCCAGCTCCATGTTCCCCGAGGTTTGACGCAAGCTAATTTACTAAATGGACCAGAACTCTAGACGCAACCCTTGTCATTTTCTATCTGACTACTTATATCCTCCTGGTATTTGAGATTCCAACATGGGATATTGTTGACAACAAATGGGCAAGGAAGCTTAAAAAAAACTTTATTGTCGGCGGCTTGTGCATCAAAAGCCACCGTCGCACTTCAATCCATCCAATTCTTGACACTAGTCAGCTAGACGGGTTTCTTCACTATGTCCTCTAACCCTTCCAGTTCGTATGCCATCACTTACGGGCCTGTGCTAGCAAGCCCACGGCATCTAAAAATGCCACGCAACTAGCACCAGGACCTCGACAAACTCGCAATTCTCGACTCTCCCATCGCTACAGAAACTCTTGGTCAAATTATTTTCCCAATACCTCAACTCCTGTATCTCGCTCAGGACCACCATCGTCTCCACGACCTATCCTTCTCTTCAGGTAGATTATAATCTCATCTGTCCTCCGTCAGTAACCCGACATGGGCGGGACGCATAGAATGAGAGAAGAATATAAAAGAAGTGTTACAATGCAGATTCAATCTAGAAATAGAGACGGGGAAATGGGGATTCATAGACGTGGTGAGGAAATCAAGATGGAGAGGTTTGGTGAGGACAATGGAAGAACGGATTTCTCGCCAGCTTTTGTTTGATGTGATGGAATATGGTAAGATCCTGCAAGTTTATGGATCTTTGCGACGAGTTCAATTGTTCCAATGAGGAAGTTCGATACGTTACATGCTTTTGTAAGAACTACTTGATAATGGTAATTGTGGAGGAAATAAAGCACGATTTTGGCTGAGAGGCGGGGGAACGGCAGGGGAAAGGCGATATTGTTGAGTTTTGCACCTGTTCAAGTAGCTTCTCGTAATGTGTTAGACAGATGTCGAATGCTTACTGAATATTGACTGAACTAAATGTTCATGTGCAGCAAATATTTATGTCTATAGATAATGAATGAAGTACACCTACAGCTTCATAGTCTTATCTGTTTCTGTCAAAGTCTAAAACCCACCATCAAGCCATCCTGAACGCATCGGCCAAAATTAAAGCGAACTCCGACCATCGCCATAACCACACGTGAAAAAACATCATCGCCCCTGTAACCCACTAGCGTCATATTTCAGCAAGTAGACAATCGAATATAAGAAAACGACTTCCTCTCGTTAAATTTCCTCTTCTTTCTTCAATAATCGTTTATACGCTTCGCTAAACGTTGTCGAATTTGATCCGATGAGTTTGTGGTTTTTCTCTGGTTTTTGGATCACTTTTCTGGTGTGAGAGAAAGAAGAGAATGAAGATGAAAGAGCATGATCCACTACTTCTACATATGATTGGTCCAAGTGGTAACCAATCAGAAGATTCATGAAGTATCGGCCTTGAGTTCGAGGTTTGGAATAGAAAATTCCGAGGTTGGTGAAATGGTTGTGGGTAGACGTGGATGATGATCGAGGAAGGGGTATCAGCAGAACTGAAGGCATTCCGTAGTTCGGACTTCACTTTCTTTTCATTACTGGATCCTTGATCGACGAGGATGAGATGCATTTTCTATTACGAATTTGTATTGATCTGTAAATATACTCGATTGAATTTGTGATTTTTTTGAGTTGATCATATCATAGCGTTGGTTTGTTCATTCAGCTCTTTCGTCTTTGGCCATCACTACATCATTACGATGTATGTAGATGATCAGTTTCATTCACGATGTCGATATGTTTCTAACATACCAATTACTTTCATCCATTATTCATCCTTGTCTCGTCGTATCTTTATGGTATCAAGTTTGCATTGTGTAACTTTTGATGAGGGTGTTTATCTTTTCCAATTAATATGCGGCCAATAGATAAACAATCTAGTGGATCCACAACCCTCTTGGAAACCCCCGCTTAGACACAACTCTTCACCAATGAGGATCCAAATTGTCGAAAATCTAATCAAGCGGTGATAGCCAACGAACACGAGAATATCGAACTGCATGATTGCATACTCGGCTTAGGGAATGTTATGAGGGGGTTTTCGGGTACGAAAGTTTTATTATCTCAATTAGACGAATCAGGCGAACGATATCAGGCACACGATTCAGAGAATGCCCCATGGAGGATTGAGAAGGAGAAGGTAGCGGTCACGAACTTTATCACCATGTGTGGGGTCAAACGCGTGTGCGCCGCGCCAACGATTGAGGATGTTGGAGATGAAAGGTTTCATACCAACATGAAATAAAGGGGAATTGGAACAGAATTATTGGGAAAAGGAAGGAATCTACCGATTAGATGTTATTTTGGGAAAGATCTGACGACAATTCACCAATGCATATAATATTCAAGGAAGCTTAGATGATAAGACATATCATCTCACCAGCTTTCGAAACATTTTATATGGCCAAGTACGGTCAATCCCGATGCCGGCCTAGTTATCAGGGTTGTCATTTATGAAACGTATTTAACCTACGGTCCGCATGATCCTACTGGATTTCTCAATCTTCCACTCTTTCAATTTTAATCAACTCTGATTTATAAAATTTCTAAGCTTACAAACATCAATTTTTTCACATCTAAATATCTACAATACATCGTGAATCTGCAAAAATGGCATCAAATAGCATGAAAACGACAGCACTCCGTACTTTACGTACAAAATTGACATCAGCAAACAAACCTACATTCTCACCCATCCTCGCCAATAACCGTGGTATTACAGGCACGACCAGAAAATCAACCTCTCTTGACTCAACCACTTCCAGTCAACCCAGGACACCCTTCTTACCTCGAGGTATTTATTTTCCGAGTTCTTGCCGAATCTATCGTGATGATGGGATGTGAAAATGAAACTAACCGACCTCCTTTTCTGTAGATTTTAATGGCAGTTTTCCCGTCTCCTTCTCTAAACCCACACCCACAACTACACCATCTTTCAATACCCTTATCAACTCCCTCACCACATCTCTCACCACAACCTCCTCGCCTCATCTTCCGACTCTCACTCGCCTCCTTCAATCTTATGACTCCTCCACTTTATCTGACTGGCAAAAATATGCCCACGCAAACCCAAATAAACAATACACAAGAAACCTAGTAGCAGAAGTGCCAGGGATATTCAATTTGTTGATGTTGGTTTGGACACCGGGAAAGGAAAGTAAAGTGCACGATCATGCTGCCAGTCATTGTTTGATGAAGATCATGAAGGGGAGCTGAAAGAGACGAGGTGGGTTACTCCTGAGGGAGGTGCAAGAACGGCGGAGGAGATGGATATCGAGGGTGTGAGAGAGTATAGGAGAGGCAAAGTGGCGTATATGTGTGATGATGTAAGTCGTTCTATTTTCTTTTCCTTCATCTTCTTTCTCTTTTGCTTTTGTTTTATCGATCCATCGCTTGCTGGACGATGTGATAGTAATCAAGTGGCTAATGTATGATGCTAGCTTGGTCTTCATTCCATCGCCAACCCTAGCGCAACAGACTATGCAATTTCTCTACACTGTAAGTTCTTTTCTTCCGCTCTTATTGGCTCTCAAGTCACATCAACTCATTATTCTCCTTCCTTCCACCTCTCTTCCTCTACTCCATTTGCATTTCATGTCTAATAAGAAACACAGTATACACACCACCAAACGCCGCAATGCACGGTTGCCACATCTTCGATCCATTGACGGGTGTAAAGACTCATGTGGCCCCTGGTGCTTATGATTCCGTCGGTGGTATTATTGATCCAACTGCTTGAGCTAAGCTCGAGAGAAAGAATGAGAGACATGATCTGGTAGTACTGTGGAAATTGGGGAGATAATTGACATGAGAGATACCCTATTAACGAATTTTCTTGTATTTCTTAACTTTTCTATCTCGGGTCGGGAGTTTGGGGTTGTGGGGCTCTTATTCTTTGATTCCTTCTTTACCTACATAGTAGGTCGCGAACGAGTAGCGTAGCGTGAATTGGAAGTCTCGAACAGCGCCGGGGTTTAGTTTATTTTGATTTCACGGAATCAAGGCTTCAATTCATTTTTGTTAAGTCACAAATCCTTTAGGTTACAAACATTCTAACCTCAATCTTTATTCACAATTTATGAATATCATCGCCCATTCGTTTCCTAAACCCTGCCAGTTTTTGTATGATAACATTTAATTCTTGTTTGCTAGACTTTCACTAGAAGATATCTAAATGGGCAGTCCACTCACTCAAACCAATTCCAATTGAATCAGTATCGCAGCCAGTTTCGCCAATTTAAAGATGTAAAGTTTCATAGTGAAATCTTGGAACTGTGCCCGGAAGCTGTTCTTGGGCCGGGTGAGTCGTGTGATCTTTCGCATGTAAAAGATGGTGAAATGATGAAATGCTGGAAAGAAGACTCTTTAAAACTAAGTGATGCTAAACGTTCCTATGTATACACCAGGAGGCACTGACTAGTAGTGCCGGAGCTATCAATGGGTCCATAGAGTGCCAAGTGCATTCAGATCCGCAACATAACTAAAGCTGCACACCAGGTCTGGGGTGGTGTTAAAACGGCGGGCTATAGATGGTCAACTCAAGCTAGAAGAAGGATCGACATCTTTAAACATAAAATAGATAAGAGTGTACTAAAGCTAGTGCTTGAACTAGGAAGTACCAAGGAGCTTGAGATGTGCAACAATTGATTGATATACCGGAGCTAGCACTGGAACTATGAGAGCCAAGGACATCCAGGTACGCAACAAAGAACAAGTGATAAGACGCTAAAAGTGTCGATTACGGAGGCTAGGAGTGCCAAGTGTGTTGAGATGTGCAACAATTATGTGTATGTATACATGTATAGCAGTCACTGTGGCTCTGCGGGAGGGTTCTGTTGGTGGTGAGAGTGTGGAAATGGTAATAAATCTTCTGTCCATTCGTAACATCGTTTTAAAAACAGAAAAGTATTGTTGGCTTACTAATGTGTTGAATGCAAGCGGAATTGAGAGATCGAGGGATCGATGTGGTGTTCTACTAGATTATGGCACGTTGGTGGGAAATGCTTAGGATTTGACCAGTTGTTGTGTACCCTTTCAGTCCATTGGTTTTGTTTCTGCTTGCTCTGAGACAAAGCGAATTGAGAAAGATGAGGGGAATTCGGTAGCCCAGCAAGGGAAGTTGAAAGATGCAGATTACACACCAAAGTAGGATAATGCATTGACTCATAATGTATGAGACAGGTTCATGATTGCCTCCATAGAAGACGTGTAACGTCTTGATCGGCATTTTCTGTTTGGAGATTCTATCGAACGCTTGCTTATCCAAGATTATGAGATGGCGCTTTGATACTTGCGTAGAAAACTTCTTCTGCTTGAAAGATATTCTCTTCCCCATTACCATTGCATCTCAAGTGCTATAGTTATGGAATTATTCTCTTCAGTGATTTTGAATGCTTCTGGTTGTCTTCATGATGCATGTTGTATTTCTTGGTATCTCTCAGCGGAATGAGTACTCACTCCAAAGTTAAACGTCTCCTGGAGTTCTAATATTTAATGGATTTTAAAAGGGTTGAAGTTTTACGCCTTCATAATATCGCTGCGCCGTTGGAGTTCTCGAGATCACGACACCTCAAATGGATAGTATTCAAGGGTGGACTTTCTCAAAGATTCTTTATTTCTGTATGTGTGGAACCTAGTCTTATCTCAAACAATTTTTGGGAAATGCCGCCTTGACTTCTGCAAAAACTATACACAGGAGAAATACATAAAAGTACTGATACGGATTGATACTGGGTCTGATACGACCGTGAGATTAGAACAAGAGCAGAAATAAATGACAACGTAAATCACGAGTTCTCATTCGTCCATTTAAGCACAGCTTCCACAAAACCAGCCGGATTCTCTTCCGCACACCAATGGCCCGAGCCAGGGATATGAGCAGACGATGTGGTCTCATACATCTGCTCATTTTGTTGATTTGCAATAGTTGCTAAGAAACTCTTTTCTCCCATCAACGACATACTTGGAACCTTACACTTCCCACCCTTCAGCATACGAAGATTATCTTCAACATCCTGGTGAAACGCACGATATACATCAAATCCCGCACGCATTCCACCGGGTTGAGCAAATTTGCTTGCATAGTGCTCTACATCGGTTGGCGAGAAAGCCGAAGCATTGTAGCATAGGCGATCGTAGAACGATTTGATGTAAATGTGCTCTCGACCAGCAGTGAGGGCTTCAGGTAAATCTGTTTGCCAATGAAACACAAAATGCCATAGACCTCCCGTAATACCTTCTTTAACAGCGTTGTTATAAGCGTCTGTTCCCGGAAGAGGACATTCTCCCCACGCAACAGACGCTGTGTCTTTAGGAAACTGGGCTGCATATGCATGAGCAACCATCCCACCGATATCATGACCAACCACGTGGATTTTATCTTTAATACCAAGATCATTTTGGATAACTTCGTGGAGATCAGTTGCCATTCGAACCTTCTCGTATCCATTACGAGGATGAGATGATTCGCCTGCTCCACGGTAATCAGGGGCGACGACCGTGTATCCTGCGTCTGAGAGAGGCGTAATTACATGTCGGAATTGATATGATGTTTCTGGATAGCCATGTATAAGAAGGATAGTACCCTTCGAGGTAATGTTGGAAGGAGGATGACATAGGATGTAGTGAATGGTGACTTCTGATGGAGAAGACGGTGTTCCCGAAAGATTCGCACGGTGGGAAGTCCAGCGAGAACGATCAATTTCTTGGAAAGAAGTCATGTTGAGATGGTTTGAGTGAAACTTTCTGTGATTATTGGGGTTGAGAGTATCGAAAGTATTATTTGTGTACATCGATGAATGTATGGGTCCACCTATGTCATTACCCCGCAAATTATTTAACGTGTGGGGCCATCGGGGAACACCCGTGAATACTACTAAGTATCTGCTAGTTCGGGGCAGAGGAGCTCAGAAATTTTGTACTGTATTTCTTTTGTCGAGGGGTGGCGGCAGTTTTCACCAAAACGGTCGCTAGATCATCCCCGCATTACCTCTTCGTCCTCGTTACCAAACCGCATTGTAGGGGTTGATTTGATGACCTTAATCAGAACTTATCTCTCACATTTTGATTGACCGTTTCGCAATGAACATATGATATGGTTGTCTTGAAACGTATCAGAAATCAAGGACACTGCCTGCTCTTGTCTCCGGATAACTATGTTATGTCTAGTCTCGGTTGTACAAGTTCGCCGGAATTCATTCTCAGGGGACCAATACCCTCGAGGCACCTCAACATAATCAATCCATGGAAATGAAGTCCAGATATGATCGTTGTGTAATATGATGTATAATTATAATCGCCAAATCGAGATCTGAAATACAACCCTAACCATAGCCCACCAAGCACCAACGCTACCAAATTACCAAAACACAATAATCTCATCCTCGTGGTATCGTCATTATCGAATCATTATGGGTTTGGTCGTTGGTCAACAACTTGGAATTCTAGCCCTTCTGCCTCAAAGACATGACCTGGTCGCAATGCATCTGTGTAAATATTCCTTTCCTCGTGAGGATGGAAAAGCCCCGTTTGTTTACAATTTAGAACGGCGGGCATTCCTGGGGGTCAGTCAGACGGAAGACTCCCCATCTAATCACTAGTTAGTAGCAACTCCTTCCAATGCTGAACAGATAAACTATTACTTACGAAGGATTTCTACTGGGAGCGCAAACAATTGCGATACTCTCAGGCATCATGATTTGATATCCACAATGTGTATGCAGATCTCGACTACTCATGAAACAACTTTGAGTAGGATGAGTGTGTATCCATCCCAAGACCATTAGATCCTCAGATGCGCAGTAGTCGAAAAAGGCACCTTCATTAGTCGTTTCACACGTATCGCTAGTACTTGTCTGTTCCGGGATAACAAGTCGAGATATGAAAAGGGCATTTGATATCAATGTCCCGCATAACATCCCACAAGTTTCGAGATTCGCCCGTGTATTTGAGGCTGCACAGGCCAGAAATTGTTGTCGCAACGTAGGCGGTAGAAAGACTGTTCGAAGAGGTTTGCCATTTTCGAGATATGCCGAAGGCCGAAAGGTGAATTTTGGGTCTTGACCAACGACGTCTGATGGTGAACTCTCGTGAGTGTCTGATGATAGTTTTTCGGGTCGTGGTGGGGGTGTATCCAAATGCGGTGCCTCGAATTCTTCCTTGGGCGGCTTTGGAGGAAGATGACCGGGAGGTGGGAATGGCCCTGAGTCACTGACGAGTGGTTGAGACTTAGAGATAGACGGATAGCGGTATGCGCTACTACCATTCCTAGCCTTGGTTTGTACATATCGTGTAGGTCTCGCAGATTTCTTCTTCGTCCCGTCCGGCGAAATATCCTGGGAGCCATCTAGCCTCCTCCTTGAAGCTTCCATATTTCGGCGTATAACATCATCGTCATCATTACGACCAGATTTAGACAATGCTGACTCCCAGTCTTCCCATAGCCCTGCAGTCCGTCTTTCTTGCTCCTCTTCCTCACTAACACCCGCTTGTCTTGTACCACGTCGCGCAGCATCTCTTCTTCTAAACTCCTTATGCGCCAACTTCACGGCCAGGTCGCTATTCTCCGCGGCGCCTAATGTAGTTGTATTTCCAGCTATCGCAGGATCAGACGCCGCCAAGTCTGCCCGAGACGATGGTCGCGATGTATCATGTTCTCGCGCTGCATGAATTTCTTTCCTTCTTTCCAAAGCCTTCTGCCAGTTATCGTAGCGCGCATTTATCCTAGGCTTCAGTCTCTCTAATCCGTCCAAAACATCTGGGAGGGTTTTCTGAGCAGCTCTGAGAGCACTTCTATTTTCCGGAGCTTTTGCAAATGGATGACCGGGCAACTTTTCTGCAACTAGGGCAGCATATCGCATAAACAGAAGATATGCTTGTTGATCGTTGTCCTCTGCTTGATAAATATAAGCCTATTAAGTCAGCATTCCATACCACTCAAGTAATTGAGCATTCTATCTACCTCTCTTAGAAGTGTATCGGCTGTTCTCAACCAATATTTCAATGCGATAGTAGGATTAAATTCAAAATCTGAGGCCTTTGCGGAGATTTCTTTGATGCTCATGGGCTTCGAGAACTGTAAAGTTGACCCCGCCATGATTTGTGAATTGTGCCTATGGATGAAATGAATGAACGAACACCTTGGGTACAAGGGAGTTGAATAGAGATAACGTTAAGCAAAGGGGAATCTGTTCAGCTAAATCATGGGTATTTGTAAATAAGTAAATTGCATAGAGAAGTAGTACAACAGGTTCTCATTTATTTGGTTGCCTTGTCGGATGTGTTACGTCTGTCTTGTAAAATGATGAATTTCCGCGTCACTCTTTGTCAAAGTGTTGGTGGGTATGTTAGATCTCAAGGTGCCCAATGTAAAAAAATATGTACGGTAAATCTGATGGGTGAGAGGCTGTTTCAAAAGAGAGCTACAGCCTTGCAGATGACAGCCACCACCCAAGCCACACTAGCCACATCAATACCATGTCAACCAATGATATTGATCAATTAGCCCCGATAGCCTTATAAGTTTCTTCAGCCTCACCGAGTCGTTCCTGAAACTTTTTTGTTGCCGCATCTAAATTCGCGATATCGATAATCTTCATGTAAAGACTAATACTCCAGGATCGCATACAAATACTGTATGATTCAACGGCATCCTGAAATACAAGCTCTTCAACGCTCATCATCCTCAATTACCATCGAACTAACCATAGACATTGATGTTGCGGGTATTTCCACGTTTGGGTAGGACCAATCTACTTAAATATCCGACCATTCTACAACATTCGCGGCTTCGCGAATTTCATTGTTCACCATGTTATAATCTACCTGGAGTTTCTAAGTCCTCAGAACTCATAACGCCTACCGATGTGGATCCTCCAGTCAAGCGAACCCGCCGGAAGGCTGTGACCTCGGGGGATATCACAGCAGAAGATGCTTTGGCAGTGGAAGCAGTGAAGCGTAGACCTAGGAAATCCGCGGATGATGAAAAGGTTGATGGCAAAGACGATTCTATAGTTGAGCCAGTGAAGCGCAAAAGAGGCCGGCCCAAAAAAGTGAAAGAGGTGGAGGTGAAATCAGAATTGGAACCAGTTCCCGAAGCGAAACCTGTACCAGAATTGGAACCAGAGCAAGAACCAGAAGCGGTAAGGAACAGAATGAGCCGAGATAAAAATGAGAAATCTCTGACCGACGAACAGGAAGAAGAGGCTATAGTAAATAAAGTAGACGAAAGCGAGTTTATAAAGATTCCCTTGGACCTGAGGAAATACCTGAGAGACGCTCACATGAAAGGTTCAACCATGGGGGATAGAACACGCTCGAATATCGTGAACGGAGCACTGTGTGGTAAGAACTAGTCCTTTTTCGCTACGGAATTATCATTTAGTAACCTGGTCCAGATGATATCTTGGAACGTCTGAAACCATCGCTTTTAAAGCATGTTGGCTGCGACGTCATCGACATAAATCCAGGCATTGGCTTATGGTCGTCTAAGATCCATAAAATTCTTAAACCTCGAACACATCTCCTTATGGAACCTGATGCCAAGAAGTATTATCCTTTTATCCAACCTCTTCTTGATGCAAAAGATTCTACTTATCAACACATACCAAAATCTGGAACGGTCTGGGAACATCTTGGCCAAGTTACTACTCCGGAATTCCTACCCCAACAGGTAAAACTTTCGCGAGATGATCCAAAGATCAACGAACCAAACAACACCCTTCTTGTGATTGCGAATCTTGCCCACTACCCCAGAAAGAGGTACCGCGGTTTTGAGTCCATGTCACAACTAGTTCTGTATCAACTTCTTTCTGCAGCAAGATCGCATGCCTTATTCCATCAATATGGTCTCATACGAATGCTTGTATGGATACCGGATGTAGAAAAAACGTCATGGCTGGTACGTCATGTCGCCCAGATGCGCAAAAATGCTGTGGAGGCCCAAATAACTACAGAATATATTCAAGAGATAGCAAGTTCAACTGTAGACAACCACCGATTTGTAAGAGACGCCGAGGTTGCATTAGCGAATTCCATAGATGTTGTCAGTAAGATGGATAAAATGGGCATAACGACACCCAAACATAGGCAAGGCCCAATGGAGTTCAAAGCCAGGCAGTCACTTGCTACAGGTGGGCACAAAGTAGAAAGCGAAGATTTCAATCGCTTCAAGAGAGGCTGGTTCGATGAATTTGGGGATCTTCAGAAGCGATTGGATGAAGGGAAATTAATCAAATTCAAAGTGTCAGAAGGTGAGAAGATCGAAAACGTTCAAAAGGACAAACGAAAGAAGGAGAAAAGACACTATACCGAAGAATATGCACGTTATATCTTCCTTAAAGCAAAGAAAAAAGTGATCAACCAACATGGGGCACTGACACAGGATCTTATCAATGACTACAACAACATCAATCAGCTTCATAGTAAGATTTTAGACGCAGATTCGAAGTCCGAGGACACAGAGAGTTCAAGAAATGAATTGGACACAATGATCAAGACGTATGAAGACAAAATTTCCCAGCTGCCTCTTGCTGCCCAAAAGATCTATGGTATCAGACTCGACGGTGCGCGTATTGGTACAGAATTCGAGAAGAGACCGATGGAGCCTCTCAAAGTATATTCAAAAGAATTCAGACCTGCTTCTGAGTTGTGTCTCTTGGATATTCAGCCGCAAGCTCTTTGGCCTATACTTCGTCAAAATTATCCCGAGAACTACGATGTCTTCGAATACATAATTGGTAATATGTACGCAAATCCAATTGACACAGTCTATGAGTCTTTGGAAGGATTATGGCCCGGTGCCCTAGAGCACATAGCCGGCGAATGCCCCTCGTTAACAGATCCTTCGAAAGGAGGAGCATTTGACTTGAAGCATTTGTCTGTAAGATCCCTGACAACGGAAATGTTAAAGGAGATTATGGAGGCATGGATGAAGTGGCCATTCCGCCCTAGTAGATTCGAATTAATGACTAAAAGTGGCAGTATGGTACATGATCCAGACAGTCCAGATGAGGATGTTCTCGATGGCCCGTGAGTATAGTGCTATTCAGAATTAATAAAAAAAAAATCGATATATCCATAGGGATATTTCGTTATATCTTTTGCATTAAATTTAAGTGTTGCTATTGCCAAACACCTTGTCTAAAACGCAGACAATGTGATGGATATTATCCGGATGCACATGCAAAGAACTGATGAGCTTGAAATTGGGAACATCAGACATCCAGTTTGATAATTCGAAACCATACATCCCTCCCTACTGACAACAATACACGATTTTGTTACCAATGATTGAAGTGGATACCCACCAAAGAACCTATACCAGGCTTTCCAGTGATCACACGAATACCCTGGGTATGTAGAGGGTAGATGGTGCTGGCATAATCGAATGTTTTATTTGCATTCATGGAATCAAAGACCATGATCGAATCAAAGATCGTTTAATATCAACCAATTTCCAGATCACTTTATGAAACATAGCATGATTTCCCTCTTCCAATGCCTGCCTGCACGTTACCATGAAAAGCGTGAATAGCTCAAGAAACCGGAGATAATAGTCCAAAAACCACCACTCACCATAACATTCACAACAATTACCGAAATTTTAGCAACTAAAGGGCAGATAAACGAGGCACTTCTCTATGTAGAGGAGTAGGAGTTCATCTAAAGGTAACCAATAGAATTTGACAAAGCTGTCGCAACCATACGATTTTGTTCAGTTGCATCACGCCACAAATCAGCTGGTATGTGGAATACTGACAAGCCAACCGAAATCGACTGAGGGTATGACCACGCGGGGAACCGTTATATTTGTACAATTACAAGAACTCGGTTTATCTCGAAAAATATCATCTTCTTTATATTCGCAATGGAGTTTACGAAAAAATGGGCAGATAGCCCCTTCAAACTACTCTCAACTCCGAGAAGATCGTTAGATGTATGTGCACTCAACGGTTTGATAGCGATATCAAAAACTCACATAATGACAGGGCAAACCCGAATCTTTGGCATCTCGTAATGCGTCAGAAATGGCCTTACTTCATAACATTCTTCTCAGAGGTCTGAATTGCATTTATATCCAAGCGCCCAACGTAAAAGAGACCGTCGATATAGCAGATTTTATGAAATTCTGCGATGCATGGTCTTCTATTCTTCATTCCCACCATGCCGCTGAAGAAACTGTCTATTTCAAATTACTCGATGAGCAAAGTTCCAGAAATGACGTTTTCACTAACAACCATAATGAGCATGAGAAATTTCTTCCGGGCTTGTTTGCTTTCGATCTTTATGTTTCGGGAGTGAAAGACGATGCGAAACCCTTTGATGGATTCAGATTGAGGGAATTAATTGATGCTTTTGGACCTGATCTGGAGAGTCATTTACATCACGAAATTGGCGTCCTAGTGGATCTGGAAAAGGATGAATCGATCAATTGGGAAGAATGTGGGAAGGCGATGGCTCAACATTCGAAGAAAAGTGCTGACAAAGTATGATTCCTCAACTTTAGTCATCAAATTTAAACTTAGCTGATGTATCGATAGACGAGAGATGTCCCGTTCTTAATCACAAACTCGGATGTGACATATGAATCTGGTATTCATGGGCCGAGATTCCCTCCCTTTCCGTGGTTTGTGGGATTGATATTTAGGTGGATATACATTCCGAAGTTGAAAGGAGCCTGGAGGTTCTCAAGCTGTGACGATTATGGGGTACCGAAGGAACTTCCTTTTGCATGATTAATGAGCTTGCTTGACTGTGGTTTGAGAGTGGGTATTGGTTCAGATGAGGGAAACGTGAGGACTGGAACTCTGATCTTTAGGATCCGTACATTTCGAGATGGCCTTGGGACAAAATGTGTGTATGTTTCATGCGTTGGTTGGGTCTTGGGGAGTCATTGAATTTATATTTAAGTTTTTAGGTTAGCACGATGGCGTTGGTTAGTGTTAGCTAGGGATCTCCAGGGCCATGATGATGCTATTAATAATGAAACCCCTGGCTAAGGAACTTTGATTGCTTGTCCTACCGAGATCTTAGCGCTGCCTATCTTCAATATCATAAATCAACATTGCTTCCGTCCTCACCGAACTAGATGATGAACTCTGATATTGCTCCAGCAAGTATTTGTTCCCGATTAGTTTCTAGAAATTGGGTCTTATCAATGTCGCTATTTTGCATTGTAGACCTGGCGACTGAAGTTACCATAAACAATATCTAAGCAGTGATGCCTGCCGTCGCTCAGTTCCTGTTTGTCACAACCTGCATGACCTTCTCGATAAGAATACGATAACAATCTACCCCACCTTTGTCGTCATAGAAATACCACACGCAACCCGCCTTCAACCAAATTAACAATTGCGAAAATTGAAATTTCCAATACTATGGCTGCAACTGCTGTACAAAGGGCAGATATTGCCAATGATAACACACGTCGTGCTGCGCAGGAAATACAAGATTATCTCCAATCTCGTCTTGCGGATACCTCTGGTCCTTCTTCATTTCGATCACTTCCAATAATCGATCTGGCCCCTTCATTCTCATCATCCTTAGCCGACCGTCAAGAGGTCGCGAAGAAAATCAATGAAGCATGTGCGAATGTTGGCTTTTTCTACATCACAGGCCATGGAATACCACAGCATGTTTGCGATCAAGTATTCAAGCTTTGCGAACGCTTCTTTAGTGAACTGCCTCAGTCCTCGAAAGATGCAGTTCACATGAGGAATTCAGATCAATTTAGAGGATATGAACCGGCTAGTTACTCATCTGTGAATGATTTTCAAACTAAAGAAACAAAAGAGGCTTTCAATTGGGGTTATGAGTATGGTTTGGATCCTACAGGTGGGGATGGAAAATACGTCGAGCTTGACGGTACAACTGCTGGTGGTAAAAATCAATGGCCTAACGAAGCTGAAATTCCTGGTTTCTATCAAGGCATTGCAGACTATTACGGAAGGGTACGCTGACTTGTCGAAGATCTGTCTTTATATGTCTAATTTTGTCCCACAGGTCTTGGAATTGTGCAAACACCTGTTCCGCCTATTTGCCTTGTCTCTATCTCTTCCAGAAGATTACTTTGATCCACTAGTCACACATCCTGGAGGAATTGCGCGACTAATAAAGTACAAGCCAAATTCGAACCCCAAGCCTCTTTTAACCTCAAATGAAGAAGAGGAAGTTGGTCTTGGTGCTCACTCAGACTACGAATGTTTTACTCTCCTCCTCCAAGACTCAACTCCCGGTCTAGAGGTCCTTAGTCCAGACGGAAAATGGGTCGCTGCTGAGCCCGTTGAAGGAGGAATCGTAGTCAATGTTGGAGATTTCTTGATGCGATGGACAAATGGACTCTATCGAAGTACTATTCACAGGGTTGTTAACAGGACGAGCAACACTCGATACTCGGTACCCCTATTTTTCTCGATTAATTATGATGAGACTGTTGAGACATTACCGTCTTGTGTAAGTGAGGAAAATCCTTCCAAGTATCCTCCGATTACTGCCGGGAAATATGTATTAGATCGTTTGGCCATGACAGTTCCTGGAAAATACTGAAATCACGGTTGCCATGGACTTCTGTACCTTATTAGCGTCAATTATAACACAAATACCACTAATAGTCTTGCTCACTGACTCCAAGTTGATGGAAAACGTGCTTCTCACTATTTACTGTAACATCATGACACACTACTCTTTACGGTCTCAAATATCTGCACATTTTCGCACGATAGAGACACAGAATTATCTCTGTTGTTCCGCTGGCCTACAGCTTGGCTTTCTGACACACTGCTTTAAATTTGTAGTCCTTATATGAAAGTGCAGTCAGCTTATGTATCATCATGGCACAATTCTCCGGTAACGACATCACGTATCTTCTTGCTCGTGTATCGCATACCACTTCTAGAAGCACTCAAGCTATATGACTCTACCTCCCCACTGACTTCAACACCAACTCATGGTTAAACAATCCCCAAGACCAGCATATTGAAAGATTGGAATAGAATATCTTGATCGATGATCATATGAATTAGACTCGGCGTAGAGTGGATGAATAGCATACCTGTGTTAATGATGCAGTAGTCTCTTATGTAGACACAATTTAGCACTCGTAAACCTGTCCCAAAGCGGCATGATATTTCGATTTTCCATTAAATGATAGAAAACATTAATTGAAAAACAACACAATTAATATCACAAATGCATGGGACTAGAATTTCAATGCAAAGTGTAATTAGCTGAGGAGATCTGTGACAAAGCTGCCACTTCCCCCATTGAGATGATTTCGCTTCACCTATTTAGCCCACATACACAACATGTACATTACATATAAAAATGAAAAGTATGGGATTTGATAATGATATCCTTCCTCCCATTTTCCCAAACGCCTTGTCCATGCATCACTCGTGACTCATCCATCTAGCATGTAGCTGCTAGTACCCTTGGTCGTATGATAACCCCCATTCGTAGATCCGTCCTACACATTTGTTCCTAATACCCTATTTTCCCCCACCCATTCGCCATCCTAAATCCCACCTCATAATATCATCACAAATCATTCTTCGCATCCCGCACTCTTTCCTCGCTTCCCCTAATCATCCATCCTGTAAACCTGATAACTCATAATCATCATCCAGAACAAAAAGACAACCCCAATCAACATAAACGCCCACGCCGCAATCCAACTCTGGCAAATCGAATGTTGCATCAACCACGCCAAAGTCGACGAGTAAGGGCCACTCTGCGGATTCGCCGTAACATACAAATTGCAGTTTCCATTTACGTTTCCCGTAGGACCCCAAAGTTCGATACTCCACACAATCAATCCTACTAGCCATAATACGAACAGTATAAAAGTCCCTAATATAACGATACCCGGAAGCAATTGACGCTGCGAGATGAGCCAGAGCATAATAAGCAGGAATACGACACCGAGAGAAGCAGAGACGACCCAGTAGGGGAAATACCAAGGAACACGGAGATGTAGCTGATTTTGGACAGAGAGAAAGTAGGCGGAGATACCTAGGATGGTGCAGGAAGCGATTAACATCATGAGGATCCAGAAGTTCAATTGGAGAGGGGGCCAGCGGTATTTTGTGCGGGTGCGGGTCAGGAGGACGGTGGAGCGTTCGCGGATGCCGCCTGAGGAGGAGGAGAGTGTTGAGACCATTTTTGCGGTGTTTATGTGGTAGTATTGGTTGTATCGAAGACAGTTATGCCAAATCGAGTTCTTCTATTTCCCAGCTCTTTTTTTGAGGTTTTCTGTTCGTCCTTCGATTATCGTCTAGTTGATTCCCAAAGATTTATGCGAACCCAATCCACAAGTTTGAAGTCGCAGTTGTATCTTCACCAAAGAATTCCTTCTTTTCGTTCTCGACTGTTATCGAAAACTTGCGATTCCAGGACTCTTTCCTATTTATATCTCTTCCTTTCCCATTCACGAAAAACTCTCCACACCTAATCTCAGTCTCGAGAATAAATCTCGTACGATAACTCGTCCAAGCTCGTCCACGTCAATCTCCCTCGTATGTTATAATACCGGTGAATGAATGTTGTGTTGTCGTTCAATTTATGTTCCACTCAGACTCAAAAATCAGTGCACCTTGCAAGGTACTCGAACCAAGGGGACGTGCAGCTCAGAAATCTTCCGCTGGTACCTGTCTTACTTTATTTGCTGGTACCGATTATAGTTTGATTGATCGATTGATTGATTGATTGATTGATCGTGGGGAATGATGTCGTCGCGAAACTATAGATGATAACGTTCGAAGTATGTATGATAGAGAAATGCAAGAAAAAGCTCAGAGAAAAGAAGAAAAAACTAGAATACCGACGCGCATTAATACACCACCCATTTTCGCGGTGTGAATAATGTAATTGGGCGCTTAGTGTTGGCGGGGGGTTGGGAAGCTGGGATGAAGTGCAAGGCACAGCGCATCACTAAAGCCTAAAAAAATAATTATGAGGCTGGTAGTACTTGGGTACTCGGTATGGAAAATATTGGAGATTCGTGACTTGGGGATCGGAGAATTGATTATATTTTTAGTAACAGTTGTATCGGTGACGACAATGAGTTTTATCATCGGCGGTGAACTTATGAAGAGCGGGGAAATTTTGAAATGTTTTTGTATTGATTTCGTCGATGATTTGTACATCTATCTCGACTTCTTAAGCATGTGAAAGTAAAGTGATCCACCTGCCCCTCTATCCTTCTGAGTTGCGAAGTATAACCGTAAATGAAAGATCAAGTCCCATCATGTCAGGGCCACCCAAGGAATCCAATACCAAATGTATAAATAGTCAACCTCGATCTAAGGGTATATTCTTTCATATGTCTCTTCAAGTATCTATTCCCAGTATCCGAAACACCAACTTACAGCAAGCTCTCACCCAAAGCACATCTAACCAAAGAGCATCCAGCTCTAACAGTTTCGTGTGCTCCAATATCATTGACACCAGGTTCAAGTGTAGGGTTGACTTCTACCAAATCCATAGCGATCAGAGAACCAGTCTCGTGAACGCACTCAGCAATATAATCACCCTCTCGCAAGGTCAAACCTCCACGAACTGGTGTACCAGTTGAGGGAGCGTATGTAGGATCAAGAGCGTCGACATCGAAGGAGAGATGGATTGGGGTATCGTTGCCGATATGACCGAGTGCCATTTCCATAACTCTGCCAATACCATGTCTGCGATAGAATATTAGTGAACGCGTACAGAGTAAATTAGTGCGACGGGAACACAAACCTATCAATGTCATGCATACTAAATGCCTTAATCCCGTTATCACGGAGGATCTTCTTCTCTCCTCTATCAACATCTCTCAAACCTATGTAAACAATCTTCTTTACGCTGACCATATGCTCATCCTTCAACCATCCAAAGATCTCTGGCTTCTCTTCTTGTGCGAGACGTGTTAAGAATGCAACGGGCATACCGTGAACATTTCCAGAACCCGAAGTTTCTGGGGTATTGATATCGGCATGTGCATCAACCCAGATCAATGCCATTTCCCTTCCTAAACGTTCACGAATTGCTTTTGCAGTTCCGGATACAGAGCCAATGGCAATAGAGTGATCACCACCGAGAGTCAAGACACAACGACCCTCCTTGGCATGCTCGTAAACTTGTTCAGAAAGCTTTTGTGTGACTGCAGAGACTCCGCGAGGGTTCTTCATGTTTCGGTGATCTGGATCCTCGGAAGGAATCAACTCTTTGTAAGAATGAACAGTGTTATCATGGTGAAGTTTGTATCCCAATTCCTCTTCGAGTTGATCCAAAAGACCACTTTTGATAAGTGCGGAAGGTGCAGCATCAACTCCTGGTTTACACTGTGTTGATTAGATTAGTTGGGGACTCTGAGAGGGTGGAGAATAGAGAGGAAAGGGCAACTCACTTGTCCACCTGAGAATCCAACAGCGACGACACCAAGTTGATCGGCCTTTGATAAGAACTTGGGTTGAACCATTGATGTGGTAGTCATTTTGACGGAATTTGTTGTATTGTACAATAAGATGAGGTTATTGTTGGTTTAGGTTTGTACGAATTAGTTGATTTTAGTTGCTTGATAGTTATCGATAGCGGGGTTTTAGTGGTGGGGAGGTAGTGATAGGACCTTTTTGGGGTAGATGTGTATTAACCACTTTTTGGGAGTGAATCGAGAGATAGAATTTAAAATGAAATGGAAAGAGAACGGAAAGAGAAAAGGAAACGTTGAGGTATTTGTAGAAAAAGAAATTTCTCTCCAACCGCTTCTACCTTTTTTCATAAAGTAATCGGTGGGCTCTTCCAAGATTAGCTTACGGGACTCTCTAACACTTCTCTCACCTAATTTTTCCAAATTCGACCCCTAAGCGCAGGTATTCGCGAGTTCACAATCGCGTCTAACACTTAAAGGAAGTTCCTTTCCACAGTTTCCCCTAAGTGATAATATACACGAGATGAGACAGATCCCATGATAAATCGAAAAGATTAGGGGCACCAATGAGGAAAGGATTTGTAAAGATGTCAAGAAACGTTCGGAGTAACACGGAAACGAGTAACTTTGACGCTTTTGATGATTTGGATGCAATGGCATGGTGACACTGACATTGTGGTGATGTTGATCGGTATTGATTGAATTTGAATTCCATGGCGATGACTTGGTTTGACTCGAAAATGGGTCCGAGAGTTCCAAGAGAATCATGATTCAAATGATTGATTGTGGGAATGTTTGTTCACGACGAGAAACAGGAGTCCTCAACTCTTCTCATAAACCATTCCTCACTCAACGTGAAGAGGAGGTTTCAAAGTGGTTATTGTATTCCGTTTATCATTTTCACATGAATGAGGGGAATTTGGAGGGGAACATCTATTGAGGTTTAGCGCCAAGATCATGTGTTGGCCAAGGTTACTCTTCTTTTCGGCTTTAAGATAACAGCACTGTCATTGAATCAATCCAAAGCAAAGCACATCGAATATTCCCATCCAAAGAATAATTGAAGATGCTTTATTCTGACTACCATGTCTTTTCCTTTATACTGAAAGGACTGCAAGAAAAGATCAAAGGAGCCCGAGAATTATTTCATCGTTCAAAGCATATAACGGAAATGGAAGTCGAGCTTTATACCTTAAAGCCACCCACTCAAGGAAATGGAACTGCTGGTACTGGCATGGGGACCAGAAGAATCTCCAAACTCGGAGGGGAACCTTGAAAATAATCTCAAATGGCACAGTTCACTCTGTTTTAAAGGCCTCTCAACTTCAGTGTCTTGTCTGGTCTTTTAGTGGAAAGCACTGCATCGCCCTGATAAAACATGAATCCTGAAACTTTGCTGGGTCGTTCACTTCGTTGACGGTGAATTAGTGGTATTCACAAGATCTATCGAATTAGCACGGTAGCCAAACACATAAAATCTCTGAGAATTTGGGGAGGCCCGCGCTCTTGTACTCTTCGAGCATCTCGGGAAACCTTCTTTCGAGCACCACCAGCGTGCATTTTGATACTCACCCCCAAATTAACATGGAGGCAAGTCATGACCCAGAGGGTCGGAAGGTCCTTAGAACAACCATAAAGAACCTCGAATACCTCTACGACGGCGAGCACGTTACATGTTTTGGACGCAAGTTCATGGAGCTATATCTTGGCTATGACAATCGTAACAGACCTGTTGAGTTCTGGAAGGCTCAACTCGCTTTTCGAGGCTTTTCGCCCAGAGGAAACGATATCAAGGCTCTCAAGCAACGTCTGGTTAATTCTAATACCGTTCAACCGGATACCATGGTCAAGCAAGGTATTCAGAAAATGATGAGCGCCTATCACAAGAAGGATCGTGAAAATGAGGAGCCAATGCACCTAGCTCAGCTGGCTTGACACCTGAAAGAGGGTGATCAGGAAGAAGATGAAGATTGTGATGAAGCATTTGTGGAAGATAATGAGGAAAAAGACAATGACGAGGGAGAAGATGACTCTGAGGAAGATGGTGCCGATGATTCCGACGAGGAACTCGACGATGGTCCCTGGGATATCACCGGACACTGGAAATTGGAATGCAAAACCATGTCTTCAAACTACTGTCAATCGGAATCATACACCCTTGACACCTTCTCTGCACCACGCGGATAAGGCCAGCAAGTCTTCGGTCGTTTCAACCTCGGGTAATTAAAGGGTATAATCCGATTTGCTCGTGGAGGCAACTCTGCCCATTGAAACGAATATCTTCTTGATCAGCAATTCGATCCATGGACTGCGAATAATATGAGGCTCTATCGATGAAGAGGCAAAGATTGTCAGAACATCATTCAACTCGGCTCTAATTCACGTTCCTACACAATGACATTCTCGCGTGGCGGTACAAGAGTCAACGGTGTCTGGGGCACACACGATGGAGATCCAGGAACTGTGGAATCTACTGGGCGAAAGGTCTCGGAGGAAGACATATTTTCTGGGAGTGGGGTTTACAGGAGTGGATGAATCACAATCAGCATGCGTATGATGCGGCTAATAAGGCAAGATTGAGATCATGCCTTATCAAGATGTAATCCGAGACGTAAATTGCCTTGACGGACTTGTACTTATTACTGGGGATAAGGGCCAATATTGAGTTGATAGCAGGCAGGTTGGTGATGATGGATAGTAATCAAGAGATGGGTCAATGATGGGTCGCGGTAGTTCTATAGTGGAATATTGTGGCATGTAGATGGGTCAATAATAGTGATAACAGATTCATTAGCTTTGGGAGGTACCTGAAGAATAGCTGAGTTGACAATTACGATGAGAAACTTCGCATTCTCATAATTTTGTTCCACCCTTTTTCTGTGAGTCGAACTTAATCATTGCCACTCATTGAATCTCATGCCATGACGAAAGCTTTTCGAGAGCAAAATTCGCAACGTCTAAAACCCACAGAAGTCACAAAACACGTTTGTGAAAATCTCTCCGATGTCATTGAGAATCTTAAACTTTTCACGGTATAGCAAATGTATAATCGAGCATTATGCGAATATATAGTTGCCTAAGGATCTTTCTCGAAACGATTTAGGGAAATTAAGGAATTGGTTTAAGTGTTATGTTGTATCTGCTGAGCCAAATATGATTGAGAATGAGTTGATAGTGTTTGAAGTAGTAAGTTCGAAGTCTTTGAAGTAGAAAATTCGTAAGCTTAGAAGGCGGCTAAACATCAGATAAGCCACAAGGACTTCTTTCTCATGATCCTGCCATAGGAATAGTTATACCATTAATGTTCTGTCAAAAACTACGAATTATTTTTCAACTCTCGGCCTTGAAAGGGAACTGGCTTATTAATCAAGGACGTGCCGAAAGCTGGTCCTCTGGATGGACATAACGTCTTGGCGTGCGTCATTCCTTTCACCCCACATCCAAAATTAACCTTCATGGAAATTACCCAACCAGAACGTTCCATCCAGCTCCATTTTACCCCTCTAAGCCGGATTCGTAAATATGCTCAGCAACGACAAAACGGCGAAACCAAGCTTCAGTTCAAAGAACGGAAAGAATCAAGGCACATGAGCCGTTAATGCACTAGTAAATGATGGCGTCTGTAGTATACGGAAGGGTATATAAATCCCCTCATTTACGACTTGGCTCGACTTCTGCTCATCAACACTATCTACAACTTCACACTCAATCAATACTCAAGCAACTACACAACTTTTCAAACAATCAAACACTCCAATCAACTTCATCATAATGGATTTCGTCAAAGGCGCCCTCAAGAGCGGTTCAGGAAGCTCAGGAAGCACCGGTAACACCAACCAAGCTGCTGGCGGTGCCGGAAAGGAGGATTATGGTGATAAGGGTTTGTTTACCCCTCTTTCCCCCTCTTTCTTCAGACTTTCGACGACCTTTGCAGTTTGCAGTTTACAATTGATAATCTGCGAATATTATGCTAACAATATACTCAGCACTTGACTTCATCGAGAAGAAGACCGGCCACACTATGACCCGCGATCAGAATGAGAAGATCACCGACGGTGCCAGAGGATTGTATGAGAAGCAGACTGGGTTCGTTTTTTCATCTCCCCTATTCTTGCACCCCCTTCCATATGCTTTGAATTTCACTAACATTACCCTGCATGTAGATCCCAAGTCAACTCCAAGTTCTCCAACTAGATTACGATGTCTATTATGCACGATGGGAGGCTAGGGCTGATTGATGTTATACCACGGTTATGATTGGATGGGGTTAGGGAAGGAATGGAATGGACTGGGTTATGGGCCATTACGAGATTTAATGAATTGATATCACACAACAATGTTCCCACGCCCTTGCGACGACTAGAGTGACCCATGGAATGTTTGATTGATGCATAGTGATGAGATAGGCTCCAAAGTCAACTCGATACAAACCAGTAGCAGACCACCATTGTTCAAAGATCACCATTAATTTCAGCATCCTCTGAACATGATACAATTCTTATGGTCATCATGCACAAGTAGTCTGTTCTTGTAGAATTGTTTCACCAGTTCCACTCATTAATCAGCCCCCCGAGACCCTCTTTTCAATGATAGTCCATGCAGCTATTGTTTTTTCACGCGGTCGGTAGATCATATAATTATGATAAATACTAGCTTCTTGTTTCGGCTCGTCAAGTATATTATCGAGAAGGTTAGGGGAACTTGAAGGGGTAAGTTCTGCGTGACTGGCATTATCCTCATGGACCAATTACACTTATGTGAGGCTGTCGCACTCTTCGTTGCTTACAATGACAATCCCAGTGCCTAACAGCCCATGCTACATATATTTTCAGGCTACCTTCATCACTCGAAAACATAGTAAGACTATTCTTCGCCTTACTTAGTCGATAGGCTACGGGCCTTTCAACTGGTCACGCGCCGTTGTCACGATATGTAAATCACATCACCCTACTTTGATTACGAATACTTCTGCTCGAATTTAGTACTTGTTATAAAGTGTTTGCAATATAAGGGTTTTGACTAGTATTGAGTAAGTCAGAATCAAAAGGAACGCTCCAAAATGGGTAACCTAGAAGAACATATCGCCACAGCATCAACATTCGGTTCTCTACCCCTCTTGATCTCTCCATCAGGTGACACTATCCCCCTCTCAACTGGATATATTCCCCTCCTTACAAACCATACATTGGAAGACGACTCTAGAAAAGAGCTTCGAAAAGAAGATAAAAATGTCGAAAAAGATTCACCAATCTACTTCTCAGCACTCGAACTCGTACGCGATAATCAATTTTTGCTACTCGCCGGGCTCAGTGGAAGTGGAAAAACGACTTTCGCAAAACATCTTGCTTTTCGCCTAGCGACTGCCACTACAAAATCAATCGGGGGTGGTTTCATTGTGAGAAATGGACCGGCTGATGTCCGGAACGAGTCTTGGGAGTTTGAAGGTATCGATATGATACCTTGCTATTTCCTCATCTCTAGCATCTCTCAGTTCTCGATATTGCTTCTGGAAACATTGCCTCAGGTTATTGAGAGCTGCAAGGATAGTAGCAGACCATTGTGTCTATTGATAATTCTTGATTCTATCGAGTCTCTTGGAGATGAGGGGCCATCACTTTTGAGATCTATGGTCCATCTAATTCAGTATCACGCGCAATTATCCATAAAACTACTCATCCTCGGAGAAAGCAGCGTCGTGAAGAATTGGATTTTGTGCTCCGAAATAACAAGACATGAGATATTACCACTTTCTCAAGTCAAGAGACGCATGTTCTTGCGCAATATTACCGGCACCAATATCGAATACAAAGATATCGATATCGGAATTGGTGACGCAGCAAGTCTTCCAGCCTATTTTTCTCTCGCATTAGAGACCGCTCACCGTGGAGAAAAAGCAGAGGAGTTGTTAGATGAGTGGCTTCATGTTGTTCTTTCTGAAAACTATAATGATAGAAGAATCACACGAGAGGCGTTGGAACATTCAACCCGGGAAGCGGAGCAAGGGATTAAAACTCCATTTTCGTGTATATTGACGATTAGGAATCCAGCGGCCTTTTCGAAAGTACTACAACACTTGCTGGCTGCGCGCCAGCTCGTTGAAGAGGACACACAAGTGGCTATTGATCTTTTTAATCAAAATCCCTTCTTGGCAGAACCAATTATTCGCAGTTGGTTAGTTCGCCTCAGAGATATAGGAAGTCCAGAGGTACTCGAATTTCTTGAAGGTCTAATGACCGGCTCTGGGGTAAATGCACAACTAGGAGCGCTACTAGTTTCAGATTTCATCTCTTCGTCCAGTCCACTGCAAAAGCAAGTTTCCAATCACATACTAGCGATCATCAAAGAAGGCACGTTACCCATCACCCTAAGATTAAAAGCCGGACGTATGCTTTCCCTGCTGGGAGATCCTCGAGATCTAACATCCCTCACTACCGTTCCTTCCAGCACATTCACTATTGGTTCTTCTAACCACCCAAATTCATCGCCTCCTCATTCCGTCACCGTTTCCTCGTACCGCATCGGCGTTTTCCCAGTCGTGAATCGAGAATATGCAATTTTCATCCAAGAAACGGGACGGAAATGGAACAGTGCAGATGGTTTATCCCCTTTCACAGGAAACTTCCCAGCTACAGATCTCACCTGGTACGATGCGCGCACGTATTGTTCCTGGTTGACAACACGCTGGCGAGCATCTGGGAAGATTGCTCTCCATGAGGAAGTCCGTTTACCCACTGAACTGGAATGGGAAATTGCTGCTCGGGGTTCTCAGATATCTGGCAGTGAAACAGAATCATTGTATCCATGGGGCACAGAATGGAACGCAAGTTATGTTAATTACAAAGATTCACCATTAAACGAGCGGTGTACTGTGGGTTTATTTCCTAAGAATGTTTCTCCATCCGGATGTTTCGATATGGTGGGGAATGTATGGGAATGGTGCAGTACATTGTGGGGTGAAAATGTGAGTACATCGTCTTTTTCATATCCTTGTCGAGGAGAAGATGGGCGGGAAAATGTGGATGCGGGTGCGCAAAGCAGAAGGTTGATAAGAGGAGGGTGTTTCAGTAGTTCGAGGAAAGAGGTTTCTTGTACGTATCGTGGGAGTCTTGAGCCGATGGAATGGAGACGCGAGAATGGTTTTAGAATTGTGGTTGCGAATCTACAAAAGTAAACTGGAACTGTTGGGAAGGTTGGAAACATACGTGGATTTCTCTTGCTATGCACGTTATTCGTGGACTATATTGGGCGTTCCGATGATCATGTGGTAGATCCCTTTGCTGATTATCATCTCTCCATATTGTCTTGTGACTGCTGAATTCTTATCCCTCAATCTTCCCAATCTCAAGAAGCGCTTTACCCTTCAGGAAGAATGAATTGAGTAGCAACCAGTGAAAAAAAGCTTTCAATTGCCTTGGTTTCTGTGATGGTAACCGCATGATTAACGAACCCTAACGACTTCCCTACATCTTCTAAGTAAGAGCCACTCTCCTTCCAAGTAGACTTTACGAAGACACCGATTTAGCATTGTACATTGAAGCCAGCCTCTCCGGATCCCATCTTGATTGAATAAAACCGTCCAACTTGGGAAGATTTTCTGGCTGCTTGCAAAGCGTCTCAACTAATAAAAGGAATGAAGATGTTGTGAAGAAGAAAAGGAGCCAAGGGCAACTAAACCCCATCAAACTATCAAGAATAATCAGTCGAGATTAAGTTTCGAATTAAGTGCTGATGCCACAGGAGGATGATCTCGAGTGAAGATTCCTTACTCTTCGCGTTCACTGGTCATTTAATCGCGGTTTCTGATACATAAATCACTTGCATGAGTACCTAGAGAGTATAGATTAGGTCGATTTCTTTGGCTGCACTATAGTGTCAACTCATTCATTCTAAGACGTTAAGAATCATAGATCGACTCTTGAAACCCTCGAAATTTGTCTAAATACCGAAGCAGCCAAGCTTGGTGATCCTTTGTCCCACCCCAGTGCCGAAAATTTGGGGTTTTATAAGCCCCTGCTAGGAAACAGGATGGTGCTGACAATTCAAAACCCTCCGAAGATGCTATTATAAGTTTGAAAGCCATCGTGTTCTAAGTCTTTGCGATGCTCGAAAAGTACATACGCACATGAATATTTGTCAATATGTGAGAACGATGTTACCCAGTGCAAGCGATCGGAGACGAAGTAAAATGACTAGGCATCGTTTATTCTGCTTCTTTCTGTGGCAAAACAGCCCTCCTCTGCCCTTCGAATTCACTAAAGAATTCAAAACACCAAAGCCATAAGCCATCGTGATGGAAAGTTTTGTTGTTGATCCACTTGACAATCCAAATGAGTGGGTAGATGCAAACCATACCCAGTATTCGGACCCTTGGAGATTTCCGGAAAGACCAAAGGAAAACGAGGATTCCAAAACTACACAAAGTGGAAGAAACTATACGAAAGGTTCTCCACGGAACTCCATTGCCATTCATCTCTCTGATATTCATACCAAAAAATGATGTTACAAGAGAGAGAGGCAGGAAGATGAAAGCGAGAATCGATAATCTCCCAAGCGAATTCGCTTTATCCAGTGACTTTCTAGATTCCTTCAAGGAAAGGCTCCCAACATTCATCTGCAGAGCGTCCCGAACGTATTGTTCTGATAGACGCCCTTCCCGTAAAGCATTTTTATGTCGTCGCACCATGCTCTTAGTTTTTTGGTTTTTATTGTGCCCATGTCCGATCACACCTTGAGCTATCATTCTCTCCTGATATTCTCTAATGCCCAAAGAAATTTTCTCAAAGCTTTCTATCGATCCTCGAGCCGAATACCACGCACTTAGAAGATTGTCATCTCCATCAGCTCGGGATACGGCTGGAGACTTGGCGGCGAAATTCTGCCCCATGATTGGAGATTCTGACTCATGCATTCAATACTCTCAGAAAAGTACTTCTCTAAGTCTTGAATTATTGGCTCTAAGAGTTCTAGAGGGTTTTGAGCGGCAGACTCGACTTCAGAGCTACTCAGCCTATCCCAAGCGCGGGAGATCTTGGATACGATATCTTTTGTATCATCCTGGGCAATTAAAGATTGGTATTCCTCGTAATAGACGACCACTATTCCCCATTAGTTCAGTGGAAAAAGTCAGCAGTGACAAGTCACAACAAACCCGTCTTACAATCACCATTCTTCAAGCAGTAGACGGTACAGCATGGTTTAAGGCGTGATGTGGTATACTCAAATCCAAATTTTATATGTTGCTCAATCCCATCAAGCTTTCCAGCTGTGAACCAACGAAAAGTGTGCCTTTCTGAATTCAGTAGATAATAGAAAAAGGAGGGCACGACCTTGTAGACACTTCCGAGAACGTCAATCACAACGGGATTGAGTATTGGTGATCGGTGAGATGGACTATGCCAAGGAAAATTACACGTCAAGAAGAGAATCACTCTTGTGCGTGTCCCAGGTGTAATGGTCTTCAGTTTGCTACAGAACAATGAGACGGAATTTTTGGTATTGAAGACGTAGTTGCTAGATTGAGGAGGGACTCCTGCATCAGAAGTAATGTCACTAATGATACCCCAACCATCATCGAATGAAATCTGGTCACTGTTTATAACTTGTTGCAATTCGACATATCTAAACAAATGTTAAGTCAGCTGGCACAGTAACCCGGCTCTCTTGTTGATGAATACCTAGGATCCCAATTTGCAAGTCTCGATAGTTCCTCCAAATACGACGCTTCTGCTTGAAGATCTGGGGCTTGGGGATCCATGTGTGCAAACCCAATTTTTCATGTGCAATAAGAGCATAAAATGTTCTAGATGAATTGAGAGAGCTGTTAGGTTTTTTCCTGATGTGAAAGCTGCGAGATATTCATCTTTCCAGCTTAGTTTTAGCTTTGAGATATGTTGCAAAGAATGAATCTCACGTCATACGTGTCATTTGTGATGCCTAGATATGGTGTATAGACTGATTGGTGATGCTATAATTAGAAACGTCAGTGACACTTTTATCGCGATCTCACATGACAAAATCACCCTCACCCAAGATCTAAATGATCAGTCGCATCAATAGACCTTGAGGCCAATTTCCAGGCCGTGGGAAAATTCTCAAAAAAGTCTTCGCAACATGGTCAAGGTGGTCGTCAACTTCCACGAAGTTCTTTTGTCAAACTGAGGTGGAAGTCTTTGAAGAAATAGGCTCGAAACAATATATTCGACTCGGCCACATTGTCACGTAGCAGCTCTAAAATAGACAACTTTGCAAGCGAAATGTCTCGAAAATTGTATGAGAGGGAAACAAGATGGAACTCTTCATGGTTTTCAATAGCGGATGGTGGCATTTTGTTCAAACTGTGGGCAAGCAAATCGTGATATAATCAACTAACTTAGACTGAAATGCATTATCAACCGAAATAAGATACAAGCGCAATGGATAATTGTGATAGCTACTTGCCTGTCTCTCTTATTCGTTGAGATACTACTTATTAGGCATGTACTCGACGTGGGGCGACAATTCGGAACCACCGTCGTCGTTGCGAACTAGAAAATAATCAAGAAACAAAAGCTCAGCTGTGCCGTATACACAAGCAGGACTTAGTAAGTTCGGGAGCCTTATAATATCTTGAGAAATATGGACAACGTATGACACGTAAAATAAGACCTGACAAGATGGTAGCGAAAGTCTTACATGCAAAGGAGACGGGCACTTGATATGATTTGAAAGAAATGATAAAATTGGGATCATTCTCATGGGTTCATGAACTCGTGCTTGAATACAGTGCAAGAATAGAAGGAAAGACTTCTCGTTGACAATACTGAGATTCAGGGTGAAATAACGACCTGTTCGTTTGGTGTTATTGTGAGTCGATGACAACAGATCTCAACTACAAGATCTTTAATATACAAACAAACGAAACAGACGAAACAGTATAAACATCTACACGACTGTAAGTGCAAAAACCTTTGGATTATCTGTCAAATACTACGTTGATTGTATTGATACCCGATACCTGCTCAGTCCTTGAAGTGTGTCGAGAGAGAATGTTGGGGTTATGGCGGGGTGAAATGTTTTGGACTCTAGCCCTGACAAGCTTGAGTAGTGTTTGGGTAGATGTTTGACAGTCCGTGCAGCTTAGACGGCATTGAAACATTGTTGGTCGCCCTGACAAAAACTGACCCCGGTAACGTTGAACCGAATGTTTTCTAGACTTACCGATACTAGGCATAGATAGACTTTCTTGTTGACAACGAATAACGAATTTATATGCACGTCAATTATCTAAAAAATCTCAGCGGAGCAAAAAGTGAACATCGAAAACCTCTTGTGATTGATATTCTATGAATATTGCGGCAACGATAACATGCTATACAAATCATACGATCAATTTCTCATTACCTCACCAACTCCCTAGACTTGTTCGTCGCTGCTATCATCATTTCAGCCAGTTCAATTTATCCACTACGGTCGAGCGCATTACTCCTGACGAATAAAACACAGCATACAGCATAGCATACGAAACCTGCGACCAAATACAAATAGATACACAGCGAATGCGACGCGTTGAACTATCTGCAAGGCAAGATGGCGGAGGGAGATGATTACACAATGTCGAGTTTGTCAACAATGTCGGAAACCGATTCACGGCCACGAACTGCACGACAGGACTCGGAGAACGAAGCCTTCACATTTCATAATATTGGCGACTTAATGGCAGATAGAAGTGATAACGACGATTCGATATCTATAAACTCACAAGCTTTCGAGCAGAATAATCGAACGGAATCTTACGACCACAGGAATTTACCTACTCTGTCCCCTCCCATTGATAGCAGTGTACTTTATGCACATAGCGACAACGGAGATAATCGAAGTGAAGGTCTGCTGAGTGCCGTGGATGCAAAGGCAATGGAACAACACTTGGATAATGTCGAATCAAGTTTCCTCCCGAGTGTTTCACCGATTGGTAAACATGGTAAGGCTGGTGCCGATGATACATATCTATTTGATGCGGGTCGGAATGGTGAAAATTCCCCCGCAATGGAAACACAAACTCCTAAGAGGAAGACATTTGGAATTAATGAAAATGGGGGCCGTGGTTCTCCGACACCCTCTTCACCTCCCACACCAGATGGTGCATACAAAACTCCAGGCCCTGCCCCTCGATATTCTGTGCAAGGAGAACACGATGATTCGGAACAAATTGGAAACACGACTTCCAACCTCGAAACTCTTTCGTCATCCCCAACAGCCGCAGCCGCTGCAAGAACCATATCTCGAGCCATGTCAATGGCAAGCATGGGAGAGAATTTCGAAACAGCAGCACAATCCACATCACAATCACAGCAACAATCAGATGAGGAAGAGGATATGGAAGCCACACCCACAAGATCGCGCCAAAATTTACGTGCGTTTGTCCAATCGGTGAATGATAACTCAAGCCTACCCCAAGACTCACCGGCTAGGAGTACAAACAAACATTTAACAGTCGATGCCGGTACGACCCCAGGGGCCGCACTTTCAACACGCAATACAACTAGACCCAAATTTCTCACCAGTCGACATTCAAGTCAGCGATCTTCTGTGTCCTCTTTTATTACAAATTCTGAGAACCAAGACGATCGAAGCGATGTGACAGTTGGTGCAGATTATGCTTTGCAATCCGGAGGCGCACTTCCTTCCGGGGGGCTATCTAGAAGTGGAAGCATGACTTTATCTAGGACTATAAGCTTGGGAAGTATGGCATCTGGTATTGACGAGGGCGGTGATTCATTTGGAAGAGTGGAGGGACCATTGGCGACACTGGCTGAAGAAGATTCAATTCGTGGGAGGAGTGAAAATCAGACGAATTCTGCTCCAGAAACACCACGTGCATCTAGTCGACCCATGGATCCACCTACTGATACAATCATTGCACGCCACGTTCGCAATGTCCAAGTGCCCGAATCAATGGCTAAAGACTTTCGTACGAAGCATGGCGTACATACACCTAGCAAGTCGGCAAGCTTTGCGGCATCCGCTCTGGGCCAAAGAACTGGTAAGAATCTGACTTTGAAGGAACAAAGCAGCACGATCGAGAGACTATCTAAGGAGAATTTTGACTTGAAATTGAAAGTCATGTTTCTCAGTGATCGATTAGACAAGCTTTCTGAAGAAGGTGTTAAGGAAATGATATCCGAGAATGTTGAGCTCAAGACAGGCCTAGCCGTCATGCAAAGAGATAACAAAGCTCTTCGTAAAAAGGTAAAAGACCTTGAGAAGCAACTCAAAGATGACGAAGACCGACCATCCACAGCTCGATCAGGTACATCTACCGAAGGAAGTCAGAAGTGGTATCAAGAAGGCGCTTTTGAACGGGAGGAGGAGCTTCTTTACTTACGAGAGAAGGTTGAAGAATATGTCACGGAAATTGAGAGGTTAAGGAATGAAAGTCTTGCTCGGGAAAACGAGAAGAGAAATCTTACAGATTTGGTTCGTACAATGGGTGAGAGGCGAGGTCAAGACATCGAAACGCGTGAAGAAATGGATGTCTGGAAAGATCTCCTTGAGCAAGAAACTGCCCGCAGAGAGCAAAGCGATGATGAGATCAAAGCTCTTCGGGAAGAGATTTTCCGACTGAAATCAGAGACGGCCACCGGAGGACAAGGATTGAATCACACGACCAATATTTACAACATCACAAAGAGACGTGTCGGATCACCTTCGAGATCGAATTCCAATATGTCTGATCGCATGACAGATGATAGGAATGGTACATATAGCTCAGCAAGCACGTTAGCCGAGGAGATTAAACGGGATAATGAACAACTTCGACATGAAAATGCAGAGCTAAGACGAGAAGTCGGAGCACAGACATCAATGCTGACTTCAAGAAACCGCGAGAAAGAACGCCTTTATCAAGAAATCGAGGAGTTAAAGCTTGGCCAAAGGAGAGGTGGTACATCGGTAGCCGGAGAGAGCATATTTGAACGATCAGCATCACGAGCACACGAACGATCATCATCCAGGACTAGTGCGGGTACAAGACAGACGAGTATGAATGAGGCTGAACGGGAAGATTTCGAAAATAAGCAAGCCGAACTTCGAGACAGAATCAACAGCCTCAAAATACACAATCAGGACTTACAACGTGAACTTGAATCTTGTATGGAAGATTTTGAGACTGCTGTCGAGCATAAGAAGGAAGCCGAAGGTCTAGCTCAAGAATTGCAAGAAGCTTTGGATGTCGCCGAAAATGATCTACTCACCATGCAAGCAGACCGAGATGAAGCACTTCAAGGTCAAGAGGAAGCTGAATTGATGTTCGAATCATTACGTAAAGAAGCTCAAGAAGAACTGGATGGTTTTGCTGCAGAACAAGAAGAAGCTAACGCTGAGATTGAACGTCTTTCGGCTGAGGTCGCTGATGAGAAAGAAAACTTCAATGCGTTGCAGAATGAGATGAGAGAGATGAGTGATATAGTTGTTAGGTTGGAGGATGATCACGAGAGGAAATCTAAAAAGATTCAAGATCTTGAAAGAGAATTGGATGAAGCCAATAGAGAACTTGAGGAAATCGAGAAGAATTACGTCGAATCTAACGAAAAGGTCAATCGATTGAATGTTCAGCAAGAGTCGAGTCAAAATGAAATTGCATTCCTTCGAGAAGAACAGGATGGGGATAAGATCAAGATTGGGGATCTCGAGGCCGCTATTCGGAACTTGGAGAATGCTCTTCATGAAGAGCAAGAACGTTCTAGAGAACTTGATGAACGTCTTCATGAGGAAAGACAT